CTTTAAAAGGAAACTAATAAAAAAGATATTATAATATATTATTATAGAAGTAAAAGCAGCCTTTTATTATAAAAAAGAGGGTAAAGGAATAATAAGGTTTAAAAACTTATCTAAGAGTATTCTTTAGAAGGTTATTATATAAGATATTTAGATTTATTTAATCTAATTAGCGCTATATAATTATAATAAATATAGGCTATAGATTTAATATCTTAAGAGATATAAGCTAAAAGTATTAAATATAGAGACTGTTATTCTTAAGAGAGGAATAAACTAGAGCTTTATAACCCTAAGAACTAAATTAATTACTAAAAATAAGTCTAAGGAAATTATAGGTTTAAGAGATATTATATTTAGGCGGGGAGAAATAATCTTTATTAGCAATCTATATTAGCTAATATTAGAAAATTAGGGAATAAATTTTAATAATATTTGCTATTTTAATTATAGGGAGCAAAATAAGATAAAATCTAATTAAAGAGAATCTAGGCCTTTTAATATTTAAATAAATAAAGTTATAATTATAAGCAGAGTAATACTTAATTAATTAAATTAAAATTATTTAGAAGTTAAAGCAGAGCTATACTTTATATTAAAATAAGATATATTATTAATTTAAGATTATCTGCAGAGAAAAGGAACTTAGCTTTATAAATTAGGGGTTTTAAAATATATATAATATTAGAAATTAGAATATTCTTATTTTAGAAATAATTTATAATATTAAAAGGAGAAAATAGTATAGACTGCGATAATTAAGAAAGGTAAATAAGGGTATTTACTTTTAGAAGAGGAGAGATTATATAGTAGGGAGAATTAGTATAAAAAATATAATTAGTTAAGAGGTTATATATTTTTGCTTAAAATCTTTAAAAAGTCTATAAATAAAATAGGAGAAAGGAGATAATATTTTTTAATTATTTAGAATAAAATAATTAGCTTTTCTTTTTTATTATTGTTTAATATTAGTTTAGTATTAGATTATTATTAATTTATTATATTAGTCTATAGTTAAAGCTTCTTCTTTAGCTTTACTCTAAGCTCTGAAGCTAAATACCCTTCTTTTCCTTCTTAATACTTACTCGCTTAAAGACTCTATGCTAAGTCTTAATATATCTTCCTACAACAATAGATAATAATAATAACCTTGAATTTTAGAATACTAGTATAGACTACTAGAAATAGTTTTAATAAGGATAAAAACTTAATATTAACCTTGAGGATTATTACTGCCTGGATAAGGGGGAAATTAAAGTATAGTTTTAGCTAAATAGACTAAATATAAGCATTAAGGAGATTAGAGAAGTCTTATAATAGATTAATTCTAGGAAGATTAACTTAATCTATAAGCCTTATATATAATTATTAGCTAATATAATTAATATAAGGGAGAATATATTTATAAAAGAAGCTAGAAGAGTATTAAAAATAATAAAAAATATAAAGCTAGTAATAATAAAGTAGTAGAAGAAAGAATTATTTAAAATAATAATCTATCTTTATAAAAATTTATTTAAAGAAACTAAATAGTCTATAAATAAAATTTCTAGAGATAAATAGGTAATAGAATCTTTTAGTAAAGCCTTAAAAATTAATATAAAGCCCTCCTTTTCTATAATAAACCTAGAAGACCCCTTTATTAAAAAAAAAATTAGGCATTTAAAAGATATATAAAATATTAGAATTATATAATTTAAAGATAATATAGAGGCTAAGTAGATATTAAATATACTTAATAATAGCTAAGTTAAAGAAAGAATAAAGAGTCCTATTTTAGGAAGTCTTAAAAATATAGAAGATAAAAATAATATAGAAGTTAAAAAATTCTTATTTAAAGACTTTTTTTTTAAGAAATCTCTAATATTAGAGATAGTTTAACTGTTTAAAGATCTTAGGTTAATTAATATAGATATTTCTAGTAATATACTAAGTAATTTATATTATAAAGTCTGAGATAATTTATATAAGGCTAAAGAATATCTTAAATTTAAATATAAGGATAAAAAATATTTTAATTTAAGTAAAGAAGACTTTACCTTAAATAAGATATAGGACTAATATATCTAATTAAGTATTATAATAAGGGAGGATTTTAACTATTAAAAAATAAATAGGGTTTTTTAAATTATATCCTTTAAAAGGAAATTAATAAAAGGGATATTATAATATATTATTATAGAAGTAAAAATAGCCCTTTATTATAAGAAGAAGGATAAAAGAATAATAAGGTTTAAAAACTTATTTAAAAGTATTCTCTAGAAAGTTATTATATAAGATATTTAAATCTATTTAATCTAATTAGCATTATATAGTTATAATAAATATAGGCTATAGGTTTAATATCTTAGGGGATATAAGCTAAGAATATTAAATATAGAGATTATTATTCCTAAGAGAGGAATAAATTAAAGTTTTATAATTCTAAAAATTAGACTAATTATTAGAGATAAGTCTGAGGAAATTATAGGTTTAAGAAATATTATACTTAGGCAGGGAGAAGTAATCTTTATTAATAATTTATATTAGCTAGTATTAAAGAATTAAAAAATAAATTTTAATAATATTTATTATTTTAATTATAGGGAGTAAGATAAGATAAGATTTAATTAAAGAGGATTTAGGCCTTTTAATATTTAAGTAAATAAAGTTATAACTATAAGCAGAATAATATTTAATTAGCTGAACTAAGATTATTTAAAAGTTAAAATAAAGCTATATTTTATATTAAAGTAAGATATATTATTAATTTAAGATTATTTATAAAAGAAAGGAACTTAGCTTTATAAATTAAGGATTTTAAGATATATATAATACTAAAAATTAGAGTATTTTTACTTTAAAAATAATTTATAATATTAGAAAGAAAAAATAGTATAAATTATAATAATTAAAGAAGATAAATAAGGGCATTTACTCTTAAAGGAAGGGAGGCTATATAATAAGGAGAATTAGTATAAAGAATATAATTAGTTAAGAGATTATATATTTTTATTTAAAGTCTTTAAAAAGTCTATAAATAAAGTAAAAAAAAAGAGATAATACCTTTTAGTTATTTAGAATAAAATAATTAGCTTTTTCTTTCTATTATTATTTAGTATTAGTTTAATATTAGATTATTATTAGTTTACTATATTAATCTATAGCTAAAGCTTCTTCTCTAGCTCTATTTTAAGCTCCGAAGCTAAATACTCTTCTCTTCTTTCTTAATACCTACTCGCTTAAAGACTTTATACTAAGTCTTAATATATCTTCCTATAATACTATTAATCTTTAATAGCTATAATTCTTATATTATAAAATACTTTATTAATTATTGCGATTATAATAGAATTCTATTATTATTATTTCTGCCTTATTCTATATATATATTATAATTGCTTAATATTTCTCTATTTAGCCTATTAGCTAAAGCCTATAATACTTATTTAGATATTTAGCTAAATAAATACCTAAGATTTAGCTATTTTAAAAAGAGGGATTTCTTTAATCTCTTTTTTCTTAGCTGAGACACTACTTTTATAGTAAAAAATATTAATAATAGATAGGCAGTAACTAGTCTATACCTATTTAATTTATAGGTTATTCTTAAGTATTTTAAAAAAAAACTTAAAGAAAGGCCTTTTTTAAGCGAATTAAGTTAGTTAATATTATCTATAAGTAACTAATAAAAGATTAAAAAGCTTCTATAAGAAGTTTTAAATAATATATATAATAAGAAGGTATTAAAGCTTATAAATACTATAATAAACTTATATATTAAAAATATACTCCTCTAGTAATAAAATATTAGTCTATAATATATTATTCTTAATAAGCAGGTAAAATAATAGCCTGCTAGAATTTTATAGCTTTTTCTCTGCCAACTAAAAAATAATAATATTATTTTCTTTAATCTAATTAAGGTTTAAGAGGTATAGTAGATTTTAGCAGATAAGGAGAAAGCTAAATAATAATTATAATACTAAAAATAAGAGTTTTAATTTTAATAGCAGCGGCAGTAAAAAGAGAAATAATATATTATTTAAGAAAAGTATAAAATCTAAAAAGCAGACTATTTAGCTCGCCTATAAATATAGGAAGAAAAATAATACTTTAAAGAAGAAAAAAAAATAGTAAAATAGGCAGTTATTTAGCTTTAAAAGGAATTAAAATAGGCTAATTAGAGCTTAAAGAAGAGATCTAAACCTATAAAATAATAGATATTGGAAGAAAATATTATTAAATAGATGATTAAAGCTAAAATAGGCCCCTTAGCAGTAACTAGTTGAGGATAGTAGATATAACTGCCCGAGCGATTTAGGGATCCTAAAAACTAGTCTAATATAATTTATTAATTGCCTAGATTAAACCCTCTAAATATTAATTAATTTGAATATGTTATCGTTGAAATCTAGTAGATTTAATAATTCGGCGTCCTATAGTAAAAAACAGTCGGCAGGTAGAAACGGTCGGCAGATGACTAAACACGGTAATGTTGTAAGCACTAAATTAGTATAGAGGCGTTTGCGGCTGATAATGGACATGCGCACCGCTAGCATTAGAAATCTATGATCCTCCCATGGAGAATTTGACTAGTATCACGGCAGGTTCAATCCCCGAACACTTAGTTTTGTGTTCTAACGCTCAGCGCAGTGAGTGTTCGGCCCCTAATCCCTGGGGTCCAATCCCTCTCTAGCAGAGATAAGGCGCTAACTTACTAACTCGCCTACAATCAATTAACCCGAAGGAATTTGCAGGTCTTATAGGGACCACTAAATCCTACTTTAAAATCTGCCCCCGCTAAGCAGCCCAAAATATAGACCTTAGGGGCGTTTTTACCCCCTCACCTCGTCGCATCTTTTGTCCCACGCTACTTAGGTTAGTTGGGGCCAAAGCGCCATGCTGGTTTAATTAATTTCCATGCGTGCTTGTCGTGAAGTAGGCTTTTTGTCTGATCTGGGCTTTCTTTTCTAGATTGAAGATGCATACTCTGTATACACTGCATGTTTTTGATCACAGCTTCAGATCTGCTGAGCCCTCGCACGCCAGACACTCACCATATCAGTCCCTCTTCCACTGTCGTATGACCGAGCTGGTTTAAAGTATAGAACTCGCTCAAATGGTCCTTGAGCACCATCTGTTTCTTCGCTGGGTTCATTCAGGATGCCATCATTCCCCACTGCGAGGAGATCCCAGTACACACCCCTCAGACCCCACGGTGGCCCTTGAGCTTTGAGATCCTTATATAGTGGGAACTCCAGACAGACTAGAATACCACCAGGTGCGAGAAGCTCGCGCATGCGACGGGCCCAGTCTTTTCGCATTTCAGGTAGAAGCGCACAGAGAAACTCAAGCCAAAGAAGTCAACTCTAAGCCTGGATGGCTACAGCATAATCAGTGGATGCTTACAGTATAGTCGTAGATTAAATCAAACCCCCTGACGCCATCCGAAGCACAAGCAGCTTCCCAATCCCTCTGGAAGAAGTCGCCCTGGACGAATTCTGCTTTTCCTGCGTGTTCCAAGGGCCACTCGCTGGACCTTTCGCCGTAGTTGTGCTGGATAGGCTTAGCTAGTTCTGATTTTGCATATTCTCTAGCCGTCTCGACGGCCTTGTTCGACACTTCAAGACCGTATGTATCGAAACCATGCAGGGTCAACGCGACTACGTCGTAGCCTCTTCCGCAGCCCTATTCGAAAATGAGTACCAGTCTATCACGCACAAGCCCCAATAGAGATGAAAAGCATACAGGCACGAGCGCTTTTAAACGACGACCATTCTCGGGTTTAGGCAAGACCGCTGGTCGGCTTTCGATGAAATCAATCAATGCCGGCGATGGTTTCCCACGATCCCAGAGATCGCTCTGGTTTGTCTCCCATAGTTCTGACCATCCGGTACTTTGAGTCTCTCGAGATCTTTTCGATATAGTGTCAGCGGTGATATGTTGATGTGAGATTAGCAGGGCGTTGCATTGTGTGTCCACCTATTAGCGAAATGAGAGATCAGACGTCCAGGAGGTTGTGGAATTGAGCTCATGGAAGTTATAGAAGTCTTTAGATAACCTGACTCAATACAGACTCGCCGGGATGTCTGATATTCGGAAACGGAGATGGCGGAGATTGGGAAAGGACCAAACTGTTACAATGTGAAGAGGCTTTTGCGACAAGATGTTTCCCACCTGGGCAATGTACTCGACCGCGCTGTCACTGTCTTCTTCCTTTGTGGTGTTGAAATAGGGCAGTGTTTATACGGTCCTCGAGGGAACTAGAAAATGAACCTGGTTTGTCTCCAGAAATATCTTGGGGATCGGCGTTCACGGCGGATGTGGTGGGGTCCATCTCGGCCTTTCGAAAAAGGTCGGCGAAGTCAAGGTCTCTACTTGCTCATATCCTCTCTACAAGATATCCATGATGAAGACAAAGAATACTAAGTACTCTAATCTCGACCAGCACTATCTAAAGCGCACAACACTACTATCTCGCATGGGAAACTATCAGAATGTGGCGCAGGCACAGCTGCCTACCCACTGAAAGATCCAAACTTTCTAGAGACGACTCGAAAATTCAGGGAACTTTATAAGTAGTGTCCACCTGTGTGAAGCAATCCATCATTGAGATACCGTTTATACAATATTAACTGTCCCCGTAAATGATATCAATGTCCGCTGGGAACGTTCCGCATGCGGAAAATATCTCTGACGCTATACGACGTTACTATTACTAGACGGATCAGCCTTATCTGGCCTCGTCACGATACTAATGGATAATAAAGCCGGAATGTACGCATCTTGTCAGCGTGATAAATGTTTGATGTCCAAAAAGTCAAGGTTCACGGACGATGTGACTGCATCATGGTGCTTGGTCTGCCCATTGAGCGTATGACGCATTGTCGATGGCGAGTTTGGTTCTTGACCAGCAGCAGCGTTAGATCTCTCCTCAATTCCAATTAAATCATGTATACCCATGTGTCGAGTGTCCGGCATATTTTTCTCACTTCTGTTTCTATCCTCAGAATCGAAAAGATCAGGATTTAATAGCACCATAGGCTCTAAACCGAAAATGTTACGGTTGTCTTCATTTCCCCGATCCTTTTCTGCTCGTGTAGCCTCCATCTGGTATATATGAGGAAAGCTTATGTGCCACCTCAGCGGATTCTCCGATGCTGTTGATGGAACATCACGATCATGGTATTGCGCACTCTCTGGATGAGGCCACGGACAGCGGGCAGAAGGTCTAAATCTACTTATGAAGACAAGGTCAGTCGGAAATACTCTAACAGAGATTGAGATTGAAGCTTATCGCAGTATGCATAGATTACCGTCTGATGTTCTTAACATAAATCTCGCAGTCATCTCGACCATCTAGTCGGCAGTTGCTGCATGGCTGCCCATGGATCGATGCGTCGCATCTGATCTTCCTCTTGCGGCATCTGCGACATGCCCCTGGTGCCCTTCGAATCCATCTCAGAGGGCGTATTTCTCGAGATTTCGTCATTTTAAGGCGCTCCAAGAAAAATGTTGGACGAGGAGAATGAGACCAGGCTGGGATCTCAAATAATACACAGCTACCCTCATATATATAAACAAAAGAGATTCTGTAATAAGAACGTATATAACTCTTGCTGGACCTTGGATAGACGGCCTAAACCACGTGTACGAAATGAAACCAGTATCACGCAGGAAGTATCGGGATTATGGGATGCCACTTTTACATGAAGACAGAACAGGGCCTATGTTATTTCGTGATATGAATATACATAGTTAAGCGCATTTTAGCACTCCAAACAGTCAACTACTCCGCATTCCGGGGAAACAAGCATGGATTAGCCATCCTCGGTAACGTCCAAACTATGCACAAAGGGCATCACTCATACATCTTTTTCTTGTTCAACATCAACCCTGATCTTCTGCTATCATACGATACGGTATCTTCCCATCCGAACCCTCTGGTCTGTTGGATCTTCTCGATCTTCGCGATCGACCTCACCGCGGCAACATGTGAATAGACGCCTCGGCCAATTAGTGTCTGCGCGATCTTAATTGCTGCTCTCCAACCTTTTGGTCTCGAAAACTAACGTCTTTCTTCACCTCCGCTTGGTCCTAGATAAACGGATATCGCAGCTGCCTATCCGATGGTGTTATGATTTACCTGGTCGACGTTCAGTCGCAGACCCCTTCCTCGGTCCGTCGGCGCTATCTATACAAGATCCCCGCATATTCACCCAGCTTGTTGGTCTTTCCGGATAGTCTGATGGTTTGGCAAAGCAATTACACAGCATAATACTCATAAATTATAATATCAGCAAGAATCTATAAAGTACGAGTCTATCCGTGATGCGTAGGACACCGGGTTGCGGTATTAGGAGCGAATAGTATCTATATCCTTGCTCGCTTACATATTCGAACAATACATAACTATTTTCTCAAAACATTATCTAAGAGTGACCAAAATGTCTCGAATCATTAACCTGGATCGAATCTCCGCTTATGTTCTGCAGTTGAAGGTGTTCGATTCTAGCAACTCTATGGTTTACATCCTGTTATGCACGGCTGTATACATTGGGCTTGTGGCGAGCCTTCGCTACCGTAGATTGCAGTATCTGCAGAAGAAATATTCGCACCTCCGACGCGGCACATTTTACAAAATGACTGATCGCGAGGCATGGGAGATTCAAAAACTTATCTTTCAGCTCGAGTTCCCTTTCATGGCGCTTAAGTCTCTTCATTTCGCGCTCTTTCGGGTAAGCAAGCTATCATCCTCTCAACCATTAACATTGGCCTGAGCTAAGATATATCATCGTATAGACGTATGGTATTCCTTCCATATCATCCCTTCTGGTGAAGACGATGCAACTATCCGATACCGCTACTGCATTCAAACGATACGCCGACACCAGTCTCCTAATCGGGGAATTCGTTGCCTTTGAGCCATCTTCTGAGCGTGCTCACGCTGCCATCGCACGAACAAACTATCTCCACACAGGATATCGCTCGACCGGGCGGATCCTAGACGATGACATGCTCTACACATTAAGTCTCTTCGCTCTCGAGCCGATCAGGTTCGTTGAAACTTACGAGTGGCGCGATCTAACCGATCTAGAAAGATGCGCTATTGGCACGTACTGGAAAAGTCTAGGCGATGCGCTTGGAATCGGCTATGATTCTCTTCCTTCTGGGACGAAACGGTCTGGATTCCGAGATGGTTTGCATTGGCTTGAGGAGATTAAGGCGTGGAGCCATGAATATGAGCGTGAGAAGATGAAGCCCCATCAAGCCAATAAGGACGTTGCGGATAGGACGACAGATATTCTTGTTTATGTCTTACCGGATTTCCTAAAACCTCTCGGGATCTACTTCGTCTCCTTCATGATGGATGAGAGATTGAGAGGGGCTATGATGTATGTGGTCATTCTTCTCTCTGCCAGTTTATGCTAAGAAAGATATACTCAACGTGCTCAGGTACGATCCTCCACCTCGGTTTCTAAGCAAGATCTTTTCCGTATCACTCCTCGCTCGAAAATACTTCATTCGTTATTTATCTCCCCCACGACCGTACTTTCTTCGTTACGACGTGTTCACTGAGAATCCCGATGAAAATGGTCGGAACTTCTTCCAATACTGGGATATTGTCCCTTATTACGTGAAGCCAACTATATGGAATCGATGGGGTCCTGCGGCATGGGTGAGGAGGGTTATGGGATTGCCTCTTCCAGGAGATGATGGCGATCGGTACTATCCACGAGGTTATAGGACATCAGAAGTCGGCCCGAGATATTTTGAAGGCAAAGGGGATGCAAAGATGGTTGAGATCAAGAGTGTCCTTGCTAGAGAGAGAAGAGGGCAGTGTCCTTTTGCTTGATCTGAATGATTATTGTCAGGTTTGTCGAATATTGATGCCCTAGGAGATGTATAACACCATATACGGGGCAACATCAATGCTCCAGGTTGGATTTCTGTTAGTTGTCACTGTCTGCCGTTGAAATATGTCATATAATGAATTTTCCAGTCATTACTGTCTTATCCATCTGAATGATCAATCGTTATCCTGTTCCTTTACCACTTTCATCAACACGGCTAACTACGCGGAAACATCCGTGAACAGACCAGACCGATCGTGCCAGATGAAAAACCTCGCAGAAGTTAGATAACCACCCCGCGCGGGACTATCGGTTGCTGTGCCGAAAACATCAGAAAGGTCAAGAGAAGATGCGGGGTAGACTAGATGGCATATCCATGTCATGCGGGCAATACAAGCTATGGATCTAGAACAAGTGGTTGTTCCTCCGTTCGCATTCAGATTTCCCGAAATGCCTGTAACTATAGCCACTTAGCCCAGTTACTGACCAATTAGGTATCGCATCAGCATTGAGCAAGGAAGCCCACGGACCCGAGGATAGGCATGTTGCGGAGATCACACGGCCAGTTTTTGAGGGGACTTCTCCGAGAACGATGCTTTGTAGACTTTATATTTCGCAATGCCACTCACTTTGGTTGAGTACCATGAAGAGTGATTCTTTACTGGCTCCACATGATATGTATGCTATAGTCGAACTGCATAATTTACTGATCGAGATTGTTCGGGATACCAACTAGCTCTCGATATCAGAACCCCGACTCCTGAACGGTATCTAAATAAATAATGGCAAGCCCGGCATCTATTCCTCGCCTAACTGCCATTGTAACGGGCGCTGCTCGCGGGATGTGAGTACATCGCTTTTTGATTATAGGAACTGTGGCACCAATATTGCTTGGCTGAGACGATCGCTGCTGCATCTCTGCACAGTCTTTGTTGAATCCAGATCTGAAACTAGGACCAAAGTTCAATGTATCTTGCTGACGACACTCCCAGTGGCAAGGCTATCGTCCTTCGCCTCATCGAGGCGGGTTACTCTGTCTGTATAAGCGATGTTGCTTCGTCCACAGCCGAAATCGATGCGCTCGTCGCTGAGATCAATTCCAAACACACCTCGCCAGATGCCCCAGCCCGTCCGCGCGCAATTGGTATCGCGGCCAATGTCACTTCCTCGGCAGAGGTTGAGGCCATGATCAAGGAGACGGTTGCCCAGCTGGGGCCATTGACACTGATGGTTGCTAATGCTGGGGTCGCGCAGATCAAACCGCTGCTCAATGTCACCGAGGAGGACGTGGACGAGGTGTTCAATGTCAATGTCAAAGGATTATTCATTTGTTACAAACTCGCTGCCAAGCAGATGATTGCGCAGGGAGATCCCCAGTCAGCCGCTGGCGTAAATGTGTACAAGATCGTGGGTGCGGCCTCGGTTGTGGCATGCAAAGCCTGGGCCACTCTGGGAATCTATTCAGCCAGCAAGTGGGCGGTTCGAGGTCTGACGCAGGCGATGGCCATGGAAATGGCACCGCACAAGATCACTGTGAACGCTTACGCGCCCGGCGTTATTGGAACGGCAATGTGGGAGCAAATCGACGATGCGATGGGACAGCTGACTGGAAAACCGAAAGGGGCCACTTTTAAGCAGACGGAGAATCTGATTTCATTAGGCAGGACAGGCACGCCCGAGGACGTGTCCGGTCTCGTAGGAGGTTACCTTGCCAGTAAAGATTCAGACTATGTGACCGGACAGACCATGGTCGTGGATGGTGGTATCATCTTCACCTAGGTCATCACAGGATACTTGGAGAAGTGTTGATGGTCATTCCTGTATCAATCAAACAACAAACTGGCACCATATGGATCATCTGTTGAGAAGCAGGAACAAGCAAGTTCGGTTACAGAAGACAGCAGGAAATCAAAGACTAACATCGACTCACTGGTAAAGATCTCACTGTCCATAGTGCCAAAAAATAGTGCGAAATCAATCAGGTTCTGACAACCTTCCATTCAGCTCAGCATCACAACTGTGTCTGCCAGTATGCGCGTACGATTACTCTCCGAAGGTGGGAGAGAAGTACATCTTGACTTCTGTCTCAGCCAGAATGGTATACTACATCGCGATCGGGAGGTAGTATTATTTCGATAAGTTGAAGGTCAATAGCAGGGAGCATTACTCAAAAATATAGTCTAGAGATGCCACTCCGAACCGACATTGCCGAGAAAAACTTCTAGATAGGCCTTCTAACCGAGACACGAGATCGGTTATTATGTTGTAAGCTGGCCGATTCCTAGCGACAACGGGTCCACGCGGCACGACTGCATAGTTTCCACACCGGCTTCACTACCTCATCTGCGCGGGAAAATATTTGGAGAACGGTGTCTTCTTTGGGGACAATACTCTTGGAAAACATCGAATCTATCTAGAAGCCTCAAGGCCAATAGAAATATGAAAAAGTTCGATCCACCAATGACCCGCCAAATAAAATGTTCATGCGTGATTGTGATCAGCAAAGCACCAATGTTCTGTAAGAAAATTTGGGAGAAACTAAGAAGCGCGTCCGCTCGTCAGACTGTCCCAGATGTTCGGGATCTCAAGGCCATTGTATGGACTATGGAAGTCAGCACCGGCCGGCAGGAGGACCATAATACATAATATCAAATCTTCAGGCGAGAATTCCCGGGTCTCTTTGACTTCGCAACAGTTGGAAGGATGATTCAGGGGTAACACCATGAGCTCACACATATCTCGGCCCGTAGCTTATTTCGTGAACGGAACAATGATCCCCAGTCGTCGATAAGAATTCATTATTGTAGGTTGGATGGACCACGCGACGGTCCACTGGTTCACCACCAATATATCACATTCGGGAAAGGCTAAACCGACCAATGGTTGACATGCCGTCGCCCATTTGTGAAGAAGCTCATTTCAAGAAAACATTGGCAGGACCCTTGATTCTCTGTTCTGTGTACCGTTCGCCCATGAAGTATCTGATCAAGAATAGTTGCCATGCCTCAGTCATTCGAAGTACTGAACAATCAAGTTAGGCGTAGTAAACTGCAGCGGGAATTGCCCATAGAGACCTGTGGGAATGGATTTACTAGAAGAAAATTTTGTAACTGCTGAGCAATAATGGCTAAGTCTGCGGAGTGGATCCTTCAGAGATTACCATACTCTAGAAGCTCATGTGAGATGAATCTGTCATCGTCGTAAGTTTCACTTCAAGGACAACCGCACAGACACGAACACCGGAGATAGTGCCAAGTAGTGTCCGGCAGTCTCCTTTAGGCCTAACCCAACTGAACTCTTTTCCCCATACTCTCGAACTAGTATCGGGATGCGGATGCCCAAAGAGGCAGAGGAAAGGGAGATCAGCTTTAAGACGCAGTGAGCACCGCCACACCAGCCACGACCGAGACTGATCGTGTTCGTGGTGTTGCCGTAGCCGAAGAAAAGAAAAGCGCAAGAGATCGAACTTCGGATCAGGGGAAAAAAAGTTTGACCGCTGATCATACTCTACCATAGTAGAGCTCGTTCGCGACAAAACTTCAGAAAAGATTCTGAGCCGACAGCAAGCTATAGCCACACTAAAAGCAGTAGGATGAGAAAAAAAAAATAATAAATAAAAACAAAGGAGAGGTTTCGCTGAGACCAAACGCTTCGCGTGCGGTTAACCGACGCTACGTGGATGCTCTGTATGCCAGGAATGAGTCCGCTTCTTGCAGCACCTTGTTATCCGGGGATCTTTGCGGAGGATTTTCTAGTGATCGGGATGGCCGGCAACCCCGTATAAATGATCTCGAATGGCTTATTTATTTCATGCCTAATGAACTCTCTAGACTGCCTGACCGACTTAGATCATCCTGGGCCGATCTTTAGGGAGCAACTAGGGACGGTCCACGGAACAGCAGCGATCGACCCTTAAGATATTCCGGGGACGCTATGAGTCCGTAATCGTATGGTACGAACTTGATCTCCACAATGCTAATATTTGTCCTGTGGCTGAGGCAAGCCAACAGTAACCCGCATCGCAATTTCATCGAGCTTGACGTCGACTCGTCGAGCAAGTCGAGCCACATGGGCTATCCAGAATCTCCACATAGTGACGCCACACGCACCGAATGCGCTCATCCATCGGCTGCTTCCAAATGTGAGCAAATCTTGGTCTTGATCTCGCATCCCGCGTCTGGGACGATGCAACCGTGGTCGGCCACGGGTGCTAGTTGCGATACAGGTCACTTTTCGATCCTGCCAAGGGGAGGACAAGTGTGGCGCAAGCTCAATAATCGAATGCTTGTCGCGTCTGCGCAGGTTTGTTGTGCTCAGGGTTCTGCTCGGGGTTCTCGACGCACAGTGGCGCACAATGGACACAGAAGAATCAAGGTGAGGCCATCTCCACTGACGTACTGTTGTCATGACAGTCATGAAGAGTCTGAGGCTCTGAGCCCAGATTGTCCGGTGGGCAAGACCCGCTTGATCTGGCAGAAGGTAAGTTTGATAGTAGTACTTAGACACGGCCAGCTAGCAAGGTCTTCGGGGAACCTCACTGTGGCTCCTCATCCACAGCAGACGACCCGTGCCCGGTTGGACAAGACAAAGGCTGAAGGTCCAGATACGTCAGGGAGACTGGAGCCAGCAGGACTGTCTGTCGATCGTATCTGGACTAAACAAAGTTCTATCTGAACGGATCGCCCGCTGGCTGCTTGGATCAGCCACCGGCCCTCATGGTGCCTGTGCCAGTGGGCCAGATCAGAAAAGCTATGACGATTCAGCTGCGGGAAAAAAAGAGAAAGAGAAAGAGAGAGAGAGAGTAGAGAAGATACTTACCGTGAAGACGAGGAAATGGACATGATGATGCGGGCAAGCGCCGTGGAGCCGCGGACTGGCAGGAGTGATGCAGATGGAAATTCCCCGAAGGCGTTGAGAAGGAGCTTTTTAACCCTTCCAACACCCCTCGCTTTGCTCTTCTTTTCTTCTCCATCCCAAGTCAGTCAGTTAACTTAGTCGATCACCCAGCTTTGTCTTCTCTGCTCTGCGCGGTATTTTTCATTATACTCTACAGCCTTACCATCATCCATTCATCCATTCATCTTTGTTACTGTCTAGCTTCGGATCTACATCCCCACCGTCATCATGAAGACTGCTACCATTCTCTCCGTTGCCCTCTTCGCTGCCTCGGGTCTGGCCGACACGTCCATTTCTTCATGTGCTGTATGTCGGTCAACATGATCCTGCGGATCCGTCAATTGGAGGCTCAATGCTGATATACTGCTGTAGGAGATGTGCCTGAACAACATGAAGGCCCTTGCTCCTTCTCTGGGTTGCAGCGCGAATGACAGCAACTGCCTGTGCAATAACCAGGACTTCAAGTACGGTGTTCGCGACTGCACCCAGCAGGCTTGCCCTGGTGACGATGTCCAGGCTGCTGTCGCCTTTGCTACTCAGCACTGTGCCAGTGTTGGTAAGTTTCTTCCATCTGCAAACCTTATTATTGGATGGAAGAAAGGGGTAGCTAACATGGGCCCTAGTGAGCTCTGGCTCTGGAAGCTCTAGCGCTTCCTCCAGCGCCTCCTCCAGCGCTTCCTCCGGTGAAGCTTCTGCTTCTGCTTCTGCTACCGGTGCTGGTGCTGCTGGTACCGGTGCCTCCTCTGAGAGCGCTTCTGCTACTGGTGCTGCTACCACTGGATCTGCTGCCGCTTCTGGCGCTGCCGTAAGTTAATAACGTGGAATAGCCAAGAGATGTCATGCTAATTGTTCATTAGGGAGCTGGTGGTTCTTCCAGCGCTATCACCACTGAGCCCGTCCTCTCTACTGTGACCAGCGGCAAGTCTTCTGAGACGACTACCATCGGTAGCACCACCCTTTACACTGTTGTTGGCGGTCCTAACGGTGGCGCTGGTGCCTCCGGCTCTGGTGCTTCTAATGCCTCCGGTGCTGCCAAGACTGGTGCCTCCAGTGCCTCTGGTGCTGCCTCTACCGGTATCTCTGCTGCTTCCAGCGCTGCCAAGTCTGGTGCTTCTGGTGCTTCCAGCGCTGCCAAGTCTGGTGCTTCTGGTGCTGCAGGTGCTGCTAAGACTGGTGCTTCTGGTGCTTCTGGTGTCGCTTCGACCGCTGCTTCTGGTGCTTCCGGTGCCGCTTCGACCGCTGCTGGTGGCGCTGGTTCATCTTCCACCTCCCAGGGCGCTGCTCCCATGGCCACTCTCGGTAGTGGTATGGCCGGTGCTGTCGGTCTTGCCGCTCTTTTCGTCCTGTAAAGCAAATGCGAATCGGTGGCCATTTGAGATTGTCCTCGGCTCATTACCGGTCCGAAGGCTTGCGTCGCTCGCAATGTGTCGACAATCATACGCTAATATTCTATAATACCTGTTTGTGTTTTGGCTTGGTTTGATATCCCTTGGCGACGGACTACGGTGCGGTCTCTTTCCGCGTGGATGATTTATGATTGTATACCATAGGCATGATCAGTCCTTTTACTCGGCGTGGTAGCGTTTCCACCACATTCGTTTAGGAGCTGTCATCATGGCAGTTAGAAGTAATGGCAAAATATCGCATTGTACTCCCTTGATCTTCTTGCCGTATCACGTAAGATATAAAGGTCATCATTTCGTGGCTTCTGTTGTAGTATTCGGTTACTTGGCCAGTAGGTTGAAACCGGAGCAGTTGACTCCACCGTCGTGGATAGTTAAATTCATCAAGAGTTGGCATTGATATGGAGACTTGGGATCGTGGTAATAACGTCACTAGTCATCTATTACTCATAGCAGACTTGATCAGATCGCCTTTACATGGGCGGTGAACAAAGAGACGACAGCTGATGTTCATATGTTGGGGCTGGAGTGGTTGTCGCTGGCCTAAATAAACATTGACTCTTTGAGTCACAGACATATATCCATTGACTATGTTACGCTACCATACCTCATCATTTGTTATTACAACTATAACTTGATTATCATCTTGCGGGACTGTGGTCCATGTTGTTTTCGAGAAACCGGTTTCAAGCAAGAGTGGAGTACTTAGTCTGCAAGATTCAACCTGATCGACCAAACAACGCTAGAAGCCTACTTACTGGCCCGTTCACCAATCCGAACTATTCCAGAGATGTCATTCATATACGTACTGAGAATCATTTGTTCTAGAAACACGTTTAACTATCAAAATTGGCGAATCAGATATCAGCAGGCGTAAATCCCGAAGCAGGAATCGTGCCCATGCAATCAATGACAGAAGAAAAGAGAAGTGTACTTTCCACATCACGACTCAGTCGTTATATACGTTCCCTCAGACTTTGCCTCATAAGTAGTCCGATGGCGCAGTCGACCTGTCGCGTCATGCTCTGCATCCCAGCGAGATAGTTCGCTGTGCGGTACTCTGATGAGTTTATGCGTTGAGCCGCCGCCGTCCAGCTCGATGATGGTTTGTCGAAGTTCGTATTTTCCGATTTTGGGGAGGACCTTTACCCATATGTAGTAGTATACTCCGCACAGTGCGATGCTGGACTGTATGTTAGCAGGTGGCTTTGTTTATCTGGGGAAGTGATGACCTGGGGATTGTACTTATACTTACATTCCAAGACCCGCGGCGCAATACGTCGCGTACCAGAAACTGACGTCTCCGCCATCTGCTCCCGTGTCTGGCGGGTACCATGGCATGACGAGCATGTAAAGGTTAGAGATGATCGAGAACCAGACTACAACGTCCCACGCTCTGTAACTGGCTTGTGGAAACCCGAGTTTCTTACGCCGATAACGGGTGACGAGTAAACCGATGCCTAGGATGAAGGTGAAAAAAGAGGTCGGGTATAGGGCGAGATCGACGACTGAGTTGTCGAGTAGTTAGCAATGCGGGATCAAGAAATAGATTATATTGGAGCTAACCGAAGTTGAAGGCATCGCCGAAGGGAGGAGCTATAATCATGATGATTGTCAATGCCCATTTTACAAAGTACGGACCCAGAGGAGTTCCGAAGGGCTGAGTTGATGTCCAGAAGCTAGTCCAGGGGAGAACGCCTTGTCTATCCCATAAGTATCGTCAGCATCCACTATTAGCGCATGGGGATGTATGTATTCGACTGACCTTCCACACTCACGCAGCATCCGAGACTGTCCGATCAAGACAGCCAGCAAATTGCCAAAAGCACTGAGACAAATAAGACAGTTCAGCGCTCGCGAAGCCCCTCCGCTACCGAATACATTCTGAAAGAATACACTCGCCGCGGTATTCTCCGACTTGAGGATCTCATCGGTCGTTGCAGCACTGAAATAGGCAACGTTGGCAAGGATGTAAAGCACTGCCGTTATCGTCAATGACACTGGCGCGCTCCAGCGCAAGGTCTTGACTGGATTCTTGACCTCATTCACGACGTTGAATGCATTTTCGTAGCCAGCATATGAAAACATGACTTTCACCAATGCATTCGTAGCACCGTATGGACTGGCTTTGGAACTGCCCGAGAAAGCGTTTCGGAAGTTGGCTGTTGGATCCTTCACGCGCGTGTTGCCTCCGAGCACAACAAGCCCAGTGATGCCGACAAGGACGAGGGTTATGAATTTCACGACACTAATGGCATTTGCGAAGCGCAAAGACCATTTTGTATTGAATGCGAGGCCTGTATGCTTTTGTTAGAAGTGTTTGGTCAATCGCAGGAGTATGATGTGTTAGGATAGATATAGACCTACAGAGAACAGCTACAGTGTAGGAAGCTATGGCGACCCCCTTATACTCCCAATCTGTACCAGTTGAATCCGCGAGTTTGTACAAATATTGTGCCAGCACTGTTTTGATGCATTCAGTCTTGTCAGGATGTTCCTTACTTATTATACCAATTCAAGGCGCTGAGCCACTCACCGACAGCATTGCTGCTGCTAAATGACAGCACAACCGTCTGCATCGCAAACACAGTCGGGAAGAAATACTTTGGTCGCGGAAAGGACTGTTCAAAGTACACCACTTCTGATCCCGATCGACTTGGGAAGTACGACGCAAACTCCAAGTAGACAGCCAGGTTACTGAAAGCCATCAAATACCCAATGGTCCAGTAGATGAAAGCCAACCCGACCGAACCAGCACCTTTCATCACCGAGGACGGAGTCGAGAACACTCCCGTCCCGATCATCTTACTCAGATTCAGACATATGATTGTAATTGGGCCGACAGAGTAGCCCAGAGGTGATTTGACCTCGACCGGAGCACCACTGGCTTCTTGATAGGTTGGCAAAGATGAATTTTCACCAGCTTCGAGGGTGAATTTCAAGCTTCCCAAGTCGACGATGCTGCTATCGATCTCGTGGGAATTCCTCTCCTCGGATTTATTCTTTGAAGGGAATGGGAGCGCCATATTGCTGGTTGTAGACGAGCTGACGACTGACTATCGGAAATACACACAGAGAAGAGGGAAGACACGATATAAATGCATCTCTCGCACAGTCCATCTCGAGAAACAGGTCTAGAACTACCTCATGCCAATGCAACGATGCTAGAAACGTGGGTTGGATGTCGTTTCAGATGCTCATCGTTAGATCCAATTGCGCAATCTCGATCCGACCCGATGGAGGCCCATGCCAGCGACGGCCTTGTCGCATAGCTCCCAGGCGGTTATCTCTGCTTAGTCTCGATCTGAATAACAATCACGTATTCGCCATTATTTCGTCTGGAGAGGTGGGCCGATGAGATTCTGTGGAGAAGTAGGTAGGTATCAAGCGTGAGTTGAGTTGTGTGTGGTTTCCTGACTCCTGTAGAAGTCGACTTTGGGTTGATAGCACGACGAGTAGTTCACTCCATTGAACTCACAGAATATTTTAGCGAAAGAATATGGATATTATACGTCTGCATTTGTAACTTTCAGTGACCTACTAAAGTCGAAGATTACCTAGGTACCTACAATTGATGGAATCTGATACATGTACCGCGTGAAGAAAGAAGTTTCGAAACTATCACCCACTGAAAAACAATATGAAATTAACACACTGTCGTCCTGCGGTATATTAGAACCATTGCGCAAGTTACTAGACTCTATTCCATGGCATAATCCATCCACTTATCTCCGTTTATCTTGGCAGGTTGAGATAAAAGCACGGGCGCAAACACGTTTGAACACGAAGGAGCCACTAATATGGCGTCAACTTTGCTAAAGGACCTCGGGACGCCACTTCCGTAGCACTAGGTAGGTAGACCAATATATACTATATCGTTTGTGGTTGTGGTCGTGGTTGTTATCTCCCGAGGTCATTGTCAAAGTTTAACTACCTATTCTCTAGATGATGTGGATGGTGTGTGGGGTATGGTGGTAAACATTATGGTTCTTTTACCGTGACATGCTTCTATGTACTCGATAAGAATCACTCTAAGAGTTCATTCAGAAAAAGAGTCAAGTACGAATGGGATGTGCAAACTACCTTCACTTTCTAACGTCGGTTTCGGGGCTGTATGATCTATGGGTCAACGTACACTGATACCTCGAAAGGAGACATCATGAAAATGAAATCGCTCGGAAAAATATCTTCCTTTATTGCATCAGAGGAGATCGTCTGTAATACCTTCAGCGTTGATGGGCATCTCTATCTCGGCGGGTTGTGGTTATGTCTCACATCGCTATGTGTCATTTAGATGCTTGTTCGCGCGTGAAAAGATATGATTATACATAAATTCACGGGGAGCCCAGATCCAGTTTATGACCAGGAATGCGGCCAGAATTGCAGTCCCTATAGGTACTTCGTTCATTTTATGCCTTCAACTATAGCAAGAAAACTACGGAACGCATTCAAGGCAGATCAGATTCGACGATCTAATAGAAACGATCTGATTCGGTGATAGATGTATATACGTATATAGTACATACTATGAGTTCGCCTGGGATACGAAATCTATTTACACGGATCCTGTCTGACGATCTAGAAGGCAAATATACCGGCCGAAAAGAAATACGACAATCAATCACCAATGAATATATACTGGAAGAAGTAATGACCCGTAGCTCGCTAACATATTGACAGCGGGTATAATCCACAAGATGTGGCCGATCCGTCAAAGGCCCTCCAAGATGGGTATAAATGGAGACACAGGAGGAGACGTCCAGACCGTGAATAGAAGAAGAAACCTGACGCTGACGCTGGACATAGAATCAACCAACAGAATAGAGTCTTCCAAAAAAAAAAAAATCGCTACACTTTTTTCTTTAGTCGTGCTCCAATCGCTCGTTACTCAAAGAATCTGTTCATGAGCTTGTGCGCTACTTCGACTCCCAAGCTGTTGATAGTTAGTTTCGAGTAGCACAAAAATCACAGAAAGGCAACTCACAATGTGGCGGCGTTCGCGGGCACCGCTCGAGCAAGAGCTGGTCCAAATCCAGGGAAGAAGGCCTTGAAACCGCCGTTACCGTAGATGGACCGGATAGTGCCTCCGATCGTCGGCCGGCCCTCCGCACTCTGCATTTGAGACTTGATGGTGTCGACGGGGAAGACAGGAATCCACATGGCAATACCGGCAGCACCACCAGCAGTCAACACGGCGGGCAGGGAGAGTTCACCGGTAACGTTGCCTTCTGCATCCTTGGGAGTGAGTCTGCGCTTGATGTATTCGTAGGCGGCGAAGTACGCAGCGGATCCAGGACCATCACGTGCGAGAGTCATTGCGCTTCCACGGAAGACACTGCGAATGCCGCCTTCTTTGTATAGCTGTCGAACCACATCCACACCGCCAGAGTATTTCGGCTTCTGGCCTGGAGGTGGTGGGTTCTGGCCCTGGATCTGAAGCAGAACCTTGACTCGCTCGAAAGGTGCCGTGATCAGGGTCATTGGAATCGCGGAGAAGAAACCTGCCGCCGAGATCTGGCCAATTGAGTACTGGGGAGTGCCGTTCTTGACGGGAACTTCAGACATATTGCTGACGATCGTCTTGCCCAAGTCATAGCCCTGTGTGCGGTTAATAGTCGCTCATAGCGATAGAGCTGCAGCTGCATGACCTACCCAGAAGCTAACCGCGACTTCAAGAGATCAGTTAGCTAACGTGTGTTTAGAGAGCTACAAGGGAAGGGAGGATACTCACACATCGGCGTGACACCAACCAAGGGCGCGGAAACTCCGGCATAGAGTCCCTAAGATGCCATTGTCAACGAAGTGCTCTCCGAAAGACTTGCACGCGTCATCCCTACCCTGGCCAGACCCTCTCGGGCAATAGTCTTCCTCACAACATCCATAGCACCCGAGTAGACTCCCTTCTGCGCAGTCTGCATCCGCACCTTGACCAGATCGAACGGATGGCCGATCACGACGGCGCAGACACCTCCCACGCCCCCCGCGGCGAAGGAGCGAATCTGCGCCAGAGTCTGGTTGACGGTCTTGGACTCTGTGGCCCTGACTTCGTCAGAGACCTCCTGAGGGTTCGTAGGGGCGGTTGAAGACATGATAATTGCGGGGTGACGAGGATGTGGAGGTGAAAAGGGAAGAGGAAAGCTCAGGAAGCAGCGCGGAAGGGAGCAGATGCCAGAGGACGCTGAAGGGTAAGGAACACAGAGAGAAACGATTGGAGGCGCGGGCCCTGGGGGTTTGATAGATAGTTAAGACAGAGCCGCGAAGTGGGATGCCGATCGAAAGCGACGACTGCTAGCTTGTTATACTCAATAGTAATAAACCTCGGCTCGGTTCTGGAGAAACCTCCGCCGGGGAAAAGACAGGTTCGTGTCGGGCGAGCGCGCCAAGAAGGTCGAAGGGAAAGGAATGAACTGAAAAGGAATCGTTTATTCTGGGGTTCATCCGCTGATCGTTTCTGGGGCAGACCAACCACGCACGAGGAATGTCTCGCTTCACGCTGTTCACAGCTGTCGACCCCTCCGGATGAACGGGCAGCTCTGTGCTGTCTGATCCAGGCTTGTAGATGTCATCATCTAACTAAGTAGTTACCCCAGATGGACCTTTTGAAGAGAGAGCGCTGTCATCGAGTCATGTCCAGGTGCAGATAGTCCATCGTCAATAATGGCATCATGATGCTATGCATCAATACATGACCATGTATATAGGATTTCGAGGGCCTCAAGGACATTAATGGCAGTAGATCGTACTTGAGATGATCCTGCATTCTCCATTCTAGAAGGAAGGCCATCTCAGATCTGGAGTTAACTGTAATCAATACCAGTGCTCCAACCAGTTGGTTAGTGGCAACTATCTCACATAATAATAATACTGAGAACACGAGGAGTAATAGTAGATGGATTAAAACATTTTCATCGCTCGCGTACTTTGTATGACCTGTGATTAACCACGGCTGATTCCTATGTATAGAAACAATAATCGCGGCAAATAGGGAAGTTTTCTCTGTTCCGGTAGGGCCGAGCCTCGTCGGCGATGCAGCGTAATCTAATAAACATCCTAGGCAGCAGAGCCTTGAAAAGCCCTGTAGCCTCGATCCAACGACGAACATCGCTCCTTAAGTTCGACTACTCTAAGCGACGTGCAGCGCCTTTGGGGGCCAGAGCTGTCTGGCCAGCCATTAAGATAGATAGTTGGATGGCAAAAAAGAGTCGACTAGACTACTTCGTTAACGGAGAGTCGGCGAGTTGTGCTCAGCCCCCGACCCGTCTGGCTGCCTGGATACTCTACGCTACGCTACGCTACGCGCGGCTCTGCTTTCAACTCTCACTTAATAATAGAGCCGCTCCTCTTCATCCATCAACCTTTCTCTCGCTCTTTTTTATTTGTTTATTTATTTTCCCTTTCCTATCACTTTCTTGATACCCCCATAACCTGTCTCTTGTCGTCTCGCATTGCAATTGCAAAACAGAAGTGGTAACAACGACAATGACGGGCTGGACATCGCACCTCGCTCGGCGAGGCATCCAGGCTGCCTCAGTGCAGTACTCTGAGGGACCGGACAATGGTATCCAGGTCAAGGTTCCGGCATGGGGATGGGCTCTATTCCTGATCACAGGCGCCATCTTCGCTGCTGTGGTGTTCACTGTAGGTCCCATGATATCCGGACGAGACAAGAGCGCTGCCGGACAATGCTAATCGTATCTGATTCCAGGCTAACTACACCTGCGGAATGATCATTCCGACCCTGGCGGCTGTGGAAGACCCGAACCCCGATATCTATCTCCAAATCGATACCGACCCTAATGCCCCGAAGCCCGCTGGCGATGTCGAAGAGCCTCTGCCTCCTGCCCGTCCCATCACGAGCAAGCTGCGCACGACGATTCGCCATCTGCGTGCTCGCGCTGGTCGCTGGTCGACCTTCCGCGGGCTGAGCATGTTCCTAGCCTGGCTGGTAGCCAGCAGTTTCCTGACTTCTATCTTCTCGACCCTCTTCGGCTTCTCCTACTTTGGCCGTTCTCTCACCCAGATCATCGTGCAGACTCTCCTGGCTAACATGGAGATGGCATGGATCCATATCGTAATCTCGGAGCCGTCGACCAAACGGTGGTATAAACGAATTCCCGGCCGCAACAGCTGGAGGAAGATCGCCCCCGTCGCAGCCTTGCGGAGCCTTGTGGACCAGGCTTCCTTCTATCTGCCGCTGGCCCTGGGCCGTGCTTTCAAGGTGCTGCAGCCAACGAATGGCAGCAACATGCTCTGGGTGTCAGACGAGCTCCCTCCTGTCAAGGCTCTGGTTGGTGCGATGGTGGTGATGATGAGTAGTCTTGCGGTCGCACTCCTGATTGAGCTGCCCGCGACCATGGTCTTCACACGTATCGCAGCCTCCATGCTGCCTGAGGAAGATGAGACTATTGTGCCCTTTGACCGTACCTTTGGCGGCAAGGTTACCCCCGAGATTCTGGGCGGTGGCCGCGTGGGCATTCTCGATGCCTGGAACAGCTTCGATTGGTCTTCGCGTATCCGGTACCTGAAGGCTGTTTGCAAGGCTCTACTGATCAATATCGCTCTGGGAACCGTTTTCGGTTTGATCCTCCTGGGTGAGGCGCGTCTTATCCTAGGGGATGCTTTCGACAAAGCGGTTGTCGCTATGGCGTCCAGCTCTTAAGGACCGGAAAGTTCGCGACTTTCAACTCTGATCGGCTGCGCTCTACAATCCCACAAGGCTTAGCACAGGAAGATCTGCATTATGCAGATAGATATCCAGGTGGACAGATACGTAGATCTCATGCGTTGGGCCTGTTATGTTTCTAGTCTTGGCGCCTTACGTCCAAGGTCCTCTCTTTCCATATTCCAGTAAATCGATTCCATCTTCGATCTGTAACATTGCTTTCATGTATCCGCACTAGCAGTAAAGTCTGGTCCACTAGGGTTTGCTTCCATAGATCTCCTTTATAGGGGACCGTGGCGGCGGAGCGCTTACATTTCCGTGGCGGGCGATAGACATGATGTTATCGTTTCCGGCCTCCGAACAAACCCCGCGGCAGAAAAGCGTTGTCGCCCCTCTCCTCCTCCTCCTACATTCTCCCCACGCAAGCTCTCTCGTTTCTTGTTTTGACCTGTTAGCTTTGCTACGCTGCTTCGATCTTAGTCTTCAGAAACAGACACCATCGAAAGATCATCTCCGCCCATCCCGCTGTCTGCTCCGCCACTGGCTTTTACCCCCTACACCGCCTTAGGTTTCACCTCCTCGTCAGCGCGGTCTGTCCGGACACTATCATTTCCTTCAACTGCCCTGGAGACAGTCTTTGGAGCAGAAACAGAAGAGATCCACAGTCATGGCCACTACCCCCGCTGGCCGCATGCTGACCCGTCAGCTGCAGCAGATGCAATCCGACAAGGACATTCCAGGCATCAGCTGCGGACTGGCGGACAACAACATCCTTGAGTGGGAGGTAATGCTGATGATTTCGGACGATGTGAAGCTGTATGGTGGTATGTATATCAGTTGATATTGGTGGCTATGTGTGTCCTGTTAACTTTGATATTGTGCAGGTGGTTTCTTCCGCGCGAGACTATCTTTCCCACCGGACTACCCTATTATGCCACCAAAGATGAAATTTGAGACTCCCATTTTTCATCCTAACAGTATGTTTCTTTGTTTTCAATGTTCACCGAAATAGTACTCACACCCTAACCCCTATCCAGTCTATCCCAACGGCGAAGTCTGCATTTCTATTCTACACCCACCGGAGGAAGACAAGTATGGCTACGAATCCGCTGCGGAACGCTGGTCGCCCGTGCAGACGCCAGAGACTATCCTGCTATCTGTGATCTCAATGCTGTCCTCGCCGAATGATGAATCACCCGCGAATGTGGAGGCTGCCAGGCTCTGGCGCGAAGATCCCAAGGAGTTCAAGAAGCGAGTGAGGAAGTGCGTCCGTGAGAGTCTAGGAGAAGAGTGAAGCTGGACTGGGATACACGGATATTATTTTGCCTTTCTCTTGATCTGCACATGGTTACAGCGGAACGCCGTTTTCTCCAGCTTTCATGCTGGTCTTTGATACACCTAAGGGCCAGGGAAGGTTTGCTTTTCTACCTGGCTTCTCCGTTATTATTTGGTCGGGCTCTATCAGCGATCTTATGCATTTTTCGGATATCTTCTTTTTGGTTTCATTTCTTGGTATTTGTCATCTTGACCTCTGTGGCTCTCGAGAATTGCATTACAGCCTTTCGTGTGAAGTTAGGTCATACATTATTTTCGATCACAGACTTACGTAGCTAAATTGTATACTTGTTATAGAGCAGGGCCATTAGCAGAAAGCCAAGGTGACGACTATCGATCAGATGGATAGAGAAGCGGGTAGCCTTCGTTGCGGGCCCCCTTCGGTAGTAAATTAAATACTTAGCTCTAGCAAAGACATCAAACAACAGATCTCTACCGACACAAATCTCAACGCCCCAAAGCTTCCTCAACACTTGCCTTGTCAACTCTGGCGTCCTCTATAATCTTCCAAAACATCTGTGTTGTTTCTTTCAGTATCCCAACGGTCCTTGCTCTGTTCCGCATGTCAGGGGTCCTCGCCAGCAAGTATGCAATTCCCGCTCCCAAGTATGACATGTCCAGCTGATCAAAAGGTATTTGCTGGAGCTCTGGAATAAGATCAAATGGCAACCGAGCTACCCAATATGAGTCAGGAATGAACCAATCAAACGCCGCTATAAGGTTTGCTGTGTCTATCTCCCTTGTATTTTCAATAATCAAATATTTAATCTCCATTGGGAGATCGTCACGGAAAGACCGGGGTCTGACAGTTGCACGAGTTACCTCCTTCAGTTTCAAACTTTTCGCAGATCGACGTTGTATGGCTTTCGCGATCAACTGTTGAACAGAACGCAATCTGAGAGGATCTCTCATATACGACCGGTTCCGGAGAGGATGCACACACATTGAACATCCGGACAAGGAGGTAGTGTGTCCACCCAGTCCGAAAGAGAGGCTTTTGAACTTCTGTCGAAGAGCGGATACGAGGCTCGGCAGCTGTTCCTTCGCCTGGGGCCCTATCATTCCTTCCAGCAGTTTCCAGCAGCGTGCATGAATAAGATAACACCATGATGTTTCGTCTTTTCTTTCCACAGGAGGGTCATCCAAAAGGCTTATAGGATGTAACTCAACGCTGTAATAAGTGCTGCACATATCGTCTCCTAAAATACATGCGTTTCTTTCCCAGGGTACCCCTACCACGGCAAGGCTTTCCAGCCCCTGCGCTATCCCCGAAATCCTGTAATTCCCTTGTTTCCAGGCTGGAATAACTGTATATATCGTCAAAACGGAAACATCAGTAAGTCCATTTGTGGACACGAAATATATTCATAGCAGGTGTGAGGATAACATACTAGCACGGAAAAAGGTGCTCCACATCAAGACAGTCGAGAAACATGCTTCGTCAATTTCGTCGGCATCACACCACCCACACTCTGGGTAATCGCACTGATGTCTCTTCAAGTTCACCTTTAATTTCTCCCTCCGAATATCCTCAACGGCCGATATACCTGCCGCGCAAGCTGCGCAGCCATAAAATGGAGTTTCGAAGTAGGATTTATCATCTTTTTGCGACATTGTCGATCTTATTTTGGTCATGGATGAATCAATAGATGAGTGTTGCTTTTTTTTGTTTGTTTTAACTGGTATTATACACGTCTTATAGGAAATATTGACTATTTTCTAAAATTCTCCTTGCGTGACATGTCCAACCCAGCTGTTGATGTCATCATGAGTGCTAGACCATATTTTTTCGGTGCTCCTTTGGGAAATGGATGAGGCATCGTGGCCTGGAATAGATCTGAGGGTTGGAGATGAAATATATTGATAATCTTTTACACTTGAAAATGTCATTGAAGTACGCTGTGCCTAGGTTGTGAGTGGACACATCGAATCAAACGTAGCACACCGAACGTAATATCTATACAACCGTTGCATGGATGACTACACAGGCGGAGTCTTTATCAAGCATAATTAAGCATCCTATCTAGGTACAGAGACCGTAACCCTCAATTCAAGGTAGAATGACACAAGCACTCAGTCCCCTGTAAGCAGCCCTGGCTGGCAATCAAGGTTCCTGCTCAGCAATGCTGTATGCAATTTGGCGTCAGCCTATGATGCAGCTTACAAGACGGACTATGTATGTAGCATTAGGGATAGTTAAGGCCCCTCGTGCTTCGAGTTATGACTGGTAGAATTGTCTTTCTCGCTAGTGCAGGTACATACTTTAGATGTCCACTAGCAAATTACCATTCTTGATACCTATTTCAGGTAAAACATCTCGTTTCTCAGAAGCTCTTTATTGCGAAGAACTTATTTATAGATTTTCCGCTGGCTATCGCACTCGTTCTGAATCTCTCTCTCTTGTCGTGTGCTTATCTGGGGACCTTGGGAGAAAAACGGTAAATGGTTGTGTGTCCCTTTTGAGACAACTTGGTATATCCGCAAGACAGTATATGCAGAGCAATAGGATAAATAGGATATTTTTTGTTCTATCATGCAAAACACTTTGTTTATCCTGGCTTCTAGAACAGTGATGTGTGTGGTCAGATTTAATTGTTCTCCAAACATTGGCCGCTGATCGGCACTCGCAAGCAGTTAGGACGAAAAGAAGCAGCCTTAGCCACGAACGCCACAACTTCTCCTCCGTCCGCCCCGAACCCCGTATTCTCCTTATCTATCTGCCGGCCGCGAAACATCGAAACAGCTCAACCACTGCCGCACGACACAAACCTTCGCCTTTCTACGCTCCTTTTAAAGCGCATTCATAATCCAGATTTAATATTATTCTCGTCGCGACCATCCTATCATGTCTTCCTGCTAACACGCTCCTTGGTATCGGTCTCAATTGAGCTGTGGGGAGCTCGATTCTCACCCATCCCCCGCGTACCACGTCCCTCGTTTGCGAGCTCACCCATGCGATTTACCTCTGCATAACTCATATTGCCTCAGTTGTTCAATTGAAGGAGCGCGGAAGTCATCATGTCGACCTCCTCCACTCTCTCAAGCGTCAGCCACCATGTCCACGACTCTCCAAAACGTGGTCATAGCCGGCACGGTCACTCGCGATCTCGTCGTCGATCACCGGCCCCCAGTTCCCTACCTTTTGCCTCTGGCGATCATCAATTTCACCAGGTCCTAGACCCAATCGCTTCTGCAAGAATTACTGAAGGGCATACGTTGGAAGGATATTTTCCTTCGAATGACGGTGCTCACGACCACAACCACGACCACGACCACGACCACGATCATGCCCATCACCACCACCACAACAACAGTCATGATCACCATCATCATGGTCACCATCGTCACAGTAGCAGCCATGGGTCACACTCGCACCTGGCTTCAAATGGGTTTATCGGGGGTGGTTTGACGAGTATAGTGGCCGAAAATGTGGCTGCGGATGAAAAGCACGAGTTTGCTGCTCCTTCGCATTCGCACCCTGAACACCCAGAAAACAAAAGTTCGCAGACGTAAGTAGACTTTTCGCGGGATTTTTGTTCGGAGATATCATTCATTTCTCACATTGCGTGCAGCAGTGATATTGTTACCGGTCTCGTGATGGTCCTTCCGTGGGTCTTGTTATCATGGTATTGGAGACAGTACGCAGATTCGGCCACGCTAAACAGCGATGATTGGCTTCGGGCATCAACTTCAGATTCTGAGTCGCAAATAGTAGCAGATGCACCGGAGAGTGGCTCTGATTTGGAGCAGCTAGCAGGATTGGTATCCGCCACTTTGATATTTACTGGCTCCTGGCAAATAATGCGACGGGAAAAGGCAACCGGTGCAGACCCTGTCTCGACGGTATACCTACCCCGTCTCAATGCTGCGGCAATGCAAAAGTCTGCCCTCAGGGTTCTCTCGTTGGCTTTACCTATCTACGCAGCTATGAAAATTGGCCCTGTGGCTGTTGCTCTTGCCCTGCTTCTGGCCTCTGCGTCCGGCCTACCAGCTGTATTTACAGTGGGCGGTAACCGCAACAATTCGAAGCAAAGTCTGGGTCGCAAGAAGCTCACACTCGTAGCCCTGCTTATGTTTACCTCTCTGGGATTTTTGAACTTAGATACGCCTGTAGATCGGGCGCCGTTCAAGGGGTATCTGGCATTATTCGTCTCCATCTTCCTGCTCAGGCTCCCTTTCCCCGAGCCCGTTCGTGGACCAGAGTCTGTCTCCGGAACTGGTGAATCTGTCTCGACAGTCTTGGATGCTGGAGCTTACGCTCTAGGTGATCACGGCACTGCCACTGTTTTATCATCCCTTGTCGCTACACCGGATGATACCATGTTGACAATATTCTCGGGAGGTGTCCTAGCAGCTGTCTCTCTCTTCCTACACATTATCCGCGGATCATCTTCTACAGGCTTTTCAGACATTCTCTGGGCCTCTCTCACATCCGCTGCATTTGCGATGTCGCTGATCTCGGCATCTCCCATGAATCTTCGCAGTTCCCACAAATTGGGTATGGCCGCAGGATCTGTTTTCGCTGTCATCTTTGGGGCTCTTCCACACTTGGAGAGTGGTTTTGTCGGTTACTGTACCTGGGCCTTTTTGGCTGGGTTTTCATATGCGGCTGCTCGTTTCGATGGCCAGTCTAGTTCCCACTCGCATGGACACCATCATCACAGCAATGCGAATCCGTCCAAGATTTCGGCGGCCCTTATTGAGTTCTCTGAGCCTTATCCATTATTGCATAGCATCATAAAAGAGAGGGATTCTCGTCGGATATTCTATTTTATGACGTGAGGGCTACTGTACCTTTAATTCCACGACGAGCGCTGACTAAATCTTATAGCCTTAACTTCGCATTCATGCTCGTTCAACTGTCCTATGGAATTGTTACCGGCTCTCTGGGGCTCTTGAGTGATAGCATACATATGTTCTTTGACTGTCTTGCTCTGGTTGTTGGCCTATGCGCTGCAGTCATGAGCAAGTGGCCTCCCAGCGCTAGGTTTCCTTATGGATATGGAAAGGTAGACACCTTGTCCGGGTTTGCAAACGGCATATTCCTCATGTAAGTTTCCAGTCGTGGTCCAATGACTGGAGAGATACTGACTTTCTGCAGGATCATAAGTGTTGAGATCGTCTACGAGGCTATTGAGAGGTTGCTCTCAGGCAGTGAGATGCATCGGATAGCAGAGCTGTTGGTTGTCAGCGCCGCTGGTCTTGCTGTAAACCTTGTCGGTATAATGGCCTTCGATCATGCTCATCATGGTCATTCACACGGTCATGACCACGGCCACTCTCATTCCCATGCCAATGAAAATATGCATGGTATCTTCCTTCACATCCTTGCTGATACTCTTGGCTCTGTTGCAGTCGTTATTTCGACTATTCTCGTCCAGCTGTATGGCTGGCCAGGATTTGATCCTATTGCTTCCTGTCTAATTGCAATCCTGATTTTCGCCTCTGCTATTCCGCTTGTGAGCAGCACCGCAAAAACACTACTGCTGACTCTGCCAGCGGATGTGGAATACAATTTACGCGATACATTGGGCGGTATCACCAATCTCAGAGGTGTCGTCGGATACACTGTGCCGAAATTCTGGCTCGATGACACCGCGAACGCATCTCACGATCATGATCATGATCATGATCACCACGATCACTCACATGCACACGGCCACGACCATGACCACGACCACGACCATGACCACGACCACGACCACGACCATTCCCATAGCCACGATCAACCGAATCCAAAGGTCCTAGGAGTTATCCATGTTGTAGCTTCACGGGGAGCTGACTTGGATGATGTACGGCAGCGAACAGTCAGCTACTTGCAGGAAAAGAACATGGACATCCTTGTCCAGGTTGAACGGGAAGGTGATGGACGTTGTTGGTGTGGCGCAGGGAACAAAAGCTCCTGAGTGGGCGCAACCTTCTTGTATATTGTATCTACTTTTTGAAATTCAATGTGCATGTCTACGTGGTAAAGCACGGTCATTTATTTTTGAATTTGGTGGTACCTCCCACTAGGCGCCAGCCAGCGATCAGCACTATGTTCATTTCGATACCTCCGTTGTTCATCTTGGCCATATCCCCTTAGCACGTCCTACTATTTTTACTGGAGTTCCTGTGGTGATCTCCTGCGGCGATTGCCCACATCAAATATGCTGGATAGGAGTCTAACCACATACTTTTTGTTATACATATCCGCTTTGCCACATGGATTCCGCGCAGGATCTGAGCCGATGATTGCTCGGTTTCCCGAAACATATTCATACGTTAGATCCCGACAGAAGGCTTGCTTTTCGGGTTCTGACTCATGACATACAATTATCGCAAACATGACAATAAGTAGATATTTGTCATGATTGAAACGTCAACTTCCAAGAGTAATAGCCCATAGCTTCAAACCACAAGCACGGTGTTTCCCTGGATATACAAGTCGGAAAACCAGCGGTTTCATATCTACAAAAGGTTTGAAACGTTGTCCTCAGGAATGGATATATTCTCGTCCATCTCCCAGACCATGGGAAGCCATCTCTGCTCATTCACCTTCACTTTGCACGCGAGATCCCTTGAGATAATTATCCGACGCTTTGTCTGTTGATCGCATCAGACATACTCGTTTTCCGCTTCAACTTCCTGTATCGCGATGGCAGCGCCAACAGGGGCACAAGCCGGTGACTTATTTGAGGAACCTGGTGTATTCCTAGATGATACTGAAATGAATGGGGTCCCGGATAGTCCTTCAATGGAACTGGGAGAAATCCGTCAAGATGCTCCCACAAGTCTCAATGCATCTACTTCCGCCTATGGAGCTGATGACGAACGCTCGGACATCCCCCGTCCATCCCAACCACCGCAGGAGCCAAGAGACCGTTCGCAAAGACAACAACCAGACACAACTTGTTACCAGAGTCATGGCCGCTACAGATGTCCCTGTAATTGTGGGTGCGAAGCATGCTTCTGCGATGAGCCCTGGCCGGCAGAAGATCCTGATCGTACTCCGAGAGCCGTTGAGCCTATGGTCTTGCAGGCCGACTTTACGAGTTCAGCGGAGATCACTGCTGAGAATTTCACGGATCGGATTTATGGCCTTGGCCTGGATGACTTTATGGACGTGATGGACATAGAGAACAATCCATGGGGGACAGCTCGAAGGCGGTACCGTCTTTCAGGGGGTTACGGTCGATACCCACAAATGAGATGGGATATGTCTTCTCCAGACCTGCCTGAGTATCATCCTCAATGGAGATACAGGGGCCGATATTCACCGACTTTTCAATACAGTCCTGATTCTGACGGAACCCAATATCTACCTCCCATGTTTCATATGCATAACCATCGCCATCGTTATCGTGACAACCGCAGGCGCTATCAAAATCAGACATCTCGCCCGAATAATGTGAGCTTGATGAGCCAACTAGCTCGCCCGATTTCATATTCCTTGGATCTTCTCCATTTGTTCGCTACGTTAGTGATCCTGTACGGAGCTGTGCGGCTGTATCTTTTTGACCTTCGTCTGAATACTACTATAGCATTTCCATGAAGGGTGATCTCTACTTGATGTTATTTCGGGGATTTGTGGTATCTTTGGTTTTATTTTCGGGTGGTTTTCTATGGTGACTGTTTCTATGCATGCTTGATTTGCTGTCTCTTTTGTCGGGCTGGAGTTGGTTTAAACTAGACTTGTATCTCTAGGGAATGAGTCGTTAAGTAGCAGAAATTGTTTATATCAATACAGCTACCAAGTTGGTACCTATATCGAAATCTAGGAGAATATGAGAGACCCTTGCTCATATGACTCAATGCCGTGTGTTTCCTGCTCTTCTTCATGGGAAGACTTCTTGCCCACATAAGGATAGGATCCAAGGCTTCTTGAACAAGGCAGCCCATCTTCTCCAGCGCTAACTTCTCAATCCGGGTGCAAAGAAGACTAAATATCCCATGGATTCATAATTTCAAGCTCGTTTTTTAATAAGTACTTCAGGTTTGGCTCGTTTGGGCTCTACTTTATATTCTTGAAGTCCATCAACTACTCGAGATGGAAATAGTTGTTGACCAATAGAAATGGAGATCTAAGTAGCTGTTTTAACGCGTCGGGGAAACTTGTGGTCCGAGCTCATCTGCCCGCGTGTTGACAGCGGGATAGCTTCATCTTCTTGACGGAGCTCAACACTGCCTATGGAATGGTCGATGGATCCTAGTTGACATCTTTGTGGGGCTGTAACAGCATCACAGTAACCTCTGGCCGTTTGGTCTATGAAGGTTATGCAAGCCCGGCCATGATTACAGCACTTATTAACATCGCCTTCTGGGCGTCGACTTTCCTCACATTGTTGATCTTGCTGTTACCCTCTCAATATGGAGTTTCTAAGGGATCAAATAAGCAGACCGAGAAGAGTGGCCAGTCTACGGCAAGAGGGAAAGGCCCCTTTCAGGTCTTGGTGCTTGGCGATATTGGTCGCAGCCCGCGGATGCAATACCATGCCCTGAGCATTGCGAAGAGGGGAGGTCAGGTAGACATCATTGGTTACCAAGGTGCGTACACTTCTCTCTCTTAATCTTGAATTGATGATTAACAAGCGTTTTTATATGAAGAATCCGATATACATCCGGACATCACAGCGAACCCAAGAATATCCATCGTACCCCTCTCCGCGCATCCGTCCTTCTTGCAGACGAGTAATAAAATATTGTTTCTGTTCTTCGGCCCGTTGAAGGTCGTCTTCCAACTCTGGTCACTCTGGAGATGTCTGGCGTATCGCACGGAACCAGCTAAATGGTTACTTGTTCAGGTCAGTCCCATATCATCTCCCCACGTCAAATGGAACCTGTTTGCTGTTTGTATCACATTTAATGCGCTCTTGGGTACAATCTATGGATCCAGCAGTTGCTGAGATTCGATCTCTCAGAATCCTCCTTCAATCCCTAGTCTTGCTGTGGCATCTTTGGTGTGCTTCCTCCGAAATACTGCCCTCGTGATTGACTGGCACAACTTCGGCTACTCCATCCTTGCTCTGAAGCTTGGCGACCAGCACCCACTTGTCAAGATCTCTAAATCGTATGAGATTAAGATGTGTCGCTATGCGACGGCCCATCTGTGTGTGACAAACGCGATGGCTCGCGACTTGAAACACAAGTTTTCCGTTAAGGCGCCTATTCTACCTTTGCATGATCGCCCTGCAAGTCACTTGCAACCTATCCGGGACGATGCAAGACGGCTGGAGTTCCTGTTATCATTACAAGAGACTGCAGAATTCAGGACTCTACTTGGTTCCGGGGACGCCCGGGTCCTTGTCAGCTCTACGTCCTGGACTGCAGATGAAGACTTTTCCATCCTCATTGAAGCTCTAACGCGATACTCAGATCTCGCAGTTTCAGGTGACCGCAAGCTGCCCCATATCCTAGCTATCATCACCGGGAAAGGGCCCCAAAGAGAGATGTACTTGGAAAGGATTGCTAGTCTGAAGAAGGCTGGCAAGCTGCAACGAGTAGACATCAAATCTGCATGGCTGAGTACTCATGATTATGCGTCTCTTCTTGCCTCTGCGTCCTTGGGCGTCAGTCTGCATACTAGCAGCAGCGGAGTTGATCTGCCAATGAAGGTAGTCGACATGTTTGGCGCTGGACTTCCCGTGGTAGGATGGGACAGGTTTGAGGCATGGCCAGAACTAGTTACCGAAGGTGTGAATGGTCGTGGTTTTGGAAGTGCGGAGGAACTAGTAGAGCATTTGGTTGATTTGTTCGGCAACCCTGCTAAGCTTGCGACTTTGCGCGAGGGCGCCCTTAAGGAAGGATCCCGTCGGTGGGACGATGAATGGGATCCTGTTGCCGGGAAGCTATTTGGACTTGTAGAGATGTAAAAATAAAATTGGTTTTTGGCGCAAATGTGTTCCTTCAGTGTATCGATTAGTCACGTCGAATGGACTTCTGGAGAGGTTCACCTGGTAGTACGTTAACGGAGTATTACCGTAGAGTAATATTCGAAATCTGATATACCCTTATACTCTCACGGTTCATTCAATTCGATGATAATTAGAGTTAACTGATCGTGAGAGCTGAAATATGGGCAAGAGATTAACACCATACAAACCATGCTCGGGTCGAATCTCACGCAATAGTCAATATGGCACTATTTCCCACATAAAGGAGATCGTGTGGTATAGCCAGGTGCCATGGATAAAAAAAAGCTGGTTGAATGTGAGGTCTTCACCAAATAGGCAGTCGAGAATCGATCTTAAATACGCATAGCCCACTGTAAGTATGGCGTTAGGCAGTCCATCCCTCGGTATAGATATACCACTTACCCTTATTTTCTGTGCCGTCGTATAACAATCGGTAGTGTCATACATTACCTTGCCATCAACGAGAATTTGGTAGTCCTCGTCATTAACAAAGCTGAATTCGACGCCCTCCTGCTTACAAATACTCATAATATCCGCAAAGGCCTCCTTCGCACGCGGCGGTACTCCCCAATTCTTCTGTTTCAGGCGCACTTCTTCCTCGCCAGGAAACACCTCCATCTGAAACAGCTGCAGCACTATTTTCTGCAGGTTAGGAAACTGTTGGCCGCGAACATCCAACAAGCGACGAAGCTGAGATTCGAGCATCGTGTACTCAATCATGTCGGTCTTTGCTAGGCAAAGGTATTCGATACTGGGCGGAAGAATTTCCACCAGGGACTGGTTCGGCTCCTGGCCCTCCGTGGACTGCAGCAAATTGCGCACCGGCATCCGTAGTTCTCGTAAAGCAGTGAATTCCGCTAGACTTCCAAACCAAGCGTGGCGTCGAGCTTCTGGGTTGTCTGCCTCCTCGAACAACACCCACTTTGCGATACCGATATCGTTCAGACGTAATACCTGCAGGCTCTGTTTCTGAGTTAACAGAGCCGTGTGAAATGGATGGCATCGATAACTCAAATACGTGCGCTCGTAAAGTGCTTGGTTGCGGTGCTGGTATTCAAAGCGTTCAAGGTTAGCACAGGAGGCAATGAACTCCGCCATTCCGTGTTTGCAGTTGGAGTTATTCACGATGATCTCACGGACTGGCGAGCACCCCGGCTCCAGACTTAGAGGGATCCAGAAATCTCTGTATTTCTCGAAGCGTTCCACATGTGCCTCATGAACCCCACTGAGGTGCAAGGCCCGCATGGCGGGAAGTTTGAAGAAGGGGGCAAAGTCGCATACTGGATACTCGTGAATACCATCGGCTCTGATAGTGAGTTTCTCGAGGCGTTGTAAGGGAAATGGTCGATCCAATAATGATGTGGTTTTGTTCGCTATCTTGGTTACCGCCCCGACTGTAGGCTCGGTGCAGAGTTCGCTCCAGTGTATGTCGAGGTGTTGGAGATTTTCAAGAGGAGCAGCACCACTGCCAGCCAAGCAGTGGTTTCTCTGACGTCTAGGAGTTCCTCCCATCTCTTCAGTTCCTCTGCGCTGTCCGTGAAGCTTTCCAGAAACCCTCGGAAAAGGCTTGCGTTGTAGTGGCTAGCTCCGTAGCTGTCAGCATAGAAATTCGGCAAGATAAGTTCTCTCACGGTAGACCTAAGTCGCGTATTCTTGTGAATGGCTTGCGCAAATGGTACTATGTAAACCTCAGGGAAGAAGGTAACCTTAACACTCGAATACACCTTCGAAACAAGGGCCGTGTTCCAATTCCGACAGACCTTGAGAAGTCCAAAACGGTCGCTGGTTTCTGCGAGAGCATCCAAAATCAAAAGCAGAATCTCGGGGGGAAGAGTAGCTGCCATAGTTGCAGATGGTGAAATGGGCGTGATAAGGATAGGGAAGTCGATAATTTATAATGCCGACAAATAAGACTCAAAGTGCTGCAGTAGAAATTTAGCACTTTCTTAGAGCTTAGTGTTACTGGAGGTGCTGTAACTAACTATTATTTAGGCAGCTTGTTGTATATTCGCTGACCCTATCTGAGTATCCATGGATGTCAGTTGCGATGTCCAGATCCGGAGCGGGACCGTCCGCCAAGAATTTCAAATAGGTGCCTCCACTGCGATGAAAACGTGGATATGATCAGCACAATGCGCTTCAAAACTCGATCGTCTAAGTCTCAATCATAGTCGCGCAAATGAATCATATAGTCTTGTTTTAATATGGAACCTATTGAACTTCAGCTTTTCCCATCGTGTCATGAGTGTCTGTCTTGGTCACAAGATGGAGAACTTGCTGTGGCTGCTGGAGAATACATACACATCCTAGTGAGTTCTAGCTATCTATATAGCCGACACATGTAATAGACAAGAAAATAGCTAATCGATTTGCCAGTCGCCAAACACTCAGCGCGATGGGTCAGCAGCTGGGACAGCTGGGCCTTGGGAGTTCACGCGTCTCCGCGCGAATGTCTTCACTAACATAGAGTGGCCAACCACCAACCCTGCAGACCGCGATAGCTTCTCTATTGGTTCTGAGCAGTCAATCAGCACAGTCGCTGGCATTAAGTGGTCTTATCCTGGATTGGAAAAGTACAGACGCAGCATCTTGGCAGTGCTAACTACGAACCTGCTCCTATCGTTCTATGATTCTGGCGGGCTTCGAAACAAATGGAGTCGAGTTTTTATCGTCAACGATGCGTTGAAATTACATTTTTCTCAGACAGTTGCTGACAGACGAGTCGTGGCACGAAAGTCGAAGATACGCTCATTCGCATGGTGTCCGCCATTGAAGCGCCAGAAGCAGCGACAAGATGGACCATCCGCGTTGCTGGAGCCGTGGGAAAGTCGTTGGGGTGTGCATGTGCTTGCAATAGCCAATGATGCCAATGACCTGGTTTTCGTTCGAGTTTCCAGAACCGCGAGAAGTTCAAGCTCAGAAAAACCTTACGATATAGAGGTCCTATCCGTGATTTCTCTAGCAAACCCAGCAGAAACATTTCCAATGATCCACGCGCCCTCGATATTTGTCTCGGCTGTGAAATCAAAAGCTAGGATATCCCACGTCTCCTGTGGTCCGTGGATTTATGAGACCTCTGAAGAAGATGCCAAGATATCAGCCAGGTCGGCCGTGGCAGTCGTCTACGGCACAAAACTAAAGATCGTTTCTCTGGACGCGACCCTTACTCCTGTAGAGGAACAGGGGCTATCAAGTCCTGGATTCAGTGTGAACATTACATGCACAAAGAATACATATATCGAATCTGCTGGAAATTTGGATAATTATCGATTCACTGGAGAGCTCCAATGGGTATCTGAGGTATGAAACTGATCCTTATCGAGGTTACCTACTGTATATGACTAAACTCGACTAGGGAGAATTCGATTCGATAACTATTTGTGCCGGTGTCTTTTCAGGCCTTGTGACTGTGACTATGCCTAGAACCAGCTATGAAGGGGAGGATAGAAAGTCAGATAGAATTGTTGTTCGCGAAAAGCCATTTTTCCAAGACGTTGTCCCAGGCCACTCCACTGCAGAGGTTTCGGAGAAGACCAAGCACTGGGAACCCATCAGTGGTGAGTCTCTCGTGCATGAAATCCCCCACAGTCGCTGATAGCGTCAAGCAACCACCATTGTTATCGACGAAGAAACAGGAAAGCAGACACTTCACGTGGGTACGCTAGGTGCATATGCAGAGAGTTATACATGTCCTACAATGGAGGATGGAATGCAGGTTTTCCAGTCGCCATGGAAGAAACAAATGGAGGATTTCCGCGAGAGATTTGATATTGACCGGGACTTGGGTGGCTTGGCGGTTTCTAGGATCTGGGGCATGGATTCATGGAAGGGATTCCTCGCCATAGCATTCACGTTGCATCCAGGAGACATGGTCGAATACACAACCACAGCCGAGGAACGTACCACGCTTATGATCTCGCACCTCGATGCACAGAAGGATGTTTCTGTGGCCACAATGCTGCACCCACCTGACCCATCGCCAGAATTTATCTCGGAGAAACGAAAGATGATACTGCAGTTTACCCTCGGATTAGAAGCGGAAAACCAGTACAACGATGCTTGGTCGCAGAAGCTGTTATACGCTGCATGTCTTTGCGCAATCACGAGCTGTCGTGATGAGAATATTCTATCTCTCGCTCACTCGGTTCTCGAAAAGTTGGAAAGTGCCACTGGTGTAGACTTGGCCGATGAGAAATCCAGGTGTATAGATGGCGAGTCACTTGCTGTAAGTCCCAAGTCTGCAGAGCAATTGAGCGGTCCAGGTGGAACGCTCTTTGAGAAATGCAGCATATGTGACGCTGGGATTGAATGGTACCATGCAGCAGAGGCACAGTGCGCAGAAGGCCATATTTTCAGTAAGTCACGCTACCCTTGCTGTATTTGTGGAATCACTCTGACAGAGTTCAGTCCGCTGCGGCTTAACTTTCCTGTGCATACCGGAACCGGGGATATCGAAATACTGTTCTGTGTGTGAAACAGAATATCTCAACGACGAAGTATTCGGGCCAGAATGCGATCATGAAGAGCCTCAAGTAGTCTCCTCGAAGTACCATTTGATCTTCGAGGCCTTCGACACTTGTGCCTACTGTGGTGGGAAGTTTCAGGATGGGCACTGAATAGAAATCTATCCTTGCTGACATTGCGAACTCGACAATTATATGAACGTACGTTAGAAAGGGTGACATATAACGGCAGAACTATTCCTCCCCTCCCAGCCAGAACTTGGTAATCAACATACCGACGACTGCTGCAGAGAGTGTTGGAGTTATACCCGCCTTTTCTGCAATGCTGTATGGAACCGCTGCCTTGGGCACTTGCAGGCTAGGATAGGCGTAAAACGGCGTGACAACGGAGAGGAATACAGCAACCCAAACGAATCCTACGAACTTCTTCCATATCGAGGTTTCTCCGCTCTTCCCTGTGCGATTCCCAGTGAGCCGTTTCCATGCCTCTTGGACCGCATCCTCCAACATGATCCCAAAGGCAAAGGAACAGAAGAAATGCATGGCACCAGAACGCTCTAACGGTACATTACTGCCAATGTCATAAGCAACATGAATAAGACCAGACACGCTGAAGGCTAGAAGGATGTTGAGATAGCGCTCGACGAGCGAAGGCCGCGGCAACCGCAGAATTGTCCGTGTGATTAGAGAAGACCATGATGTCAGGATCCATCGAAGGCTTTGATGCCAGAATGTTCTGGAGGAAAGTAAGTAAGCACTGATCTGCCTAGTGGCTATCGAATAGGAGTATATCATGTATATAAAAGTGAAGGGAAGAACATACCCCCAAAATCCACGTATCGTGTATGCATCCCACATGCTCCCAAAGAATGGCGGCCAAAGTTCGGGGGGAGATCCACCGAGCCCGACAGCCACGATTGAGAACAATCTATGATTTGAATCGATTATCAACCTAGCGATGACAAACCAGCCTATCACTCCAGTCTTAAATTTCCTCGTCCACTGCTCTGGACTGGCATTCCAGAACAACCACTCCGTTCCCGGTCCCATCTCCCGTGCTCTGTCCTCAACGGACATGAGTTTCAAAGGGACCGTAACAGCATCTAGGAGCAGATATTGCCATATCAAGATGACCATCTGCCGGAGCACATAAACGCCACGATCCGGCGACCGTCTATTCGGCTCATAAAATGCTGGATGACACGGTGTTCCCTTGACCTGCCAACTCGTCCCGATGCCACGCGTGTTCTGAACGATCTTCAAAGCGGCATCGATACGAGCTCGAAGACCCATGGATAATGGATCAGCGAGCTTCTCGCGAATAAGGTCATTGAGATCAATGCCCGTCATAAAGAGCAGGTTCGTCGCATAGAGCAATGAAATGACGACACTTGCGGCCACCATGCCGCGGACAGTATCTGAACCTGGAATATTCGGTATATTCGTCCATTGCTTGTATGCGATGAAGCAGAGGATGAAATTCCCAAGGATGCGAAAAAGGGATTTTCTTGGCGTGGTAGCTATCAGAGTCGCTGTGAGATGGCTTGCGAGTACTGTGTACAGGAACGTCGCACAGGGCGATAAATCGATGGCCATTTTTAAGAAAACCAAAATACCTTGGAGATTTATATCAATGGCTTTCTTTCGAATTATTATACATCATAATAACAGCTTTGAGAAGTGATTGTTATTTTGTATCCGACAGCTTGCTTGGGGGCCAAAAAAACACAAACAAAAAACAAACAAACACACTAAGAGTAACTAACTACTTAACTGAGGCCCACTGTCAAGCTTGCTGTATTATCTATATCTAGTTAAGAAGTCACACTTGGCTGATCCCAAGCTGCTGCTTTTTTAACGTATCCGCCTTAAGATTAACTTATCACTAGACAGTTCGTACGGAGTATTCCGGTAATGAATCGGCAGAAAGCTCGTATGCTTGGCCCAGATAAGTATCGGGAACCAAACAGACCGTGGGATTGTGTTGGTAAGTTTAAGCTTTTTATTTTATTTCTGAGGTGGATCTACACCTGAACGCGCGGGGCATTTGTTTAGGTACCTATACAGTGTTGCACAACAGGTACAACTGTACAAGACAAGATAAAAGATTCGTACGAGAATAGATCGTACGAATTGCGGTCTGATGGGGAGAAAAAGTATGAATTAGTTTGTACTGTATACGACATGTTGGTCAGCGATATAGCTGCCACGCTATGCAAGAACGATCGCGGTACAGTGTTATAGGTCAAACTCTAGGTCAGGTAGATAGAGAGTTCGCCTGAAAGCTTGTTCTTCACCAGAGGCGTAGCTGGACTTATCCTCAAGTATGTACAATACTTTCCAAGCAAGAGTGATACAAATTCACGGAGATATCTCTCCACTATTATATGCTGTGTAATCTGCTGAACGACGGTAGCGTGTTACTTTTTTTCCCCTTCCTAGAATTGCAGTACTACAAAGGAGTACTTGCGGATACGTCGCAGGCGCATTGTACGACGAAGAGTATATGCTCGAGATTGATTTTACATTGTCCGCCCACGCAAAGATACATGGACATATGGCGTTATATGAGATGTTCCGTCCACTGCGGCAATGGTGGTGCAACGTGATACTTTATGGACTGGAATTACAGCCTAGACTGGTTATTCATTGACGTAATGTATTTCATGCAAGACTGGGATATTTTGTACGTACATACATAAATACAAGTCAACGGCAGATTTTGGATATAGAACACATGCTAATATTGATAGTGGGCGATACCAACAGAATCCACAAGGTATAGGTTCATTATATACAGTGGTGCAGATTCAACAGATAAGCAAGAGGGTCTATACTATTTGGCATATAGTGGATGATTTACTCAACACTGGCCAGTCTCTGGATGACCATGGCAGTAGCTGCTCCGCCTCCGTTGCAGATAGCTGCCACACCGTACTCGCCAGGCTGGAGTTGGTGCAGAAGAGTGGTCAAGATGCGGGAACCGGAGCTGCCAAGAGCGTGACCCAGCGAGATAGCACCTCCTAGAGGGTTGACCTTGGCGTTCTGAAGGCCGAGGATCTGTCCAGTACGTAAGTACACGAAGTCATTTCTGATGATATGAAAGTTTGATGCTTACCTTCTCATTAGCCTTGATGACGGCAGCAAATGCCTCGTTGAATTCCCAAATGGCAACCTGGTCCTTTGTGATGCCGGCTCGCTCCAGAGCAATTGGGACGGCCTTCGCAGGGGCGACGGGGAAGTCGACGGGGTCAATGGCAGCATCTGCAGAAGACACTATCCGTGCCAGAACGCGGCTGTCCTTGCCATACTGCTGCGCAATCTCCTTGCTTCCCAGGACCAGGGCGGATGCACCGTCATTCATGGTGGAAGCATTGCCCGCAGTCACCGTGCCGGTACCATCGCGCAGGAACGCGGGCTTCAAGGTCTTCAGCTTATCAACGTTGAGATTTTCGAACCCTTCGTCGCGCTCGATGACAGTATCTCCCTTCCTACCCTTGACGGTAACGGGTGCAATCTCCTCGGCGAACTTGTTCTCCTTCCACGCTTGCTGGGCACGCTGATACGACTGGATGGCATACTGGTCCTGGTCCTCCCGCGAGATGTCGTATTTCTTGGCCGTCTGCTCAGCACAGATACCCATGTGGAACTGGTTGTAGACGTCCCACAATCCATCCTTGATCAGACCATCCTCCAACTTGATCTCTCCGAACGGCGGCTGCTGACTTGATCGGGGAAGATAGTATGGCACTCTGGTCATGTTCTCCATTCCTCCAGCAATCTGAGCTTCTGCCAATCCCAGCTGAATGTTCTGCGCGGCTAAGGCCACCGCTTTCAGACCGGATGCGCACACTTTGTTAACCGTGGTGGCCTCGACGGTAGGGGGAAGACCGGCGAAAATCGAGGCCTGTCGAGCAGGGGCCTGGCCGACGGATCCCTGCAGCACGTTTCCCATGTATACGTCGGTAATCTTCTCGACAGGGACACCAGACTTGTCGACCGCAGCTTTGATGGCGACGGCGCCGAGCTGAGGCGCCGAGACCGAGGCAAAGGAACCGTTGAACTATGGCCGTCAGTTTCATACAATCATATCAAAAGAACTTCTGCACATGTAATTCGACATACCTTCGCCGTTGGCGTACGAGCAGCACTCAGAATGTAAGCATCGCGAATCTCCTTGGCCGCCGGGCGACTGGTGCTAAAGTGCCTCTGGATCTGGGAGACTCTTGCCGTTGGAGACGACGACATCCTGGCGGATAGAGCAACGGAGGATCTGATCGACGACAACATTGCAGCGGGAGGGGAGATACAGGAGAATCCGTCTAGGGCCGCAGAGATCGACCTCAACCGAACATAAAGAGAAGAGAAAGCAGGTCGGGGGGCAACAACATCTCCTCGAATACTCCGCATCCCGGGGAATGACCCGTGACCGTACCGAGGCAATGGGCAGGTCAGGTGACTGCGGCAGAGCAACCGAGCTTCTCGTTAGAGTTCCGGCTGCGCTAGCCCTGATTGGGTTACACCGAGGCTCAACGCGGATAAAAGCGGATCCGCAGGGACGGTGTGCAAATGCACTGCTGACATAATTGTCCTCATAATGTGTCTCAGGTCATTGCATAAGTCGCTTAGTCAGACATTAGGCCACAATCACGCTCGGACCACTCACTTTCTCCATCAGGACTATTTCTCCGATCCCCATCAAGATGGTTTCTCCGGCTTCCTCCGGCATCGCGGGACAGCAACGGCGAGGACCAAGAGAGTCTCAGAGTCAACAGGACGACAGTCTGCGGCAAATTGTTCTTGCTCCTTCTTTCTACCCCTCACCCTCTGCTTCCCAATAACGGCATCAGGCTGATCACTACTCAACTGCAAAAGCCCTCATATCTCTCCAGGCTGTTTCTGTCCTACGCTAGGTCACGTATCTTGTCTGTGACCGCCACACTCGAACCTGAATCGTTGCCCAAGGATCATCTTGTCCCCTCATCACCAGCTCCACACGTATCCACGATGTCGACCTCCGCTCGTCGCCGTCTCATGCGTGACTTCAAGGTACGTTCTGGTGACTCTAGATGGCAATCTAGATGGCCGCCAGTTTTCTCTTTCGACCCCGCCTGTGCATGCACGCATGGGGTCGCGTGGGAACTGTTCCGCTGACTGAGTTATGTGATGCAGCGCATGCAAACAGACCCTCCAGCGGGTGTCTCTGCATCTCCAGTTGCTGACAATGTCATGACCTGGTAAGTTGTGTGACACTGTGATAAAAGGGACCTGGACCAGCTGGTTGACTGACGCTGTCTAGGAATGCCGTCATCATCGGCCCCGCGGACACTCCTTTTGAGGATGGCACCTTTCGCCTTGTGATGCACTTCGAAGAACAGTACCCCAACAAACCCCCAGGTGTCAAGTTCATCAGCCAGATGTTCCATCCTAATGTCTATGGCACTGGCGAGCTCTGTCTCGATATTCTGCAGAACCGCTGGAGTCCTACCTATGACGTGGCGGCCATCCTGACTAGTATCCAGAGGTATGTTTTCGTCCGTATATCTGGAAGCTCACGAATCTAATCTTCCTTTTAATAGTTTGCTTAACGATCCCAACACCTCGTCTCCTGCGAACGTCGAGGCTTCGAACCTCTACAAGGACAACCGTCGCGAATACGCCAAGCGTGTCCGCGAGACCGTCGAGAAGAGCTGGGAGGACTAGACGGTTTCTTGCTCTTTCTGGCTTTTATTCCACCCGGTTCTCGCCACTACGTATGTTTCTTGGGTTCTAGGTGTCGGTGCATCGGATCCTGCTATCCGTCAACGGAGCGTTGTCTCTTTACCACATTCCTTTTCTGACTGGCGCTTTTTGTTGTCTTTTTTTTCTGGACCTGCATGAGATTTCCATCGATCAGGGCATTCCACTCTTCATTTCCTCCCTTGGTCAAATTGCACAGCGTGGGGTTTAGGCGTGGTGATTTTCAGTGTCGATAGCTGCATTTTGTGATCTGCTCCTTTAGTTAAACTGCATCAATTGCAATATGAGTAACTGTACATCCCATTTCGTCCAGTGCCCACCATAACAGCTACAGCCACCACTGTCAATCGGCCACTGACCACGTAGGCCTAGATGAGTTGTTGGAATACACTTAGTTAGTTACTCTAGACTATGGTATCCTCACCATGACTGGCTCTGCGCGGGCCACGAAACGCGGGCGTTAGTTAATCGTTGCCAAGAATCTCAACAGTAGAAGCTCCACTCGCTGTCAACAACGATGCGATGCGCTACCTCGACGCTGGTGGCCCCTCCGCAGTCCTGAAACATCTGGCATAATCTGTTCTGTTCCTCTTCAAGCTGGCTCTGCATCTGACCTTCCTCTGCTCCAGGGGTGGTCTGTGATATCTGTGCCTTTTTTTTCGTTTTTTTGTGCGTTTCCTTTGGCGTGGGAGGGGGTTTCGATTTCTGCCTCAGCGCCCACTGCCGCACGTGAACCCCTGACCGATCGGATTTCGACTCGCCCTAGAATTCGCGGCGTGCTTTCGTGTCTGAGTGTTTTCGTACTGCCACTTGCCCCATTCTAGGGGACTGCACCAACTGTTCGTGATAGACGCAGTTCATCTAGCAAGCAGCCAACATGGCGTGAGTCGCTCCTTGGACGTCTTTCGACTGCCCGTTGGGGGAGGTTTTGGAAGGCATCGCTGACAGGAGCATCTTCGCAATGACAGGTCCTCGAGCTCAACCGGCTCCAACACCATCAAGGGTACGCTTATTCGGCTGTGTGTTTGCGCTACCAGCCCTGGAACCGGAGACTGACGGTAGGATAAACAGTGGTTGCGAGATTTCGGCCGCAGAACAAGGTTGAGCTCGCATCCGGAGGTGAACCAATCGTCGAGTTCGAGACTGAGGACACATGTAAGATTAATGTGAGAATACTCCCGCTTTGCACGGTGCATGCATACCACCATGCAGCATGCAGATATGTTATTTTTTGTATTTAGAAGACAGAAGTGGGAGCTGATGATGGTCAACAGTCCAGGGAAGGCCAAGCCGCCTTCACGTTTGACCGCGTGTTCCCGATGGACTCGCGGCAAACAGATATCTTTAACTTCTCTATTCGGTCGACTGTGGATGATATCCTCAATGGATACAACGGAACCGTCTTCGCGTACGGTCAAACTGGTGCCGGTAAATCATATACCATGATGGGTTCCGACATCGACGACGATGAGGGCAAAGGTATCATTCCCCGCATCGTCGAGCAGATCTTCGCCAGCATCTTGTCCAGTCCCAGCAACATCGAGTATACGGTACGAGTCAGTTATATGGAAATTTACATGGAGCGCATCCGTGATCTCTTGGTGCCTCAGAATGACAATCTCCCCGTTCACGAGGAGAAGTCGAGAGGTGTCTACGTCAAGGGCCTCCTGGAAATCTACGTCTCCAGCGTGCAAGAAGTCTACGAGGTGATGCGACGTGGTGGAGAAGCAAGATCCGTGGCGGCAACGAACATGAACCAGGAATCCTCGCGATCACACTCGATCTTCGTCATCACGATCACCCAGAAGAATGTCGAAACTGGCTCGATGAAGAGTGGACAGCTGTTCCTGGTCGATTTGGCTGGTAGTGAGAAGGTTGGAAAGACAGGTGCAAGTGGTCAGACCCTCGAGGAAGCCAAGAAGATCAACAAGAGTTTGAGTGCTCTTGGTATGGTCATCAACGCTTTGACGGACGGGAAATCTTCCCATGTCCCGTATCGTGACTCGAAACTCACCCGTATCCTGCAGGAGAGTTTGGGAGGTAACTCGCGGACAACTCTCATCATCAATTGTTCTCCTAGCAGCTACAACGATGCAGAAACAGTTTCGACATTGAGATTCGGTGTACGAGCCAAGGCAATTAAGAACAAGGCAAAGATCAATGCGGAGCTCAGTCCTGCGGAGCTCAAGCAGCTGCTCAAGAAAGCCCAGAGCCAGGTTACTAGTTTCGAGAACTACATTTCCAGCCTGGAAGGGGAGGTTCAGCTATGGCGAAGTGGCGAGGCTGTTCCCAAGGAGCGTTGGACGCAGGCTAGAAGCATCGAGGGCATTGGAGCCGCGAGGCCCGATGCCCGTCAGCGCCCCGGAACCCCATCAAGACTGCAGGAGGCTCGTGCCGAGACCCCTAGCCGGCCTGACTCACGGCTAGGTGAGCGTGCTGGTACGCCCAGTATTGTGCTGGAGAAGGACGAGCGCGAGGAGTTCTTGCGGCGGGAGAACGAGCTGCAAGATCAGCTGGCGGAAAAGGAGACTCATATTTCTAACGTCGAGAGAAGCTTGCACGATGCCCGAGAGGAGCTCAGGACCATAAAAGAGAATGCCTCTAGGACATCGAAAGACAACGAGAAACTTAACACTGAGGTTAACGAATTGCGGATGCAGCTCGAAAAGGTGTCCTATGAGAGTAAGGAAGCGTCCATCACCATGGACAGTCTCAAGGAAGCCAACGCTGAGCTTACTGCCGAGTTGGATGAAATCAAGCAGCAGCTCTTGGATGTTCGGATCAGTGCCAAGGAGACTAGTGCTGCTCTTGATGAGAAGGACCGCACGAAGGCGGAGAGGATGGCGAAGATGATGGCCGGCTTCGATCTGGGGCTCGATGTCTTTTCGGACAACGAGAGAAAGATCCAAAAGCTCATCGAGCGAGTCGACTCACTCTACCAGCACAGTTCTGCTGGCGAGGCTGTTGCTCCAGATGAGTTCGCAGAGCTGCGTGCCAGTCTCCTCGAGACTCAAGGCTTCGTGAGACAGGCGGAGCTGACGATGAACGACCGGAGCGAGATGTCCGAGCTGCAGGACAGCCGGGTGGTGGAACTTGAGCAGAAGTTGACTGACCTCGAACACGAATACGAGCAGATCCTCGAGCGCAACTTGGGCGAGAGCGACATTGAGGAGATCCGCCAGCGTCTGGAGAAGGCATACATCAGCCAGCGCGATCATGAGATGCAGTCCGCGGAGGCCCTCAGGGCTGAGCTTACTCGCCGGGATGAGGAGTTGAAGAAGCTGCGCGACGAACTGGCTGAGGCTCAGCGCGCCTCTGCCAATGGCACGGCGGGATCCGCAGCTGTGAACAGCAAGACGCTGCAGCAGCAGATCGCTGACTTCGACATCATGAAGAAGTCGCTCATGCGTGACCTTCAGAACCGCTGCGAGCGTGTTGTTGAACTCGAGATCTCCCTTGATGAGACGCGGGAGCAGTACAACAATGTGCTGAAGTCCTCTAACAACCGCGCTCAGCAGAAGAAGATGGCGTTCCTGGAACGCAATCTCGAACAACTGACCCACGTGCAGCGCCAGCTCGTGGAGCAGAACAGCAGCCTGAAGAAGGAAGTTGCTATCGCCGAACGAAAGCTGATTGCACGCAACGAGCGGATCAGCAGTCTGGAGAGCTTGCTCCAGGACAGCCAGGAGAAGCTAACGGCTGCTAACCACAGGTTCGTATAACGATACCCTTTCTGGTTGACGTGTTGCTGACTGATTGTTTTTAGATTCGAAGCGCAGCTTACAGCTGTCAAGGAGCGTCTCGAAGCAGCCAAGCAGGGTTCCACTCGGGGTCTTCCCTCCATGGACGCCGCTGGGGGCTTCAGCTTCGGCGGTTCCAGGATCGCCAAGCCGCTTCGTGGCGGTGGTGGTTCTGATGCCAACGGGAGTGCTGCTATTCCTACAGTATCTGGACTCCAGTCTGAGGGATCTGGTAAGCGTAGCAGTTGGTTCTTTGACCGTCGGTGAACAACAGATCCTGGTGGGGACCATGGCCACAGTCTCACTCGGCCAGTTTCTTTTTTGGCTTTTTGGATCCAATGACTTCCGTTCTGTTGTTCAGTCCACTGTCACGCATTTTCTGGTGGGAATGTTCACATGTTTCATCGCCCCGCGCTTCCTGCTTGTGACCCTCTAAGATTGAGCCCGTCCCTTATCGCTCCTCCACTCCCCACCACTACATTGATACCCGATCTATGAAGAGATGGATCATAGAGAGCGCGTTGCGATCAGCATGCCTCCTCGGATCATGGCCCGACTGTCTTGACGAGTCTCTTGCCTTCTCTCTTTTTCTCCCAGTTACGCCGGTGATGCTATCTTTTTTCCATGATATAGGCGCGAGCTTTGAAATGACTGACGGGTATGTTGCGATGGGAGGTTAGCAGCTAGAGCTTTATATGTAGATAAATAGAAACATCTTCTTTTTCTCCAATCATTTTCGAGCTGTGTCTTTACTATGACCGTATACATGGTAGTGACAAATAAATACTGGCGTCCTTTTTCTCAGTTAACGGTATAACATCACGCTATCCTAGTTAGGAAAAGAGTCTCTGATTGGCTAGACTGGACATCCGGACTAGGAAATCAGTCTCCCATTGCCAGATCAGCTCAAACTGTCTCCTGGGCACAGCATCGCCTCAACTAACCTGTGGGGATAATGTAAGATGAGCTGATCATTCGGGGTATAGCAATCTATTCCCTCGGATTTTATTTTGTATCTAGGTCCGCTCAAGAACGGTCATTATGAGTTGAAATCGTCCTATTTCCGAAGAGCCGTCGGACTGGTGGAGGTGTATATATATGTGGCATCTGCCCTGACTCTTGGTGAGTTCATATGCGACTCATATCCACTTCTTTCATTGAGAAGAAAAATTGACACATTCTCTGAGTCTCTCTCGTTCAAGATATATATTTCATTCATATACATCAGGTTCACTTAGACCCATCATGTCGGAGTCCATCGAAACCCAAAGTCGTATTCTTCCCCTCCTCGCCACGACTGAGACGTGTGCGGGACGTACATATATCGTGACGGGATCCAATACTGGTCTGGGATTCGAAGCAGCCAAGCATTTGGTCACACTCGGTGCGGCCAAGGTCATTATGGCCGTTCGCAACGTGGGTGCCGGTGAGACAGCAAAGGCAGAGATCGAAAAGGCAACAGACAAGTCGCACGTCGCTGAAGTATGGGCACTCGACCTAGCGAGCTATGACTCTGTCAAGGTCTTCGCGAAGAGGGCTGTTGCAGAATTGGACCGTATCGATGCGGTAATTGAGAACGCAGCCGTTGCAGTTTCCCAGCGAACGATGGCCGAGGGACATATCTTACCCCTCACGGTCAACGTGTTTAGCACGTTTCTGCTTGCGGTGCTTCTGTTGCCTAAGCTGAAGGAAACTGCGCAGCGGTTCAACATCTTGCCTTGTCTGACGCTCGTCTCGAGCGGAGTTGGTTTCCGGGCTAAAGAAGACTGGTATAAAATCAAGGATGACCCGTTCGTGAAGATGGATGAGAACGAGTCCGGTTTGATGCAAACGTATGTGAACTTATCATGGAGTCCCGTGCCGTTTTATCCCAGCTAAGATGGAGCTTCGTTGTTAGATACCCTCTGTCTAAACTCCTAGAGATCTTTGCAATCCGCTATCTCGCAGCCCTGATCCCCGTATCTCGCTCAGGGGTGGTCTTGAACACTGTCTGCCCAGGACTCTGTAAGACAGACCTAAGTCGGAACGCAACACCCGAATTTCGTGAGCATCTTCAGGCCCAGCTTGACCAGTATGGGCGGACGGCGGAGGTTGGCAGCCGGACACTCCTTCATGCGGCCGTCGCGGGCTGGGAGAGCCATGGATGTTACCTTTCCTCGTGCAAGATTGCTGAGTGAGTTACTGTCTCTTCTACCAAAAGAAATCCCTTGCTAATGCAGCTTGTTATTTTAGGGACGTTGTACCGAGCTGGATAACGGACGAGGAAGGGAAACAGTCACAGCAATATGTCTGGGATTTAATTGCCATGGAACTGGAGTCCATTGAGCCTGGTTATGTAAAGAGAATTCTGCAGGAGTTATGATCTGTCAATTGCGTCTGATTATCTTGTGGCTGGTCCCTTCTGTAGAAGACTTGGTTGATGATTAACTGCCATTGAGAGATGTCGGCGCAGTCAGGAGAGCGGGGTAATCCAGAGATAATCAAAATCAACGAAGCAGTTATTATCAACACTCTCAATAGCGGTGTTTTATTGCCGAGATCAATTGATTTCCAGCCTTTCTCTGAGAAGTGACAAGGGGACGCGTGATTTCTGCCAAAGTGCCTGACCTGCCGTATTGTGGGTAGCGTTGACCCATGGGAACATGGAAAGAGTTCTATGCACATCTTCCCAGGTATGCAGATCCATGGCATCCATTGTCTCCGCCGCCTTTGGAACCAACCATACTTCATCGTCTGGTTGTTTGGAGATAGAAGCTGCTAGAGTAAACAGTAGCCAAAGGAGAACGGCTCTTTCTTCCTGGCTATCACCTGCATACCTCTGGACAATAGAGCGGATTGATTCGGTGAGAAGTGGGATAGTGGGAATGCTGCGGTCAAGACTCCAGAAGAATGCCGACACAAAAGTCGTTAGGCCCAAATGAATCATGTCTTCAAGATTATTTGGATGATTGGGCCCCCGTAAAGTACTGATGGCGATCAGGCGGTACCCGAGGAACAGGATATTTTCATGGAAGACACAATGATCCATCTTGGGTAGCCGTCTAGAGCTGGTCTCATTGAGCAAGTGGGCGAAATATATAATATCCATGAAAACGTCTTCAAGATCGGCGCTCAACTGTTTGAACTTCGCGGAACGATAAACGATGGATCCCTTCTGTTCGCTCCGTCTTTGATGTTTTCTGGGAAACCTCAAAATGCCTGTGCTACCGAACGCAATATCCTGGGGACTGAATCGTGTCGGCGAGCCTGTATGGAGGGCATACTCGAGATCAATTCTTTTTGTAACGCGTCAGAACTTTGTCAACGGAATAGTCAATAATCATTGCGACAGTCTTACCTGAATATCTTTTTGGTCAGGTGAGGATTTATGCTCGTGAGCTTCGAGATACCACCTCGCAACTCAACCATTCGCTGAAGCCCTTCGATATGCACAAGGCAGTTATTGTAGTGACCTAGTTGGCGCTCATATTCTGCTAACATCACGACTACCGCGATGGTCGTATCGGATGCTGCATTATCTCCAGATAGTCTTTCATTGATCAGACGGAAAGTCTGTGATAGGTGACGCGCTGCCACAAGGAGGCCCGCTGGCTTTATAGCAATCGGGTCGAGAACTGTCACAGATAAGGCTACCATGCAATGAAAGTCTGGACATAGTTAGTGGGATTTCCCCATAGAAAGTCTGCCATCCCAGATACAATACACACATGCTTCGTCCGAGAACATAAACTGGACCCATATCGAGGACGACATGCTGGTAGTATCTAGCGCATTGCTCATCTCAGGTGCATGTCGAAGACCTCCTATGAAGGAGATGGCTAGATAACATACGCTTGTTAATGATGATAACACCAAGTGCCCATTCGGATATAGCCATACATACCCATTCGCTCAAGCGGCCTGGACCCGGGAACAAGCTCATCTGGAACTGGGAGTATGGACAATCCATCGCCAATCTGTTGCTCAACAGCGTAAATCACTTCTTCGGTGGGCTTTGAATCATGAGTCTTCTTCACGACCTCCGGTGTCTTGATAACAGCTGCAGCTGACTTGCGGCTCAGTTCGAATGCTTTCTTTCGCGACGGCCGCGCTAGTTTCTTCCCGGCATTCTTCCCAGTTGCCACATGGCGACGGATCTGCTTTCTTGCAGAGGGATTGATAGTGCCATTGTTATTGATAAATTCATATGGCATATTTAGCGAGTACTTAATCGTGAAAGGAGATAGATGACTTTTGAAACAGATGTGTTTGTTGCCAATGGATGGAAGTTACTAGTTAGGTACAGTACAGTACTTCTGCTGTCTGGGTTGGAGTTAAGTCACGGAAATAGGCGGAGATATGCAACTCTCGACGGTGTCCTCCGCGTCGATTGACTAGGTGCGTCTAGCCAGTTGTCGATATTTTGCTGTGTTTCTTTGCACGTCTTCTCCATGTTCTATCTCTATCTCTATCTCTAGATAACTACCTGGTAACAGATCAGATAAGGTAGTTACAATTGTGTCTTATTTTAGCCGTGGAGAAGAACCAGGCAGCAGTGGAGCCGCTAAATACTTAGTGATAAATAACGGATGGCTCCTTCCGCCGTTATCATATCAGATAAGCCCCCGCACCTGCCTACCTAGGTATATCGGGAAGCTTCAACTGGAAGGACCTTGGGGAATTCACATGAGCGTTGCTGGCGTCACGTTCGCTCTGCTCCTCATCGCTTCTACCCTTCGCTAGTAGAATTACATCCACCCTCCATGCACTGTAAGAGTTTGTGAATCGCTAATCTAGATTCCTTTTAGAGTACCTAATATACTGTTGCTTCGCGTATTCCCTGGGCCAAGATGGGTGCAGGTCAATCTCACGAGTTCTCCAGCTTCGAGGAGAAGGCCTTGGCTCGCCGACTGGGGGCCCTCGACATGACGGATGTTGAAGAAAAGGACCCTTACGTCTATGTGGAAGATGATTCTCGTATGTGTCACGCTTGACGACGGGTTAGACCGTATGATCCAGTTCGATTTTGCTGATGCTGTTCGGTAGCTCCTCCTTACCCTGTCCGTGACCGAACTACTACGATCTCCATAGGACAGACAAGGGACTGGGAGCAGAAACTGCTCGCAGATCCAAAGGTATTCTTGATCCTGCAGATAAGACTCGCCAGACAGCTAATGGGAAAGCAGAGTCGCCTAGCTCTCTCTGCACTCTCTGCGAATCCGATAGGTTCCATCTTGACGAACCCTGCGGCACAGGTAGCGGATACCCAGACCTTCAATGTCCGCATCCCCTTTGAAGGAGCACCCATCACGAACCAGCGGTCCTCTGGCCGTTGTTGGCTCTTTGCCTCGACGAATGTCTTCCGTGTGGCCATCATGAAAAAATACAACCTCACGCAGTTCGAACTGAGCCAGGCTTATCTGTTCTACTGGGACAAAATCGAGAAGGCCAATTGGTTCCTGGAGCATGCGATCGATACTGCAGACCAGGACCTGGATAGTCGATTGATCCAAAGACTACTGTTGAGCCCCGTCGGAGATGGGGGCCAGTGGGATATGGTCGCTAATCTGGTGCAGAAATACGGCTTGGTCCCCCAGTCTCTATATCCGGATTCCTACAATGCGAAGAACAGCTCAAAGATGGGGTCACTGATAACAACCAAGCTGCGAGAACATGCGTTGATCCTGCGCAAGCTGGCACAGCGGGACAGTGCCAAGGCAAAGGCTTTACTCGCTGGTAAGAAGGATGAGTTCCTGCAGGAGATCCATGCAATCCTTACGATCATGTTGGGCCCGCCCCCAAGTACCGAGAAGAAGTTCTCGTGGGATTTCTACGATGCAGAGGAGAAGTTCCACAAGGTATCTATGACACCAAAGGAATTTGCGGCGAGCCTGTCTACCAAGGAGGGAATCCGTGCCTGTGGTGGTACCAACGTTCACGAGCTTTTCAGCCTGGTGAATGACCCTAGAAATGAATACGGCCGTCTCTTGACGGTCGATAGACTTGGAAATGTGGTCGGTGGTAGGCCCACTACCTATGTCAACGTTGATATGAATGTAAGTGAGCAGTTGTGGATCTTTTCTCTCGGGTATTATTGCACTGTCCCTGACCACGAATGATAGACGATCAAATCTGCTGCTATCTCCATGCTCCGCGCCGGTTTGCCGGTCTTCTTCGGCTCCGATGTGGGCAAGTTCTCGGACTCGGCATCCGGGATCATGGACCTGACGCTGTACGATTATAGCCTTGGTTTCAATATCAACCTTGGATTGAACAAGGCCAATCGACTCAAGACGGGCGAGTCTGCCATGACGCATGCAATGGTCCTGACGGCCGTGCACATTGAGGGAGGTAAGCCTGTCCGCTGGCGCGTTCAGAACTCCTGGGGCGAAAATGCTGGAGACAAGGGATGGTTCGTCATGACCGATCGCTGGATGGATGAGTTTGTCTACCAGGTAGTCGTCGATCCCAGGTTTGTTAGCAAGGAGGTCAGAGACGTTCTGAGCCAGGAGCCCAAGGTGCTTCCCCTCTGGGACCCTATGGGTGCACTGGCCTAACAAGGCTTGTGGATTATGGGCGAGCTGTGATGATATTGCTTAGACTTAAAGGCTACGCAGGGAATTTTCTTGGTTTCTAGTATTACTGTCAGTGTTGGGCTAGGGAGACTCGGCGCCAGCAATCTCACGTGTTTATGCTGCTACGTTGTTTATTTTGGAGAATTATTGCTTTTTCTCGCTTTGCAATGCACTCGACCCTACTCCAGAGAAACTCATAGCTTCCTGTAGAGACATTATACGCTATTCTCGCAACCTAGGAATGAGCAATGGAAGGACTAGGAAATATACCTAGGTCTTTATTTGGTATTACCTTATCTCTCTAGCCAAGAAGTCATCATCACAGGGCATTGATCCTGCATCTTAATCTCTATGTGCATCGGTCATGGAGAAATGTGCAACCCCGTCTGCGATGGCACCAAGATCGCGATTGATAGAGATAGCATGCACTAGGCTCGTCGAGTCCAACCTTTACATATCTAGCCCAGATGTGCAGATGGGGGGCAATTACCCCGCGGGATAAGTACGGAGGCCGTTCTGGTCTATGGCTTTTCGTCTCGTTGAATGCGATCGTCTCCGGGCGAAAGCATGCGTGAGACAAGATATCCACCCGATAAGTGACAATCGGGCCAGACCTAAGAGTCAGCCGGAGGAGTGTAGACCCAGTCCTCCAACTCCTTGTAGGCCCTGTCCAGGTCATCGTTGACGATGGTCTTGTCATGGACACCGGGAGTCTTGGCGTACTCAAGCTCCAGCTTAGCCTGCGCCAGACGTTTCTGTACGATCAGTCAGTACATAATGACCCTGAAGGGTGCGAATCGTCTAAGGAATGACGACGAGGACTAGAATGGACTAACCAGAATACTGCTCTCCGAATCGGTGGCCCGGCCACGCAGGCGTTTCTCGAGCTCCTCCTCAGATGGCGGCGCGATGAAGACATAACGCGCCTTGATGTCAGAGCGTTTGACCTGCTTGACACCCTCCATCTCAATGTCCAACACCACGACACGACCCTTCGCACTCTGTTCCTGAATAGTCTTCTTGCTTGTGCCGTAGAGGTTGTCTCCGAACTGGGCCCTGAGTTTAAACCATCAATATTAGCCACGGACTAACTATCGTCTTTTCATTTATCAAATCAAGAGCGAAAACGCACCACTCCACGAATCCATCCTTGGAGATCAAGTCCTGGAATTCCTCCTTTGTGACATAGTGATAGTCGACCTAGATCGCGAAAGCACAATCGAATCAGTTATTCCTCCTTAAAACTTCCCCCGAATTGGAACGGAAAACAAAAACCAAAAAACTTACACCTTCCTGCTCACCCGGTCTGGGCTTGCGCGTCGTGTGACTAACAGACAGAGCAAAGGTATCCGGATGCTGCTGAAACAGTCGCTTGTATAACGTCCCCTTTCCGACCCCCGAGGGACCAGAGATGACGATCGGACGCCTATCGGGAGGAAGATGGGGAGCTGAAGCAGTTAGTTAGTTAGTTAGTCTAATTAGCCTGCTCTCAAAGAATAAAAGGAATAAAAAGATCATGGCTCAATGTACCGGAAGACATGGTTCTGTGGAAGAGAGAGTAAGGCCGCGCCGGTCGAAATAATAGCGGAGTTACCTTCAACATATCAATAATAATTCCATCTCTTCTTCTTCCGGGATTAAACTGCGGGCGGTGAAGATAAGTCAATATTGGAGGGGCGCGGGAAGATGGTCCGTGCGTTGATTTCAAGGTGTTATTGTCACGTGGTGGGGTGTATGGTAAGGGTGTTTGCCTTTGCTAAAGTAGGAATAATAATTGTTGTTTTTGGTCCATGTTTTGTTCAATTGAGAGGATATTATTAGTATATGCAGTATCTAGCCAACAGGGGACAAGGTGGGCGCCTTATCTATATGTCGGTCTACTAAGTATTACAAGATATCCGCTACACATAGGTCTTAGTATGAAATACGTAACGTAAATCAAATTTATATAAAACGTCACGAGATAAAGCAACAAAGCGTTTATCAGAAAATTGAAATAACCGAAAACGTGCGCTAACTGACTATGGAGAATTTCATCAAGCAGCCGCTCAACTAATCAACAATAGGCGAAAACAATACAAAAGATGAGATCTAAACAGGGCCACCCAAGCCTTTCGTTCTCTTGACTATACAGGAAACATTCCATAGAGGCAACTCGGAAGGAAAAATAGCTATCAAGAAGCACAGAAACTCCAGAGACTCTTCAGATCATTTGGATCGAGGTATTGAACAGCAGCTCGGTTTACCGTCAGACTAGGGTGAAGTCGACACGACAGGGCAAGCGGTCCCTGGCTTCCAGAGTAAAGAAATATTTACCCAAATGGACACAAATGGACACAAACGGGGGAAAATGGGAGTGATCAGATACAGCCGGGGGAATAAACGAGAATTTGGAGAAAGAGACGAAGAAATGAAGAAATGCTCAAAACCGGACGGCTAGCTTTATACTAGGCCGTCATATAGAGACAGGGCGCTGACAATGGTCTGGTCGCGCTTGCTGCCTTCTTTGAATTCCTCCAGATCGAGAGAGCCATTCTCGTCCTTGTCCATCATGTTGAAAATTTTCCTTACTCGCTTTTCAGGGGTATCTTCGTCCTCCGGTAGTTTGACCATGTTGCCCACCTACAAAACGAGTCAGTCAGTTCCAATGCCACGAGAATCCGGTCGGAAACAGATGCGTACCATTTTGTAGATCGCTTCCACAATCGCCAGCATTTCATCATAACTGATCCTTCCGTCACCATCGATGTCATACAGTTGAAACGCCCAGTCCAGCTTATCCTCCATTTTGCCGCGGGACGTGATCGACAGCGCGCAGATGAACTCCTTGAAGTCTATCGTGCCACTCCTATCGGAATCGAAGACACGGAATACATAATCTGCAAACGGGGCCGGGTCCCCATAAGGGAAGAACTGGCGATAGATCTTCTGGAAGTCCTCCTTGGTCAGATTCCCTGAAGGGCAATCCTTAAGGAAACCTGATATGATCGCACGCTGTCAGCTCCCCTGACACCTGTAATGATACTGAGAAAGCAAACGTCGCCTTACCTTTATACCATTGCTGCAGTTCCTTCTTATCAAAGTGTGTGGCCTTTTGGAGCTCCTCGAGCTGGGTGGGGGAAAGCTTCGATTGCCTGCACAGCACATGGATGGCATTAGCAACAGCCCTCAGAGACAATCTAGGAGCAATTCCGCGACAACAGTGATGATGTGCAGGTCTGGGCCATATTGCGCGATCATTTGTTGTCTGTTCCCATTAGGAGCAGCGATTATGGCGGGGCACGACGCGTTCAAACCCCCGGCAGAGCTCATAACAATGCACCTACGTCTTTCCCATTCTGTTTATTCGATCAACGGATTACTTAAGCGACCAAAGCAAGTCCTCCACGATGTGCTGCGCCCAGTGAGGCTCGTACGTCGTTCAAACAGGCGCAAACCAGTCTGACGCGGGGTAAAGGAAGCGGTGGACGAGTTTCACGGTCCTTGGCGGTTAAATAAAGCTGCGGGGCAGGACTATAGCGCAAGTGTCGAAAAAGAAATCAACGACAGGAAGAATGAGGAGAATGTATGTCTAGCAGGAGAAGCTGGTTGTCAGAGATCGGGGGACAGTCGAAGGGGCAAAGAAAAGCATGACCCTTTGAACGGGCTGTCGCCGGGTCTGGACGCGGCACCGGACTTGGGACTTGCCGCCCAGGCCTGCGATTCCTAAACATCCGACCTGCCCCACGATACTTATGACTGGCATCTTAGAATAATAGTTGAAACCAGGAGATTCTTGGCTGACCTTTGCGATCGGGATCTGCCTCTAAGATTGATAAGCCACCCGCGCAGACGCCACGAAGGGCTCGTTCCATAACTAGGCCTTTTTCTCCGACTAAGCTGGTTTGGATTACCAAAGAGATCGAGACTGCGTCGGGAGCCGATATGGTAACTTATCATTGAGTCTCAAAGAAGATAGCGATTCTAGTATTATTATCCATCGTCGAATGTCTATTGAATACCATACCATACGCAAAAGACATAATCTACTCTACTCGAGTTACGAAGCGGCTAACGTGGACCATGACGTAAGTAACTAACTCATCTCCATATTCGAGGATAATATGGTACAGCCACTTTAAGTATGTACATGTTTTATTTATTGCCCAACAACACCGAAACTTGAACACCAAAGACGGCAAAGCACTAATTCTAAGGGATATATGAACACACATCGTAAGTTGCACATTCAGAAAGACGAACATGACCCGCAATTCATCGTTATGTTAGGTCTCCTAGACGCATCTAATCGCTGCTGGTTCGACTAGGCATCCAGAAAGCAACAACCGTTCAGACATCCGCATTGCTACCGAAATCGAGGAGAGGCCAACATGACCATTGCGCAGACTCGCTCTGCACTGTAGGCAGTACACAGTAAAGGGATAAAAAAAGACCACGGATCGTCAACATGTGTTTAATCCACCTTGATAGAACCGTAGATGCGCTGGACAAATGCCCAGCTGGCGAAGAAGCCAATAGCACCTGACAGAACACAGTTAATAACATTCACCAGCTTTTTCTGCACAGAATCAACTTACCGGTCAGGATAAACACCAGGAATCCAATCAGCGCAGAATACCCGACATAGAGGACAGCGCCTGTCAGACCTCCAAAACTGACTCGGGTGGCCCAGAAGAGGAGTGCGTTGATGAAAACATAGCCACCGGTCATACCAGCACCGACAAAGGCTCGCCAATGCCATCGGTAGTTCTCAGCACACAAGAGGAAGTACACAAGTAGAACAGTCGTTGCAGCACACGTGATGATCATGAGCCCGTAACACAAAAAGAGGAACCCGAACATGTAGTAAATCTTGCTGGTCCAAAGGGAGTTCATGATGAAGTAGAGCTCCAGGAAAATAGCGGCAAATGGAAGGATACCGGTAAGCAGGATGGAAGGTATGGTGCGAAGAGTCCCAGTCATCGGAGGCACCTGGCGTGGAATCTGGTTTGTCTTCGTGGGCCCTTCAATTGTCTATAGACAGTCAGATAAACCAGCTTACCAAATTCAACTGTAGGGAAATACGAGAACCAACCTTCTGCTTAAATCCGACCCAGCTACCAGCCACGCTCAGTGGGACACTGATGATAAACCAAATGACCACTAGCACCAACATGGTGCTAAATGGCACGGCACCACTAGATCCTTGGGCCCAGACGAAGAGGTTGAGCAAGAAGAAAACCGCAAATACAAACCCTGGGATCAGAACAGGCGTCAGGATAATATTCCGCTTCCATGCCTCTCCTCCTAGAGCCTTATAGGTACGTGCAGAGACGTAACCCCCGATAAACCCGAAAAAGGTATAGAGAATGAGGATCGCGGTGCCCAAGAAGCCACGGTTCGAAGGGGATAGAAGGCCGAGCAGAGCAATAGCTACATAGCTGTCAGCATCCTGCCACAAAAGCACAGTAACCCCAGGGATCGTAACATACCGACCGTCACGCCAGCCATGACAAATATTTGAGCCCCGTTACCGGCCAGCACACTGAGCAGTAACGGGTACTTAGGGGGCCGGAAAACATCGCCATGGACCAGTTTCCAACCCGAGTCTTCCTGGATACCATCTTCCACGGCCGCGGAAGTACCATCCAAGTCATCGAGGCTAATCGCGTCCAGTCTGTTATATCTCGCAATATCCTTTCTCAGCGTGCGGATAAGAATCATGCTGACCATTCCCACGAGTAGAATGACGAAGACAGCAGAGTTGATAAGCGAAAGCCAGTGGATCTGGGGATCAATGACGTGCAGATATTTGTCCCAACGGGTCGCCCAGGGGGTTGGTGACTCGCGCCAGTATACACCATAAGTCCAGGTCACGGATGTCTCTCCATCCTCGCTAAGGGCCAAAGGTGCGCTACCTTCTCCGCAGTCCACCGAGCCGTCGGGAAGCTTCTTAGAATCGCGTCTTGTATCCGGGTGGACAAAGACACCAACGACGCGATATTTGTTCTGCTTTGGGAGTCCCACACGATGATATTCGATCACAATATCGAAGTGGTTGTTTAAGAACGGTTGCCCTTTCTCGTCCACCAATCCAAGGTCGAAACCGGGAGTATAGAATTCCGTGTTGGTCAAGGTATCGACATTCGCCTGAGCCGCTGGAAGACCGTCCACAAGCCAATTAATATTGTAGCCCTGTAGTATTCTTCTGTTCGTGAATTTCCCGGCGCGACCGTCGAATTTCACTTCATCGCAGACTGCCTTGCAGGTTTCGTTCTTGGCCATGTGCAGCTCAAACGGCGAGGTACGGATACGGTCTCCAAAAAGGATGCTGCCTAGCGATTCTCGAACATCTTTCGGGCCATCCTCTGGGCGACAGAAGCGAAACGCGGGATGGTAGTAATCGTAGGAGAAGACAGAATGTATTTGATCATCTTGCCGCGCTAATCCCGGAGTCAAATGGTTGACGTATAGCGGTACGCTCTGGCCTTCATCATAGGAAGTGGGTGCTACACCTGGCAGATAGAAGGCTGAGGTGAGTGAAGAGCTAGTTAGTAGCACCGTGTAGAAAATCCACGACCGAGCGGAGGAGAACATGGTGAGCGTCTTGAGTGAGAAGTTCACGTCAGCTTGCAGCTCTGGGAATCCGCGGACTCAGCTTGAACTAGCAGTGGATATCACATACTTACAGTCCACCCACTTCTTCCACCTCAGGAAAAGGGTATGTCAGTTGCTCATGCGGCGCCAGCAGACCACGAGATGGTCTTGGCAGCGGAACTTTTTGTGATATCTAGTGGCAGTGGGCCAAAAGTAAGTTGGGAAGTTGATCAGGGTCCCGAGCTCGGTTTCTATGCAACCGGAGTGTCGGAGCTAAGTTGTTCATGCCTTGCCGCTACGTGGTCTTGGAGGAGCACGTGATCTGTACAACAATAAATAGACAGTATTGGACATACTTAGAATAACCAACACATTCATAAGCAGCTTGGCTGGCATTTCTCAATGGCTAGGAAGAACAAGTCACACCCTTTTCCATGTGAAGTTCTTAAAAATCTAACAAAGATGAATCACCATCTGGCCGTGAGGGGTAAAAAAGAGGTATGGTTTTACTTTTCCTCCGAAACAACCAGAGTTTAACTGCAGTGCAAGGAGAAAGCTTCGACAGATTATTCTCATTAGCTATTATAATCCTCGGATATACTAGAAAAAAAGACCCGCAAAGACACGTGTCTTTGCGTACAGCCATAAGAAGATACACTTTCTACCGACATGGTCGAGACGAATACCAGTCGTAAACTGTCACTACATTGAAAGGAGCAGCATTAGACCAGCAGTGACAAACGCCGGGATCAACTGAGGATGGAACTGAACAGCGGTTCCACGGTGTGTCTGGGTAGCAGCGGGTGTCTCCGTGACAGTGGTTACTCGAGCGGCGACTGTCGTGCCATCAATCGTCGAGGCCGGTTCAGTTGTACCGGGAACTCTGGTGCCGTTCAAAGTAGTGGCCGCGACAGTTTCAGCAGGAATAATGCTCTCAGGTCTTGTTGTCCCGGGAATTGTAACTGTGTACGTAGCTGGAGCTCCCAGGATGCTAGCAGGTATGGCGCTTCCGACGCCTTTGCTCGTCCAAGGAGCCGGCAAGTCCATCGTGGCCGTGTTAGGTCTGGCCCCCAGGTTCGCAGAATAAATATTTCCAGAGCCATCTGCATATTCACCTGTTATCAAATTAACCCGTCTTCCGGATGGCGATGTAAAATTCCCGTTGGCGATGCTGCCGTACCAGCCATCAGCGAAATAGACGTTTGTGGTGAAACGGTCCTGTATTCAAAAGTGTGAGTTGGAGAACGTGCGCCTGAATATGAATAGGACTTACCCAGCAGAATGGTACTTGGTCATTATTCAGAAGCAGACATTGCATAGACTGAACGCCTGAAATTGGTTGGCAGTTAGCCAGAGGCGGACAATGATTTTCAGCAAGGTCCTACTAACAACATAAAGTAGGAACGGAAGATCTTTCGAGTAGAGACGCTTCGAACGTCACGTCCCTTTTAGTGGACATATCATCGACAGAGTCAACCAAATTTTGATACAAATGGACGGTATCTTCAGAGCTTCCAGCTGTACCAGGAGGATGACAGATTGTGTAGCCTTTCTGGCATTTTCCATCGACAGCAAGGCGCAACGCGCAGACACTAGATAACAGGACTATAAAAGTCACAACAAGGAGCCTCATGTCTGGTATGTGATATGTGAGCTTCTTAGAAGTCTTCGGGAGATGAGAGGAGCTTGCTGGGTGTGCTCAATCCTGAATGCTGGGAAGCCTTCTGGGATTTGTGACTTGCAAATAGGGTTGTTATCTTAGAAAGTGCCGCAGAGATTTCGACTCAGGCTAGAATTATTTGAAGGGGCCAGAAAGGAGAAAATGACTTCAAGGAGGTAGGCAAACGCAATCTCCGGCTTGCTGGTAGGTTCCACCGCAGGCCAGCCTAAATGGGTGAATAAGTGAATGTCATCTTTTTGTCCTTTGTGCGTCCCTATTATTGAGCCTACACTGGAACAAGTCACGTCGAAGCAATCAGAAAAGGCTAGTAGTGTACAGCCACAGCCCTTCTGCATCAACGGGGTGGTCACACAAAGAACTTCAAGTAAGCAGTTTTCCAAGTTACACAAAACCGCAAGCGGATGGACCAGGGGCCCTAAACTCCATCCTCTTAACAGCATGTCTGAAGAATATTTTGGACAACAAATGGATATATCATTAGATAACTATAGTAGACCCGTTATGTCCGGTAGCAACAGACATCGGCATTACAACTAGGTAGACAAAGGGGGTTTGCGGCTAATAAGTACCTACCTAGACTGTAGAAGTACGTACAAAGTCCAGACAGTGAAATCGCAACTCGAACGGCTCAACAAAACAAAATCTACAGAAGAGAAGAGACGATACCATGATTATCTGCGATCATTGGTGAGTATGATTCCCGATTTGTACTGTGCAATATCAAATACCTAGTTAGGTATGCAGCACAGAAATGAGATGTGGAGCGGAGCAGAAGGCGCTCGGGCGGAGAGACACATGACTAGCCAGAGATAAGACCACGTGATGATAGCCGCCCAAAAAATTTCCCCGTCAAATCTCTTGTCGCGGCGAGATTGACAGTAGAGACAGCACACAACCCACAATGGCCACGGCAGAGGTACAGTCACAGCCTTCGGGCGCTCAGTCATTATCGACACTCCTTGGTGATATCACCGCTTGTTTGTCGAACGCCGGCCCATCACTTCCGAAGACGAAGAAGGAAGCACCCTCCGACGTGACCATCGAACCCCCGCAAGATGGGATATCCCTGCTGGACACGAAGAGCGATATCCTGCTCTCTTATATACAAAATCTGGTGCTCCTGATGATCTGTCAGCTACGCGAGCTCTCCCCCAAAGAGCGCGACTCGAAGAGCCAAACCAATGATTCTAATGATGCCTCATCCCTCCGCGACGATATCGTCAAGAAACTGGTTGAGCTGAGGGTGTACTTGGACCGTGGTATTAGGCCTTTGGAGGCACGACTCAAGTACCAGGTGGATAAAGTGGTCAAAGCAGCGGAAGATGCTGAAAGAGCTGAGCGCACTGCCAAGGCAACCAAGACCCGCGAAGGGAAGAGAGAAAAGGCTGGATCGGACGAGTCAGGCAGCGATCGCGCTGACAGCGATGCCAGTGGTAGCGAAAGTGAAGAGGAGGAGGACATTGATGAAATGGCTTATCGGCCGAACATCTCCGTCTTCTCCAAGTCCGTCGAACGGTCCGAGAAACAATCAACAAAAGCTACGAGTAAATCTACTAGCGATGGCATTTACCGACCTCCCAAGATCAAGCCGACTGCTCTACCAGACCTTGACCGACGTGAGAGGGAATCCCGTCGTCCTCGCAAGTCGAACGTTATCGATGAATTCGTCAGCACCGAGATGTCGTCGGCTCCCATGGCTGAACCCAGCATTGGTAGTACCATCCAGAGAGGCGGCAGGAGCACGAAGACTCAGAAAGAGAGACAACTGGAGATGGAGCGGAGAGAATACGAGGAGACCAACTTCGTCCGATTACCAAAGGAAAGCAAGAAGGAACGTGCGAAACGGCGCGCTCAGTTTGGTCGCGAGGGCGGATTCGGAGGAGAGGAATGGAAAGGACTGGGTGAAGGAGCCGATCGGATCGAGCGACTCACGCGGCGGGCGAAAGGCAGTGGGAATGTCCTGGAGAAGAGTCGTAAAAGACGACTCACAGAAGACGGCCCTCGCGGCGATGGCGCAGGGATCGGTCAGACTTTCGAGAAACGGAGGAAGAAGATCGAGAGCTGGAAGCGATGATGGACTGTCTGACTGCGCATACTTTCAATATTTTTCTTATTTCGCAAAAAGCATTCTTTGTTGCGGGCTGAGATATGGATAAGCTATGTTTCTCTATCGCATTATCATCTGGAGTTTCAGCATTTCTGTCGATCGCCCTTGATACCTTACAGTACATAGTCATCAATACCAATAAAAAGCAGTCATGATATTTTATTACGATCTCTGTGCCTCTAATCTTAACTCTCCCTTGCAGAGTAACTAAAGAGCAGCATCGACCAAGTCTGACGCTGAAAAAAAACTGGGCGGGTTCTCTGTCACATGCATTTCTGCGCTTTCATTGGATCATGACATCATCACCTCCCATTAAGTTCTTATTGATTCAGGAACCGCCCAAAACATCTACTCTAGGTAATTATTCGATGAGATTTCCTTACTCTTGACATTTCTCAAGACCACAAGGAGCATCACCCAGGAGGTATATCTTCACGATGGAAGATCCAGGTACGATAATCTTAATCCCCTCACAACACCCCACATCGAGATCAACGCAAACTGACCGTCCTCTCTCTATATCGCAACAGTGCATGAAATCTCCACCGTAATAGGCCTATTGGTCCAATCAACTCCTGCTCTCCAGAAGCAAACGATTGAGCGGTTCTTCACGCCCGATGCTGAATTCACTCATCCGTTCTGTCGGACATGGAGCTGGTTCGGGAGCAGGTTGCTGATCATCAAGGTCTACCAGGCGTACAAGATAATGTCGCCGCGGATCGAGTATGAGGTTAAGAGCGTGGGTGAGTCTGGCTTGCATAGCAGACCTCTTTTTTGCAAGATTGTGAATGTATGATTAGTTGTGATTTGATGCTGATCGAATGGTGTTGGCAGCTTTCGATAAGGAACACATGAAACTCTACGTCACGCTCTCTCAGATATTCTCCATCTGGATTGTTCCCTTCTACGTTGCGCCAGTGACTCTGACGAGTGTACTCACTCTGACGAACTACCCTTACAGTTCGTCTTCAGATACCCCGGAATCTCAAAAGGAAGACCGCAAGCTGTATTATATCAAGTCGCAAGAGGATCTCTATCAGACGTCGGAATTTATTAAATTCGTGGTTCCGTACGGTATCGGATTTACGATCGTTCTGCTGTGGCAGACTTTCGCTACACTTTTTTGTAGCGTTTGTGCTGTCATTTTATCTCCGATCCTCTGGCTGGAGGAGACGGGTCGTTTCCCAATACGACGTGGGAATATTGCTTACGATACGGGCAGGAAATTGCCAGAGATGAGGAGGCCTCTATAGCAAGCCTTTCGAGAAGGAATGCTCAGTAAAACTTTAGCAATTTGTATATACGCGCAGCTATCCATATATTGTCAGGAACATAGTACATGTACACTACATTACATCGTCATGAGATTGGCATCGACATATGGAGCTAGATATGTAAGTGACACTCGTCGAGTTCACGGAGGTTCATTCGGAGATAGGCATGATAAGATGACTACTTATGACCATTCTTCTCGTCACCAAATTGGTCCCGAATGTAACCCTCATGCTCGACAATCTTCATGGGTAAAGAACGTCCGATACCGAAGAAGACAAAGAGAGCCCACTTCCAGCGGAACGGATTGACAATGATGACGAAGACATACCAGTAAATCAGCTCAGCATATGTGAAGAAGTCGAATGCACCTGTGGGCGCTAGTCTTTTCATGGTCCGCGTGAAGTCAATCCAGGTCTTCATCCAGCCCTCGGTTGGTCGAGTCAGAGGATCGACAAGAAACATGAGCAGGAAGCGGGTATAGATGCCAATGTGGTAGTTTCCTACCGTTCCGATAGCATTGACATACGTACTGTTGTTGGCGCAGATGCTGGGATATGCAGGAGGGAAGACTTGGAGGTACCAATTTGGAGGGGCATACGGGGGCTCAAACACCTTGTCTGGAAGGAATGATAGCGATGGACGCTTGAAGCCGGTGGCCATGATTATGAGGTCTCCAGGCACAACAGCCTCGTGACCCGGTCCGTCCTTGGGCACTCCTTTCTCACGATGATTGAACAGAACACCGTCTTCCTCCAAGGAAACGATGTCACCTCGGAGCCAACGTGCCTTGCCCTTGCGAATTTGTTCGAAGAGATCATTGTTTGCCATAGGCGTACCAGTGTACAAGCCACCCTTGGGGGCGATATCCTGCAGGTCTCGATAGAAGAACTTTTTCAGAAACCACTCAGGGATCCAAGTGAAGAACGTTTCCTGGCCAAAGACATTCATAGCCAGTAATGTTTGAACAAAGAAATTTCGCGGGATGACCCATTTGTCTGAACGAGACAGGACGTCTATCTCGGCAGCCCCAGCCTTGACGGCAAATTCAAGGGCCTCGATAGCACTGGCTCCTCCACCGACAATAAGGACCCTTTTCCCCTTGGCGTCTTTCCCGTCAAGGTTGCTAGAATGGAAGATCGGACCCTTGTACTTCTCCTGGCCGGGTAGGGGGGGCATCTTTGGCTCGCCGCAGACACCAACCGCTGCGACGATGCCGTCAAAGAGGCCATGCTCCTGCTCATTGTCGTTTATTATCCATTTACCTTCTCTATTTTGCTTCGTCGATTTCACGGGTGTATCGAAGACGGTGTGGTCGGGAAGGTCGTAGCGCTTCCAGACTTCGATAATCTGTTGTCGGATCTGCTCCTGGGTCGGGTAGGCCGAGTCATATCTGACTGAAGGATGGAAGCGGTACATGATGCTGTGGATTTGCAATGCAGAGGTTGAGTTCACTCTCTACACCATAGTCAGCCACGCTTTATGGAAACTGGTAGGAGATAATAGGAATCATACACTCCATATTCCTCCCAGTCCTTTATCCCTGGACCTTGCTTCGAAGATCTTGACATCGAAGCCATGACCGACACAATGAGCTGCTGACGAGATACCTGTCAAACCGGCCCCAATCACGGCAATCCGAGGACGATGGAGCTTTTCACGGCGCTCCGACAATGGCGGCGGCGCAGGAGCAAAGATATATTCTAAGACCCTCTGCAGTAAAATGTATAATACGGTGAATGGCTGCCTAATGAAAGCGAGCAGAAGAGAGTCATCACCCCGAGAGTTGGCCATCGTTGTGACTGATCAGGTAGAGAATGATGCCGGCAGCATAGGTGCTGTGAAGAAGAGTATCAAACAGAGCAGGCTGAGATGAGCCAAGTATATAATATGGGCTACCAGACCTCAATTGACACGGATCAAGAGACAGGCTAGCTTCCCTGCAGGTGATGTAACCACACGGCAGAGGAAGATCAATTGATTCTTTCTTTCTTTTCGTTCTTTTCTCTTGTTTCGCTTTCTCACCACTTCGTCCCGTCATGACGTAGTTATGCCTCGACACGTGATGTAAATCCGTGGATGCACGTGAAAGTGATTCTTGGAAATCAATCTCAATAATAAGCAGGATAGAATTGATAGAACAGATCAGATTGACCGAGAAAGTGTATATCGATTGCTAAATTTGTCACCATGTGGAATCAAGCAATACATTGTCAGCTGTCTGGTTCTGGACTGAAGCACTCCATAGCGCCAGTGTATGTCGAGGACTGTCAAGAAGAATGTGTTTTGGGCAGTTGATCGTGCATCAAAAGCCATCCTATACAACAATATGAGCTGTCCAAGGCTATTGACAGTTCTGATAATTCTGTTAATTTGATGCCAAGATCGTTGTAACTTAGCAGTTCTGATCGACTCCAAGATATCAATCATCTAACGCTCGAAAAGAAAGGCGGCGCGGGGCGGCAGCTTCGCCGGTGCGGATCGCATCGCGGATCGTCTTTTGAGAGCTCCCGCGTGTCCTCTGCTATCCAAGCCAAAGCGCGCAACGCAACCAAGGAGCACAACAAGGTACTTAGTCAGTTGACTGCGTGGTATCAACATCGGTACGCTGTTCGCAAACATGCTTCGACCTAGAACAGCAGCTCTTGCATAGGCTTTCAGTCGAGTCAATCACGACCAGGATCAGCACACCAAGCAAGCTCTTCCGACAGCTTTCGCTCACCGTCGAAAAAAGGGCCTGCCCAACAGCAGGTGCCTGTTCACACTGGAAATCGGTATAATGGCTGCACCAGGGCCAGTTGTTCTGAACGACTTCTTGCGCAGCATCGCGGAGTTGACGAACGAACGCGATGGCGCAAAGCTGCAGGATTTCCTGCAGTTGGAGCCCCCTCTGCCCGAAATATACCAGAAGATGGCACTGGAGTTGAGACAATACTATCCAGCAAATACACAAGGTGACGCGGAATTGCTCAAGCGTTGTGAGGCATTGGTACCTCGAAATCGTTCCGGTCCGCCCTGGACGGCGTTTCCGGTCTTCATGAAGCTCTATTTCACCTTCCTGCGAGACGCCAACGTCGAAAACCTCCTCGAGACGTACGACATGCTGAAGGGATTACTGAAGTAAGTCTCGATCGAAACATCCGTTCCGCCCCTCCCTTGCGTACGCGGTCGAGTTCTGGGCACACATGGAAACGAACGCTGCCTCCTACAATGGATTACGCGGGACGACTCTCCTTGTATAAAGACAGAAGACTGATCACGGACTCGATATTCACTACAGTCAATGTGTTCTCGCTCTGGGAGACAGTCAAATGGGGGTCATCGTTCTTCCAACGGTCCTGTACCTCTCAAAAGTTCTATCGAAGCTGGCCATGGGCCTCGATCGCCGGCCCGAGTTGGTTGCCCATCTCCTCCGACAGGAAGGCCGTCTAGACCGGGAAGAGGCCACAGAAAAGGTTACCCTGGTGGAACAGTCGGCAAACGTGGTTCGCGAAGCGTTCATCAAATGTCTGACGGACCGAAGCGGCACGCCGGGTACACAGGGGAAGCCGGAAGGAAGACGAGTGGGCATATACCTTATGGCCAACGTCTGCTTGAAGCTCCTATTCCAGGTGAGAGAAAAATCTTGGGCCAATCTTGGTAGCCCGCTAATGGACCCCAGTGTGGTAAACTGCGAAATGCGGAACAAATGTTCGCCAGCATAAGCGCTCAGTCTCCTCCTCTGGAATATTTCCCGGCCTCTCAGAGGGTAACATATCTTTATTACCTTGGACGTTACCTCTTTTCTAATAATCTCTTTTATCCCGCTCAAACTGCCTTACAAGCCGCCTACGACCAGTGTCATCGACAGGCAATGAGCCAGAAGAATCTGATTCTCACCTATCTTATTCCTTGTAATATTGTCTTGGGCCGATTTCCATCCGCAGCACTGTTGCAGAAACCAGAAGCACAGGGCCTCGCAGATAAGTTTGTTCCGCTGTGTCAGCTCATTCTCAGTGGGGACTACATTGCCTTCAGACAGTACTTGGCCTTTGATTCTCCCGAGTTACAGTGGTTTGCCCGCAAAGGCATTCTGCTTCAACTTCGCAATCGATGCGAGATCCTTGTTTGGCGCTCACTCACACGCAAGGTCTTTATCCATGGCGGTTTCCATGGCGATTCGCGCGCCCAGGCCCAACGTGGTCCACCGCCATTCTTGTATCTGAACAAGTTAGAAACAGTCGTGAGATGGCTCCAAGCTCGTCACGAGCGTCCAGGAATGGAGGCCATAGGGACAACCAGCCTGTTTGGGGCAGTCAAGCGACCTGATCTTGCAAAAGATGCAGCGGCCCAGGAGAGTGAGTATGGGTCCCAGGTTGTGTATCATCCCCCTGACAATGACTTTTCCGGTTTGGGGGATAATTCCATACAAGCTGCCGAGACTACTCATCATACGGACTTCGATGATTACGCAGCACCAGACGGATTCTTCGACGCGCAAGGTGAATGGCAAGAAAACCCGGTAGGTGCACTTGTAGACGGTGAACCCAATGACGACTACGGTCAATACGAGCTCAACCCGTATCCTGGCGGGAATAAAGCCCAGGACCGCGACCAACTTTTGATGGCCGAACTTGAATCTATACTCGCATCTCTGCTGACGCAGGGTCTAATGCGTGGATATTTGACCCACAAGAACCCTCGTTTTGCCATCCCTGGAGCACGGCTGAAGGGTGCGCTTCCTACAGGCTTCCCCAATGTTTGGCAGACAATCTCTGCACGGGAGAGTGAAGACGACTCCGTGCCTGGCTGGGTACGGATACCCGCTCAGTCTGCTTTCAACGCGAGGGCGAATACTTTCGACGGGGCTGGCGGTGGCCGTGTTGTGAACCTAAGCGGTGCGAGGCCCGTCGGCGTTCAGTGAAAACTGGGGAAAGGAATGTACTTAATGATCTCTACACTGGTTCCTTGGCGTTCATGGAGGGGCATTCGCGGTTATACATGGAGTTTTCTATAGACTTGTCGGCTGTCGATGTATTAGCACTTAGTTATTTCCCATCCGTGAACAGACCACGATTGTCGACTTCGACACCTGAAACATACTAGTCTGCTTTGCGGATAGCAGATTTGCCGTCGCATGTATATCCAGCAGCTACCTGAAGCATTGATACCCTGAAGATTCACACAGAAGGTTCCAGGAGTAATAGCGGTGATGGCACTGTACTATGGAATACTATGATTGCTTCCTGTCAGACCCGATCGGACCGTTTCCGCTTATTGCCTGATCGAGTAGTTGGATTCAGTACTTCCATCGTTTGGTCAAGCTTTTGGTTCTGTCATGCCTGTCTGGAAGCACCAATCAGGCCAAGATGATGGTCGGGAACTACATACGCATGCAGTGATCGTCGTACCTATTCCGGCAATAAGGTAGTATATCGTCACATATTCCACCAGTCTCCGTATGTCGAATCAGTTCTTCCGCACACCCCGCGTAGTTGGATTTATAATCCCTGTGCACTGCATACATGAAAGTACTGATTCTAGGGCGTACTTGCTAGCTCTTTCCCACCCAGGGCTGTAGCTCGCCTCAATGATATTTCATATATTGGAGCTTTCGCATTCTGAGACTTAGAACTGCAGCGGCCATTCATGGTGTGAAATAATCTCTGAGTCCAAAATCCATATCCATGTCTGTTCACTCGAAGAATTATATAAACATGAAGAAAGTTCTCTGTACCCTTCTGGCTTTCGCCGTAAGTCTCGTTATTTCTCAGCCAACCTTTCAGAACTCCTCTGGTACGCGGCTTCGAGTCGATAACGGCACTTATGGACCACCGGTGGAAGAAGTCCATTACTTTTACGACCAATGGCCCGTTGGTTTCGCTGTCTCAAGTAAGGGTCGCATATTCGTGACGTACTATCCTGGAAACTACACATACACTCTTGGTGAGGTCGTGGATAAAACAACTGAGCGGCCATATCCCAGTCAGGAATGGAATGTTCCTCCCGACGAGCGCACGCAGAACGTGGATGGGATTCTATTTGGATCAAATAATCGCACCGGGTTGATCAGCGTGCAGGCACTGTATATCACGCCACAGACGGATAGCCGTCCAGAAACCTTGTGGGTGCTGGATGTAGGGAGACCGAATGTAGGCGTCACCGGGGAGATGGCATATGCGCTACCAGGTGAGTTGTTCTATCGTTCCTTTTTCCCCCCTCCTATGAGAGTCTTGGAATGGGCCATGTCAATATTTTTTTTGTCAGTGTAAGACTGATTATGAATATGTAGGTGGAACGAAGCTTGTCGCAATTAATCTCGACAATGACACAGTTACGGACGTGTATACTTTCCCATCAACTGTGAATTATCCGGACTCATCGCTCAATGACCTCCGGTTTGATCTACGGCCCAATGTCACGGAAAGCGGCAAAGGGATTGTGTATTTCAGCGACGAATCTCCAGAGGGCCGCAATGGCATCGTCATGCTCGATTTAGGGACTGGAGAGTCGTGGCGACAGCTCGATCTCCACCCTTCAACACGAGGAGCATATGATGTTGTTCCAAGTTATCAAGGCGTTCCTTTCTATCAATGGGCAAAGGGGTCTCCATTCAAGCATTTAACTCAAGGATGTGACGGTATCCAGCTTGATCCATCTGGTTCCGTGCTCTATTACTCGCCTATGGTTTCCGACTACATTTATTCCATTGAGACTAAATATCTGCGCGACCACACCAGTATCGACTCCCTCGAGGCGGCAAATGATAACGTGAAGAATCTTGGTCAGCGTGGAGGACACGGGAACGGATTCGAGGGCGATTCCAATGGGCTGATATACCAGGGGATCCCGGAACAGAATGCGATCTACTACTATAACCCATCCACGAGGCGTACGGAGCCGTTCGTGAGGGATCCAAGGATCATCTGGCCAGATGGACTGTCCGTCGGGGAAGATGGATATCTTTATGTCATTATCAACCAGCTCCCCTATCAACCAATGTGGAATAACGGGACTGATCTTCGCCAGTATCCGGGCACTATTCTGAGGGCGAAACTACCAAACGGAGGAACCAAGATCACGAGTCTCTACTGATTAGGGCTCTGGATTATATAGCACTACGGTCCTAGAATATGGGCGTAGTGAGTGTCACAATCACTACGAGTGCGAGGACGGGAGATCATACATTATTAACTGATGCTTTCATTCATTCACGGGATCTTAACAAAAGTATGTCTAACGTAGTATATTGTGATTCTATCGTAGTGGGTTTTATCCATCATCTCTTCGCATCGATAGACAGGGGCGTCTAGGGACGGCCTCATGACTATCGTGGAAGAATAATGGCAGAGATAGCAGAGGCTCTAAACGATCAGGGAGCCTCCGTTGCTGCTGATCGAGCTGGCAGTAGCGTTCGTGTCTTTCATGAAGTATATGTATGCCTCTGCAACCTCCTCTGGGGCACCAACCTTGCCCAGAGCCGTATGTGCCGCAGCCTGCTTAACCAAGGCCTCCCTGTTGGGTCCCCAGAGCTCCGTTTCGATGGCGCCAGGGATGACTAGATTGACACGAATAGGCTTGAGATCCAACGCCAAGTTGCGAACCATTCCATTCAGGCCGGAAGAATACGATGCCACCACAGACCAGTTGGGCATGGGCTTCTGTGCCACCGCACCTCCAGTCAAGATGTAGGAAGACGTGTGACTCTTTTTCAGGTAGCGCGAACCGACCTTCGCGACAAGCAGAGGGACCGTGAAACGAACATGACCCGCCTTGCGAATATAATCGATGTCGATCTCTGAGACCGGCTTGAGGGCGAGCCCGTCACCTGCTGTGAAGATAATGTGATCGAGCTCACCGATCTTGCTGAAGAGGTCCTCCAGTCGACTCTCGGCATCGTCCTGGCTCAGATCGCATGGGTATCCTGTCACGTCGCCATTGGGGAAGGACTCCTTCAGAGAGTTCACTGCATTGGATACTCGCGTAGGGTTTGAGGAGGAGATGAAAACGCGAGCGCCTTCGACGAGGGAATGCTTCGCAACCCCGAAGCCGATTCCTGAAGAGCCGCCAAGGATCAGGACCTTGGAACCTGCAATGGATGGCATGGCTGAGGTTTCTGGATGTGGATGTGCGTATTAACGAGTTGTTAGACCGTGGGAAGGGAAAGGTGGTTATTGATCGAGGGAAATGTTTTAGAGTTTGGACCTGCTTTAATAATAATAGAGGATCTGTAGTAGTGACAGACTTACTGTAGCTATATAGCTTCTTCACTTTCCATTTCTTCTTCTCTTTACAAATTAAAGTAGGACCCCGCTCGCCCCAGTGGAGTAGGTAACTGCCCAAGTTGGAATGTTAGATACACGTTTTCAGATCTCTACGGGTCTAAAAACGTCCGATTGTCGGATGCTCCCCTCAAAACCCATTTCTATTGGGCCCGTCAAGTTTGGATTTTAAATTGGTGATAGTTAGTCGCCTCTTGGATATTAGTAAGTCTGTATAAATCGTGCCAGAATCCGGAGATAATCATCTTTTTTATGTCCGCCAACACAGGGAATTAGTCAGCACCTTCTTTAACGTAATTCCCTACCGACCTGATCACCCGCCCGACCTGATCAGTGCCGTATTACATACAAAAGAGCCTCTTTTCAGACCTGAATATCTCAACAACCAACTACCTAGAGATTATAAGAATGAATATATATGAAATATATATTGCTTAGAATATATATGCTGAATTTTATTTACTTAGACATAAGTCTTCTCAAGATATTTCAAAGGTAATATATTTATTAAAATTACGATTGTAATTTATATTACCTAAATAACTGATAATTTTTAGAATCTGAGACTTTACTATATATAAATATACTATTATAAGAAGCTACATATTAATTATTATATTCATTAGGTTTGTGGTTGTTGAGATATTCAGGTCTGAAAAGAGGCTCTTTTATATATCATACAGCACTGATCAGGTCGGGCGGGTGATCAGGTCGGTAGGGAATTACGTTAGCCTTCGACTTGTGGAGGAGAATTTATTATTATTATTATTATTATTATTGCTTGTGCTGTGAAGGACTGCATAACTAGCTTGCATATTATTAGACTATTACTTAATTTGCTTGCTGTGCTGGTTAAATTAGACGATAGGTCCAAGTAGGATTTAACTACATGATTTAAAATAATGTTCATACTACATACTCTTATAAGAATCCGGCAAGAAGAACAAATATAAGCGGTTGGCCAGAAGAGACGGTTGACCCTCACTACATTAAGTACGCAAACTACGATTCCATTTGCGGTTTTCTTTTTCTTTTTCTTTTCTCCTTTGCCGGGTCTACATGATAAAGGTATGACTGTATCTTCGTAAAGATCAATATCTACTGCTCGCCCAAGGAAGCCGAAGAAGCCGGGGAGAATCAAAATGACCCAAATCGGCGAGAGCGGGGAGAAGTTACATAATCAGTCATCACATGTGAAAATTTAGCTCCAGTGACATTCTTGTTTGCAAACACCAAAGATCAACATCGCGTCCATTCATTATTATTATTATTCTTTATCCGGCTCATATCATTCTCTGTCTAACTAAGGTCCTCCATCTAAAGCAGCTGACAGCGAGATCCGTCTCATGGCTTATTTCGCGATGACGACCCTGGAGCGATGACTTGGTCTCCCTGGGCTCCTGCAACACGCAGCTACCCCGCGGGCTGTTCTTAACTAAGACGTGCCTCCGCAACGTGTTTGGGTCCTAAAAGACTGCTGGGACGGAACCCTGCTACTTTGAAGATGCATCAGGAGAGAAGTAACGCCATGGGAAAGCCACCCGCCGTCATTTTTATCGTTAGGTGCGTGATATTGTCCCGAGAGACACCCATCATCGCTAACCTTTTTTGCAGACATGGCTCTCGTCTGGACGCTGTGGATAATCAATGGCACCACTCTTCTTCGACCCCATACGACCCGCCATTGTCTTACGGAGGATGGCTACAGTCGCGCGCCATAGGTGCGCGCATTGCCAATCTACTCGAAACCCGGGAGGACGAAACCGATGACTCACAGCCGCAGACACACAACGCAGTGGACAATCCGAGCACCTGTGCTTCATGTGAAGCTGATGGCTCCTGTGGTACAAAGGCCCGAAAGGCACGTCGGAGAAAATCTAAGGTCGTCGTTCACACGTCGCCATTCCTACGCTGTCTGCAGACCAGCATTGGCATTAGTGCGGGCATGAGTCAGTACAGAGGCGCTTCTGCGGCATCGAAACCGTCAGACTCGAAATCATCGAGCAATTCGGATGTAAGCTCATCTGCAGTCTCGTCACATATTTCGCAGCCGATGGATAGTTCGGACAGTTCGGCCACTGCTGCCGTGGATAAAGGGGAGGCCAAACATGAACGGGATCTGGTCAGAAGTGACGACAGGATACTCCTGCGCGTGGATGCATTCTTGGGCGAGTGGCTCTGCCCCGACTATTATGACCAGATTATTTCCCCTCCTAATTCTTTGATCATGGTGACGGGCGCAAAAGCTGAGTTATTACGACGGGGCGAGGACATTCCCCGGCACGATGGTCACGCGAAATCGATTTCTGGACACTTCCCTGGTGGCTGGGGTAGCTCTTCGACCCCTATATCTCCTGAAGGAGATGGAAACGATCCAACAAGATATAACTCAGCAATGAGCTTTGCACTCGGACAAAGACATCGGGCTGGCAGCTATGACGGGCCCTTCAATCTTGCCGGTATTGGCAGAGGCTTACTCCCCCGGCTGTCAACAGACAGCGATATCTCCGCTAGCCATGGCTATGTTCCACCCACCCCAACATATGCCGTTTCGACGTCAGAACCGATCCCACCTGGCTACGTGGCTCATGCTAGGGACGCATGCGTGGATGTCGATTATCAATGGGACAGCATGCGAGAGCCGTACAACTGGGGCGATGGTGGCGAATATGGAGAAGAATGGAGCTCTATGCATACGAGGTTCCGCAACGGACTTCAGAAGATGGTCGACTGGTACCGAACGCATCATTCCGCTGAGCGGGAGCGCCGTGAGTCCCGCTGTGAAAAGCATGCAAATACAGAGCCTGTGGCGAGTGAGGAGGATAACACAGACACAGTATTGGTTTTGGTAACCCATGGCGCAGGATGCAATGCTCTAATCGGAGCATTGACGAACAAGCCCGTGCTTCTAGATGTGCCCATGGCATCTATTACGATGGCTGTATACAAGGGCCCTTCGTTCGCGACAGAAGGTAGTGAGGCTAAAAACTCCACAGCCGATGTCCCCTTATCCCAAGAATATGATGTTAAGATAGTCGCATCCACCGATCATTTTCGTGCAGCACCTACTGCTGCACCACCTCAGAGGCCGTCTTCTCCCAAAGTCCCTATGTCTATACCTGCAGTGCCTTCTTACCGTCACCGTGTTAGTTCACGAGCATCTACAAAAGTCGACACTAGCACCATTGGCGAGTCCGCAACGCGCAGTTACACTAGCCAGCGAGCATCCAGCTCCGAATCACGTCCGAGTCCGGTTAACCGTGGATCTTCCGGCTTATGGGCTTCTACCTTGGCAAATGGCGGCGCATCCGAGTCAGGGGACGATATCGTGCCTGACTTTGGAGATCCGAAACCTGCACCAGGCGACAAGACTCAACCAGACGGAGACGCAAACGCACTTCAAGGGAAACAGGGAACATGGTCGCAGCGAATGCCGGAGCGTACCAGATCCCAGCGAGGTCTCTGGGGTAGTGCACCGATGATCAATGATGGTGAACTCGGCCTGAAGCGTAGATGGACGGTCACTGAACGCCGCCGTTGATACCCAGTCTGCTTTATATGATAATTGCCGGGTTTTTCCACCTGGATTGCTGCAGATTATCTTGTACCACCTCCTCTCTCTCAGTTGTGATATTGTGGTCCCTGAAATCTAGCTGCTCGCGATTCCGTCAATAATGCCGGGTTGCGCAGCCTTTTTTCTTCTTGCTCTGGAAGTGATGACGATTACGACTGATGGTGATACGCACGAATTATACCACATATCCTGTGTAAATAATGCATCATAATTATAATTTTCCAATGTTCTGCTTGTTCACACTGATCTCTTGGGACTCGTGGACTTGCTTGTTTGCATGTGAGTAGCATGCCGTGGCTCTTGTATGTACAGCTGATATTTCATAGTGAACTGCAAAGAATACAGCAGGCTGGCAATGGGGTCGCAATTCTAGTGAATAGTAAGACCAAGGCGTTGAATTCGTCAAGCATTATTATATATTAATATTAATTCTTCATTGATTAACACTCCCGATCCTCGGCCGGATGTTACATAGTTAAACCTTGGCATCCCATTGGCCCGGTGGCGAGTGTCGGTCCTGGTCCATCAGAGCTCCCCGCGATGAGCAGTGACCGTGACGCTCTTCGACCTCGACTCTGTCTCAGTCTTTCTTTTATTTTTATTTTACTCATTCATTGTTACAATCCGGGGGAATCGTCCAAGATCCGGTGTCAGCGGTGCTAATAACCCGCTAGCACATATCGAACTGATACTTCCTATCGTCCCGGCGGGGTTGACCTGTTGCAAACTCTCAACTGCCAACGCGCATGAAGCTTAGAGCTCGAACTCTAACGCGCCGTTTCCCTCATTCCTTAATCGCACGGAAACACCCAGCTGCGGATGTTGAAGATGTCAGAGGTGGAATCGGCTGGTCTTTCGATCACATACTCGTGCAACAGGAAGGGTCCGCCGGACCTGCGCCTACTCCACTACAATGATGTTTACCACGTCGAGTACGTTCTCCTTGTTTCATATGATCGAGGATAAGACCGCCAGGGCGATACTGACATTCGAGGAAGAGCAGGATCTGCGGAACCAGCTGGTGGTGTTGCCCGTTTCCAGTCCGTTGTGAATTTCTACCGCTCTGATCCCCGTTTTACCGGACAGCCTGATATCCTCACCTTTTTCTCTGGCGACGCATTGAACCCATGCTTGGAAAGTACTGTCACAAAGGGGCGGCATATGATCCCATTTCTCAATAACGCCGGTACCGATGTGGCGTGCGTAGGTGTGAGTATGCCTCCCGTGTCCACCATCAATCACATCCCATTGGGACTACAGACATGGAGCAGGAACTGATCTGCCGTAGAACCATGATTTCGACTTCGGCGTCGCGCAGTTGGAGCACCTGAAGGGCCAATGCAAGTTTCCGTGGCTGCTCGCCAACGTTCTCGACCCGGCTCTGGGCGAGAATGTACCGCTGGCCCACTGCGAGAAATCGTGGATGCTGACTTCGTCAAACGGGATAAAAATCGGTCTTATCGGATTGGGTGAACGCGAATGGCAAGCCTCTGATTCCCATGCTTTGATGGAAATGACACTAATTCAAATCACTTTACAGGCTGGACACGATAAACTCCCTTCCCCCCGATATTATATACAAGTCCGCCACTGAGACAGCCAAAGAACTCGTCCCTGAACTGCGTGCTCAAGGAGCAGATATTATCATCGCTCTTACTCATCAGCGTGAGCCCAACGATAATAAGCTGGCAGAGAACATGCCGCCGGGCTTGATCGACATCATACTTGGCGGTCACGATCATTATTATGCCCATTCAATCCTTAATTCCATCCATATTCTGCGCTCTGGCACGGATTTCAAGCAGCTGAGTTATATCGAAGCATGGCGAAAAGACACGGGTGGTTGGGATTTCAGCATAACAAGAAGGGACATTATGAGGGCTATACCGGAAGACCCAGCAACCGTTTCCCTTGTCCGGAAGCTTACTTCAAGCCTCAAAGCAAAACTTGAGAAGCCAATAGGGTATACCTCTAAACCTCTAGATGCACGCTTCAAGACAATTCGTGCGAGAGAGTCGAATATCGGGAACTTTGTTTGCGATCTGATGCGCTTCTATCATAACGCGGACTGTGCACTGATGGCTGCAGGAACCATACGAGGTGATCAAATCTACCCGCCGGGGGTCCTTCGGCTTAAAGATATACTTAACTGCTTTCCTTTCGAAGATCCGGTGGTACTTCTGAAAATAAAGGGACAGGCGCTCATGGATGCTCTCGAGAATGGTGTTAGCCTAGTCCCTGCATTGGAAGGCAGGTTTCCGCAGGTATCGAATATACGTTTCGGCTTTAAACCCTCTGCTCCACCAGGTTCTAGAATCACGTTCGCTCAAGTTGGAGGAAAGGATTTAAATCTACAGAAGGATTATATCGTGGCAACAAGAGGTTATATGGCTCGTGGAAAGGATGGGTTTATGTCTTTGCTGGCAAAGTCCGAAGGAGGTGAGGCCGAGGAGCTCGTGTGTGAAGAGAACGGTGTCATGATCAGCACCATTATCCGACAGTACTTCCTCAGTTTGAAGATTCTTGGCAAATGGCGGCACTGGAGTAGCAGCCTGGATCGACACTGGGATGCCGTACATCAGAAGCTACATGGCGATGACTGGTTGAGACCTCCGTCAGCAACGCCGTCACCGGTTGTTGAGACAAAGCCGAAGCGTCCAACTTTTGTTCGCAACTCAAGTACGCGTTATTATTATGGGCGCTATCGACCTCCCGCGGGCATCGAAGCAGAGTTGGACGGAGATCAGGTCGATATGGACTCGGACTCGGACTCCGATCCTGAAATACTCACAGACAGCCAATCGGAAATCAATTACGTGACATCGAACGCAAAGTCAGCGGCGGAGGAGGAATATAAGTTGCACCTTGTGCGCTCGGTGGTTCGCAAATGGATGAGACATGCAGGTCTCAAGAAGGATGTCCCTGATTGTGTGGACGATGTGGGCGCAGAATTCACGCCTCCATGGACTGCAGGAATCGCACCCAAGGCTGAAGGAAGAATCGTTATTGAAGAATGAATCAGACCGTACTACTGAATAATTTCGGTCCCTGGTGTTGCCAAAGAAAAGAAAGATATTTTTTTCCCCCTTCAATATAAAAAATCTTTGTATATAGAGGACAGTCAGTGATTGCACATATCTTGATCGCTTCCTAGATTAGGACCTTAGTCTCGACCGACTCATTAAATTTCAATGGATGTTACCTCTTTCTACGAGGAACCAGAACACACATGATATTCCTTTAATTTACTGGGGATGTAGCTCGCTGTAGGCGTTAAGACAGAGTATGCAGGGTATACACCACTTCTTCAATGAAAGCCCAATTTCCACATCACATCCAACGTAATCAAAAGCTTTACTTCAACATCTGTGCTACGTATGTTACCTAGAATGGTCAAAGATGTTGACAGAAGATCTGGCTACACAATGCAGCGCTCAAGCACATTTACAAGACATCTCGAGTGCTATCAGACAGTGACGTCAGGAACAAGTTGGGCCTTCTGAACATCTTATCACTATTAGTGATTGCTGTACATGCTTTCAACTGCGTAATAGGCTGATCGGTGTATAGAAACATAGTCCACTAAATAAGAATAAATAGTTGATGGTACCGTGCATATCACGAGGGCCGTGACTGCTCGGCTGCGTCTAATATTGGTCTTCAACATGATTCGCGGCCACTTATACTTCCGAGTGGTCTGCGGTGATTGAAGTTAGAAGAATCCTTACTCAATGTTATGTTATAATCCTCAAAATGCTTTTAGAAACATCTTCGACCCGGCTCTGTATCCGGTGTTCACGGCTTATCAACTGGATTAGTAGACCTGAGATATACGTATTATCCCTAACAGAGAATTCATAATTCTGCTACACGATGGACTAGCAAATAGTAGCACTCGGTCATTTATTCCGTTTATATCCTGCCGAGTACCAGCTCTGGGTAGAAGAATATGTCTATTCCGAGTAATACTTTGCTAATGTAAGGGCATCGAAAGCCCACGTCATTTTGAACACATTAACACGTAGACAAAATATAATTACTTCATAGTCCTTGCTCTTGCTTCTATAGCATGAATTCAAACCTGACTATTATTTTGCTATACATATGATTTTGTTTTTGTATTCAAAATGGCTGCTCAAGGAGCTCAAGATAGCAACGCGTCATTGAGACTCACCAACCTGTTCGATGTCAAAGGCAGAGGTTCATAAATTCGGTAATCTGGATATGTTACATATCCCACTACTGACTATTGTGCAGTCGCAATTGTGTCTGGTGCCGGCACCGGGATCGCCTTGATGCAAGCGCAAGCTCTTGCAGTGAACGGTGCCAGAGTATATATCGTCGGACGCACCGAAGACAAGCTCGATAGAGTTGCTGAGCTCTATGGCAAGAATATAGATGGAAAGATCATTCCACTAACTGCCGATATAACGTGCAAGAAATCCATCGCGAATCTTGTCAAGACCTTCTCGTCTCACGAAGACCACCTGGACATATTGATGAACACGGCTGGCATTGCAGGGCAGTCTCAAACGGCGAATCTTAAGAAGCCCGAGGAACTGCGCAAGAGCTTATTTGAAAATGAAACGGCAACCTTTGCAGACTGGGATGCGATTTATCGGACCAATGTCAGCCATCTCTACTTCATGACTACTGCATTTCTGCCGTTGCTTCAGAAAGGCAGCGACAAGAGATACGCATGGAGTAGTACAGTGATCAACACAAGCTCGATCTCGGGCATTGTAAAGGTGACACAGGATCATTTCGCCTATAATACGTCCAAGGCCGGAGCTGTCCACCTCACGAAAATGCTGGCTTACGAAATATCGAATTCTGGGTTGAAAATCCGCGTCAATCAAATCGCCCCTGGTGTCTTTCCTAGCGAGATGACTGCTATGAGTAGTGACGATAAGAATAAGAGTCATCTGCCGAAGGAGATGATGGTGGGTGTGGTTCCCGCTGGGAGGCCTGGGCATGAACGTGATATGGCTAGTGCAACTATCTTTACTGCTACCAACCAGTACCTGAATGGTGCCACTATTGTGGTGGATGGCGGCTATATTTTAGCAACTGGTTCAATATCCGTCTGAGGCTTAGCAAAGGGTCTCAAGCTAGAACATCGAGTTATATATACGTAAAAGATTGACATTATGTCTTTTAAGAGTTCCTTGTGTTAATTCATGTCTTAATTCGCAGATTTGTGGGCGATCTCTCGTATTGAGAATAATGTAGCTCATCCATCGGGGGTCCATGTATGCTGCTATAGCTTGGCCTGGTATTCAAGCACTGCTGATAATTTGACTCCACCGATTCTAAGCTTTGAAATGTCGGTTTCTACACCTTCTTCGACGTCGGGAAACGGACCCATTGGTGTGATGGCTTTCGGGTTGATGTCATAGTGACTCTTTGTATACTGCCGCCAAAAGTATCAGCACAACGATTGCATATCCGCGAAAGAAAAGGGACTTACGTTTTCCTTGATATGTTTGAAGTCCGTTGTCTCTTTACATGCAGGAATATTCCAGTACATGTGCTTGAGCCAATTGTTGAGCACTGGATAGTCATGGCGTATGGTCCCCAGGTTGCATTTGAAGTGCTGCACGTAGACGGTATCGAAGCGAATCAGGGTTGCATACAGGCGGATGTCCAGTTCAGTCAACTCTTTGCCAAGTACGAATGGGCCGCCATTATTGGCTACGATTTCCTCCAATTTGTTCAATGAGCCGAAGACAGGAATCACGTTTTTGTCGTATTCTTCCTGGGAGTTTGCAAAGCCAGCTTTGTACACGCCAGTGTTCAAATCACGCTGCATCCACTCTGAAATGCTGTCAATTTGTGAGCGAAGATGCTGGGGGTAGAGATCGATCTTGGCAAGTTCTGGGGAAATCAATGAGTTGAACGCAGTCGGAAGCCATCGAAGAAGCTCTGCACTTTCCTGTTCGATGGATTAATTCCCTCAACTCTTCCTCATGCTCAGGAGTTTTAGCTCACATTGTTGACTGCTGTGTTTGTTTTTGTATCCCAGAGTAAAGGAACCGAGTATCTTCCCTTGTACTCCTTATCTGCTTTGAAGTAGACCTCATGCATGTATTCACTGCCAAAGAGCTTATCCACTGTGGCGTTGGGGTATTCGTCGTCAGTCTTTGGGAATCTCCATCCCGGCCAACCCTTTGAATCGCCCTTTGGATAAGGGCAAACTATAGAGATGTCGATTATGTCCGTCAATCCTTTCAAGTGGCGGACAATGTTGGCACGGTGGGCGAAGGGGCAGAAAAGGCCTACGGTAGCAAGTGTTATTTGTTTTTCATATATTATGAGACAAGAAGTCCAGTTTGAAAAGACGAGGACGCACCGATGTAAAGGTGATAACGGCCCTTCTCCGGGGGGTATTCACTATCCGGTCGAATGACGCCATGCCAACCATCCGCGGTACCAGGCTGATGGATTGGCGCTGTCGAGGTGCTCATTGTCAATGGGGATGTATATCGATTCCTTCGTGTAAGAATACTATACTGATAGGACGTGTTACCGGATCTCCCGTGCCATGGGATCCTCGTTGCATTCCAATATTGACAATGTACGATGCCAGCATGCGTGCGGGGCATTAGCAACAGTGAATTCGATGGATTATTGAACTAGTAGATTATGTACTACTTATCCGAAGAGCCGGCCCGAAGCCCAGATGACGCGACAAAAGCCGAGACCATCTTACATAAGTATGCTATTTTGGGGATTCTATGTACAGAATAATCGACATTATTATTATTCTTGGTCCCTTATGCATCACGAAAAGAGTAACTAAAGGGGAAACCAGTCTCCGTACTGGATAGACATGTCTGTCTGTAGACAATAATGCCCGCTTCTAGCCTGCTAGAACGCGCCTCCAATTCAAGTTGGTAAGGATGCAACCATCAAAGACCCCTACTAGCAGCTCCTTTGTTCCAGTCTCCAGGGTGCACCGCGAGAGTAAGGACTTGTTAGTTGGTGAGCGCGCCCTATGCATTCACTGATTAACGTTTTTTCTCTCAATGGCGGACTCCATCGACTCATTTGAACCGCAAACAATCGTCATTTTCCCGAGTCCTGCATGTGGCGGAGACTCCCCAAATGGAAAACAATGAAGCCTACCAGAGCCAACAGAGGATGAAGTTGCACTGGCAAATGTTCCTCATCATCTCGACGGAAAGTCTGTCACCGAACGAGTCATGACTCGTATAAGCTCCGATGAGGATGGAGAACGGCTATGCATTGTGAGTAAGAATATCCAAGCCGTCAAGAACAGATTATGGAATGGTATTGCCCACCTATCTGAACAGCGATGGCACGCAGAACGTCTTGACCAGCCGGGCACTTTTGACATTGCTTGTCAGCTTCTGTCAGCTATAGCATTTGGATCTCCATGGATGGCTACCATGCATACACTATGCCTTCCGAGCATTTGCTTCCAATTTCTCTCCCGGAGTGCTCTCGAAGATACTGCCAACGTCTAAAGCAGCTTACTGATATACTTGACGCCCAGCGGTTCGTCACCGGCTATCGACGCCTCCTGCCTATTGGAACACCAGAATCGATTAAGGACATAGCTATCGAACAGATCATCTCTCAGAAAGAGCTGTGGTGGGATGTACGGGGAGAAACCGCAGATTTGTTGCCGCCAGAGGCATGGATCTTGACCGGACTTGATTGCGATGATGATTCTGAAAACTCTTGTGCTCTGCACTAGCGATGGTTCCCAAGGCGCAAGGCTTAATAAAAGAAACATACAAACTAAGTATTATTAGTTAACGAACTAAAGAACATGATGTGTAGGACAGGAGGCTAATGCTCCACATAGATATGTTTGTTCTAAACCAGATGAGAACCAGGGCTGAGCCCAATGTACAGTACATATGGATTTGATTCTGGTCTATCGATTATCAAACTATTTTTTTTTTTTTTCTTTTTTTTTTTTTTTTTCTTAATATTAATGGATCATGAACCGTGCGGTATAAGACGTTTCAAGAGAACCAAGTCGCCAGAAAATCCCTGCGTGATAGTGGAGCGAAGAGTCTCCATACATCTCCCCAGCTAATATTAAATGTAAGGGAGAGGCTCAGAGGATACGGCAATCTGTGGACTAACGAAGGCTAATGAATTCTATTTGGACCGCCGTTTAATGTAATCCAGCTCTAGTGAGCCCCGAATATTATTAAATTCTGGTCACCGAGAAGAGTAAGAATAATATCGCTGTGCATCTCCACGAGACAGCCCACGTGACTCGACTTCGGAGAAGTCTCGGTGCCCAGAAGATGAGGTCGTCATTCATTTTGATAGACGCCTAAGAACTCCGATAATGACACCAGCTGTGGGGGTGGGATTGTCTTGGAAACCTCCAGACGCGTAGTTCATCCCCTCGGGAAAATCGGTTCTCTCGATGAACGCATGCGGAGAGTTCTTTTTTTCAGGTTTATGTTTATCTAGGCAAGCAAAGCCCGCCTGGTTGGCAAATTGGGACAACCGAAGCGGGATCCCTCGGATGGAAACCGAGTGACGTATCGCTAAGGATGATTCGGATTGAGGAGGTTTTTTCTCTCGCTTTCTGCATCTTCCGGATGCGACAACTCACTGGCAGATTGCTAGGCGTGGCGGTTGTCCCAATGACTAACTAATTAGTTAATTAGTTAGTGGAAACACCAGTCAGCGTTCCTAAGTGGAAGGAGAACAGCAATCGATATAACTATCACGACAATTCTTTGAGCGATCGAAGACGCTCAACGGCTCTGTTCAATTCTAGATCCGAGGGGTGGCTTCCACGTCCTATGATCCCTACCTGCATCACAGGCGTCATCGAGCCACCAACAGAAAATTTAGAAGTGAGATTGACCGTGCAGCAAACGATCTTTTTCTCTGCCATAGATACTGATTCGGGCAAAAGAAGAGGATATTCCCGGCTGTGCACGTGGCTTGATTCGGTAAGACTGGGAGCCAATAGTCCTACCGGTTGTGTCTGCGACTCTGGGAGGAAGAAACAATCTTCATATACCAATGCGCCTCTTATTTGCAGCTCCCCACTAGAAGTTCGGTTCTATCACAAGATCGCTGCCCGTGCGAGCTGTCTAGCCCGCTGACCCGCCCGATCCCCCGGAACTTCACGGCCCGGAAAGGGGCTACAAATTACAAAAGGCTGAGAGGGCTCCATGGCGCAAGTGCGAGTGCTCTCCGCGTGGATTTGAGCTGTTGCCCGGGGGAGGATTCGCAAGATATATATATATATACATATATATATACATCCTTGCCTGGATCGGAGCAAAGCTTCTTCAGATCTCATCTCGCAGCGTTATTCCCGGTACGACTAAGTCGCGATTCAGGGGTCAGTCAATCACTGCCGCTTTACGCGGCCCCGAAAAACGCCTCAAAATAATAGCCCACATCTGCTAAAAGGCCGAAAACGGATCCGGTTGCGACGCCAACACTACTACCATCATTCCAGCAGCTTTGTCTTGTTTCAGCACCATTATTATACGATCCTATTTTGCTTCTCGAGCGACGTCTGTTGCACCAGCACAGTTCGATATTGTCTGTTTCCTTGCAATCAGAGCACCTATTGGTTTCGGCACCGGCTGGATTTGCGCCAGCCGTGCGAGTTTACGCTGCCACTTTTGGCCCATTGGCCGCTTAATACGATCCTGCTGAAGAGGGGGGAATATGGATCCTTCAGCTAAGAAGGAAGTACTTGGGTCAGATCCAGAAAAGACACAAACGCCAACAGATGGAGTCGATGAAAATACAGTGACTGGAGCTCTGAATGCCCGGCCCGAAAATGGCCCAAACGAAAAAGAGACGGAGAATGAGGCCTCTCCATCCATTCCAGCAACCACTACAATGAGCCAGGATTTTGCAGAGTTGCCACGCCACTTTGGAGTCCCAAGATCGAGACCGCATAGCAACGCCAACAGCATACGCTCCCAAGAAATACGGCCAGCAAGCTCCAACAACCGGCCTATCTATAGTACTGGGAATACTACCGTGGGCTCAACAGGAGGACGGAGCCTTCCGCCATTGAAGCGCAGAGAGACTCGGCTGGCGCAGAAAGAAGCGCACCCGCTGCAGCATCTCGGCATCACCTTGGGTCTACCGATGATTGTTATTTTTGACATTGTGGTGCCGTGCATCATTTATTACACGTGGTACGATAGCCAGAAGGGGCACTGGAAGGATGAGTGTCGCACAAGATTTCCTGGGCAAAACCCTTGCCCCATTGAAAGACCGCAGTTCAACAGAGATATCCTAGGCTCGGCGATTGCATCATTTGGCGTTGGTGAACTATGGATTCTGCTCGCACGCGTATGGCGATTGCTGTTTCATCAAGAGGAATGCGCACCGCTTCTTTCTCGCAGTCGATGGGAATTGGATGCTACGTCGTGGGTATATCTAGTAGCCATGGTGTTGGCGCTGATTCCGTTCGTTATCGGAAGCAGCTTGGTGATACCCAAACTATATCTATACGGACCAAGCTTCATCATGGGGTTCCTTGGCATTCTGATGGTCATCACGGTCGACCTTCCCTGGTGGAACATCCCGATCGGCATCAACTCCCAGCCTCGAGGGTCGGGGCTACGCCCTTTCATCTATTATGCGGCAGAGGACTTCATCGCCGTCGATGGATTGCAAGACCGCGAATTCCGGGTGCGATATAATGATAGATATGAGACTAACAAGATGTTTAGACAGTTCTTTTTTTATCTGACACTATGGTGGCTGCTGGGAGTGTGTGTCTACATTGGTTGCGTGTCGGCGGTCATATGGACCTTGCCGTTTCACTACGCATTTGGATTATCGTTAGGCGTTCTATTTGCGTATATTGTGGTATGGGCGGGTGTGACATATGTTTGGACCAATATAGAGATGAAGAGAGAGCATAGCTTATGAGGAGGGCAAATTCGATGTCTAATAATAATAATATCAGTGAAATTAATCGCCATGTGTAATTCGTCACATTCCGTACGGGGTAGATTGATTGGTTGGCTAGGTATGAATACGCCGACATGTCCGCCTACCAGTAGAAGTATACATAATCGCATTCCCACCGTTGACGACAGGAAACCCCGGATACATTAGCGCTGACAGCGGTTGAGGTCCCAGTCGGCGTTTGATGTCATTCAGCCCCCTCCAGCGGCGCATATGACCAAAAAGAGGTTAAGCGTCGATCAACGCTATCTAGACAGATAAACGCCCCGTATGTACGATGACATATTGTAGACTTCGCCTACTTGAAACACCATGTTTCGAACGAGATGGTAACATGTAGTTTCCCGTGTGCCATTTCTGTTAAATAATTCGGATACATCCACTTATACGCACCTGAAGGCCCACGAGTCTCTTGAACAGAAAAGAATCAATCAACCTACCACGTAGCCTGTTAGTGTCCCGGAAAAGCTGGGTAGGATGGAAGACAGACAGCAAGGGCATGCATTGAGACGGCGACTGTCCCTGCCAGGGTGATCACCCACAGAAGTGTATTATTCACAGCAATTTATACCTTCCTCGTTGCGAGCTGCATGATGCTCATGACTTACTCCATTTCTATTTGGTGTATGGTACTTGCTAGAATATAGGTATCCCCGAATGTCTTGCTAGGAGATGTTTACATGTCCAAAGAGTTAAACTAGTTAGTACGAGATTTATGTAAAATTGTAATCGCCTCTTGAATCTCTCACCTTTTCCGCGCATGTTCCTAGTGCAGCCCGATCGCGCTCTTGGCGGCAGAAATGGTAAGAATCACCGGAGAAACGGACCACAGAAATGTTTCACCGCCGGTATGATCTGTGAGAGGATTATGAAGGGATATCAGAATCAGTCAGTTTGGTGAATGTTTTCCTCTGCTCTGTAAGCCTCCAGGTAGAGAGGGCTTAGAGACATTGCTCTGCTGAAAACAGCAACATGCAGAGCTCTGCCTTCTCTCTGGTGAGCTTTTCATCGTTTATTGTCCTCCTCCTCGGGATCTCTTTGTATACCCAAGAGCAGGGGTTATCCCAGATTTTCTCAACGCTGTCCCATCGCGCAGGACTCTGTAGGCCGGATTCAGAATCATTACACCCTTTCCTTCCACATACAGCAAGCTGGAACACATGGTTTCATCCACAGCGCGCGGGTCCAGATCCGCCAAGAGAACGACGAAAAGGATGGAATATATTGTACCATCTGGGAGGATATGGGCCGTGGATTGAGAAAGTAGATGGGACTGCTTCTACTATTGGCCAGGGTGACGCAGTCGCACCGCCTGTAGGGTGTGTAGTTGATCAGATACATGTGGTGCGTTCATCTTGCCTGCAACTGAATTGAAGCCCCATATTCTTCTGCCTTGCTCTTATACATAGAGTATTTGCTACAGTCCGTTGCAGGTGATTCATGCTTTCTCCGAGATGTCATTACTCATTCCGTGGCATTCTCTAACCTAAATCCAGATGTCCCGTCATACTGAACGTTATCCGACTAAATCAGTGGGAGACCGTACGTTCCAAAACCTTCAGTTCGTCATGTACGAATTGAAGTTGATCCCCTCCCGCGCCCGACCTTGTAACAAGCTTGAAACTTACTTTTCTCCTCTCAAGGGCATCTGGACCTTCTGTCCCGGATCAAAGAAGCGAGCGTTGCCCTGAATGGCTCCCTTGCATTTGTCAATAACTGGACTTATTTTACAGACGAACCGTCCAAAGACTTGGATCAATTGACCACCACAGGACCGTATGCAGGGACGCTGCAAGCATTCACGGCAGGCGTTCGGTTTCGGACGAGATATGCGAATCTTTTACCAAAGCGCAAAATTCGTCTATGGGCGAGTGATTCTCAGCGGGTAATTGACACTGCACGCTACTTTGCCTCGGGACTTTTGGGTTCCATGTGGGAAAAAGACGGGATAGCAGAGCTGCAGATTATACCGGAGACCTTTGAGCGTCGCGCTGACACGCTCACACCGGGGGATACATGTCTCAAATATCTCGAGGACACGGAGTTAGGTCATGATAATGGTGCTAACATGCAATCACTCTTCCGAGACTCTTATGCCCCTGAGATTGCCGACCGTCTGCAATCGGAAGGCAATGAGGCTTTGGGGCGCTTAACCAATCTTGACATCTTCAGCATGCAGGAAATGTGTGGGTTTGAAACAATAGTGCGTGGGTTCAGCCCTTGGTGCGATGTATTCACTGAGGATGAATGGGACCACTTCGAGTATGCGAGGGATCTGATACACTACTACCGTGCTGGTCCTGGAAACCCCTATGCAGGTGCTATGGGTTGGCTCTGGCTAAACGCTACAGCGGACTTGCTACAGGACGGTCCAGATGCTGGGACAATGTTTCTAAGCTTGTAGGTTTTGAGAACCTCACATATCCAAATTGCAAAAGCTAAACAGCAGGAACTAACATTTTACATTCAACAGTGTACATGATGGTGACATCGCCCCACTGCTTGTCGCTCTGGACATCTTATCCGATCAGGCTTATGATCCTCATCTACCGACGTCGCACATCGCTGCAGACCGTGTCTGGCGCACAGCAGCGGTCCTACCCATGGGTGGCCGGGTCACCTTCGAACGGTTGGTCTGCGGCTCCTCAGCTGAGACTTCCCCATCGAATAACGTCTTCGTCCGGGTCAATATTAACGATGGTATCGTACCTCTTTCAGAATGCAGTTCTGGCCCTGGCTCGAGTTGTCCCCTCATGGAGTTTCTGCATTTCGTGCGCAGGAGGAAGGAGGAGGTCGGCGATTTCGCTGAAGTCTGCGGTCTGGATGGGGATGTTGGGAGGATCACGTTCCTCAGACAGGAACCGCAAGAGATATGACTGCCTATGGATGTAATTGAAATCTAGACATGGTAGGGAAAAGACATGGTACTCAAGAGACACTTAGATCTAATGAAGTTAACTCCCATAAAAGTCAGTAAACCAATGCTCCCCGCATGTCGATAGCATTTGAGTGTCGCTATTTTATATACAGCCTTTTTATGAGATTTATTTGGGCATAGCAGGCACATTTATGAAATAATCCAACCGTGTTAGTTAAATGTTAAATGTGTTTACATACCTGATGTGGAGATGGGGGCAAGGATCTACATCACGTGACGGATATCCAGGCTAATGGGTGTTTATTTCTGTAGACTGTTTCGATCGCCCAGAACCGACTTTAGCTGGTCGCGCATGTTTTCCTTTCACCCTTCATACCTTTTCTTTAGCACTTCCTTTCAGTTCCCCGTTCTTTTCCAGGTCATACCCTGTGTCTAGTTACCCCATCGCATTTGGCCTGGGTGTCGCCATGGAGTATCACTTTGTACCGCCAGAAGAACGAGCGAGAGATGAAAAAGGAAATCTCCTCCCCTGGGGTTATGTCTACAAGGAGTATGTACTTCAGTCCGATGTCACCCCCTCTCCTGCATTATGTTTATCATAGTCAGTGTCATGCGGGTGCTAATATGGAGACTGGCAGCGAATCTCGCAATCCTCGTCGACCGCCAGAAGAGACTGGACCGTTTGGCAAGAGACGCAACGCTCGTTATGACCACGCTCGGTCGCGCACTCGCACTGGAACCCCTGCAAAAAAGGAAAACCCTAATGTCGCAGAGTTCAACCGACTCTTCACTCAACAGCAAGAGGAAGAAAGGGCGCACAGTAGCCTGCCGAAGTCATCATCTGCGTCAAGCCTTGAAGGATCGCGAAAACCGATCGAGAAGGTTGCTACCGAGTGCATACTCTATGGATACCGAAACAAAGATTCGGAGTGGAAGGTGATAGACAAATACGAGCGCATCTCTCAGGGTCTCATCTGCGAGGACTACCCGCGCAGCGATCCTAATGCTCCGAACACGTTCTCTCAGTTGTTGAGTGGTGGTGACGTTGTCATTCGGGCCAATCTTTCTGCGGATGCTAATCGCAAATCGAAGAGATATGCCGGAGGTTACCACTGGATAAAGGTCACCTTTGACTCCACGATAGCCGCTGACCGCGCGTGCTATTTTTCGCCGCAAGAAATCGACGGCCATCTTGTTTTCTGTGAGCCCTACCATGGCCAAGGTCCGCTTGAAGATGCCCCGATCCCAAAGGGGTCTGCAGCTGCTAGTCGGTCGAAGTCCAAGGCTCATCACACCCTTACGCCTTCCTATTCTACATCCTTCCTACAACACACTGAACCGGAGAGATCTACCCTCCCACGGTCATTCACCGTCGGCAATCTCGCGAACGTGGCCGGTGCGGGGGACGACGAAGGTGATTCGCAACTGTCCACTGCGACAGCGAGCTCAGCTACGGCCACGGCAATTGAACAGGTTACAGGTGCTCGTCAACGCCAAAACGTAGAGACGAAGCCTGAGTCCGAATTCATGACGCATCTTCCAAACGTCCGACGCGCGACCCTCCGTCCTATCACCGAAGCACTACCTCCTCAGCCAACTGTTAGTGAGCGAGTGTTGCGTTCTATCCCGATACTGAGCTGGTTTACTGGTGATATTGTGGGCGATGGACCTCAGCTACGCGAAGATGGAACTTTCGACTATGAAAAATCGAATCTCTATTGGCGCCTATGGTACATGGTCGACATGATATTCGGTACTGATATTTGTGGCCTCAAGGAAGAATCGTGAGAGCCTAGCTGCCTCACCTATCATTTCCTGACTGGTCAGCGGCACGGCTTTTCTCGAACATGGACACTTGGAAGTGTCATTGAGATCACAACAGATTACCCAGTGTTGATAGACAGCCTTGGCAAGGAATATCTGTGTGGATGTTCCAGATGCGGTGGACGAGTTCCTATAGAGGGACTTACAGATGTCATCGCAGCTTCATGGCTTCCACGCTCGGGAGATTCCAACTGCAGCCAGAACTCTAAGAATGCACATTCATGCGTACAGGAGTTGGGATTGGCTCGAAAAATGTGTGCTCTGCAATTGTATGTTGCGTTAGAGCTCCGAGACGATGATTCTTGCTAATGACTACGGCAAGTTCGACGTTCCGTTTGTTGGTGCATGGTTGCCTCATCCAAAGAAAAGTTTATCAACATTACAGCCCAGCATGTATCATGGCGATCTTTCTATTCTTTATTTTGCAGCCTCTATTGCGGGGAGTTTGGCGATAAGCGTACATAAGCCTTGTGGGCGTGTGGTCGTTGGTTTTCCTAGTGTTGGGTTCTGTGTAACGGTGGATTAAGGACCATTCCGTGCAATTGTATGACGCGGCATCCTAATATTTCTTCATTGATTAGAAGAACGGGCCCGATTGCCTCATCGATATCTTTTCATGTTACCCTCAAATTAGTATGAGAGATCAGTCATAGGTCCACCTTCATGTTACAACCATATCCTCCTAGGCAAGGATCATAGTCACTGGTCATGCTGATAGGATTTCGCAACTTGAAACAGATTTGGCCAGCAATGATAGCCAATACTAACAAGTGACCAATATTGCAACGTCGGCGTAGTCTGACCCATGAAGATGGGCCAGAAGATATGTTTGATATAGATGGATAGCTCAGATATCGCACAGTCTTGGAGGGACACAGGGTAGATGACCAGTGGAAGGACCTGCAGGCCCAGTCGGATACAATCAACGTCACAAGCATTCTTATTATTTCGTAATGATTGATCAATTCCTTTCAATTCCATCTTTTGCGCCTGCCCCTCTTTTCCCCCACACAGCACAGCTCTGAACCCGTTTACTCAACCTTGCTCTCGAAGTTCTCACCCTCGACCAGGTCGGGGATGTCATCCTCATCATCGTCCTCCTTCTTCTCAGCACCCTCCTTCTTCTGGAGGTTCTGGTAGCTCTCAGCGAGCTTGCGGAGGGATGCGAGGCTGTCGGGGCCGAGCTGGTTGAGGATACCGGGGACGAGCTCGGTCAGTTCCTTCTCCTCACCGTTACCGTAGAGGGCGAATGTGTTGGAGGGGACGGAAGCGTGGACTGAAGAGTGTCATGGATGATTAGCAGACAATTCGCGGTTGTTGAAGAAGTGTACTCTCTCCATCGACATAGGTCGCGCAGAAGACCGACTATCCGGACTCACCTCTAGGAGCAGAGAAGTGGATGACGTTGCCGTCCTCCTTGAACATGTTAACCTCCTCGATAGCCTGGATGGGCTGAACGTTCATCTTCTTCAGGGTGGTCTGGAGCTTCTTGTCGTCGGCGCCGGACGACTTGTGGACTCTCTTGGTCTTGCGGCGGGGGGTACCCTTGCCTCTGTAACGTGGAAATATCCAATGTCAGCCAAACCCGTGTATAACTTTATTCAGTCGAGATGTAAATCGTGCATTGGAGCTGATAGAAACGGGGATGCGATCAAGCCTCGCACACTGGAATATTGGAATGAATTGAATTGTGCTCCAGGACAGTAAAGGCCTTGGGATAGAGATGAAGGGCGAAAGGGGATCCCTTTAATCTTCTCAAAGGGTAAGGTCAAAGAGTATAACGCACCCTAGATTGCAGAGCACATGTTAGCAATCCCATCGTTGCATCGGCAAACTCATAAGGCAGATAGAACAAGGCGAAAGATATTCGACAACCAGAAAAGGGGGCTAGGCTAAGCTTCCCAGCAGCTACTGCTTCCTCCGCACGAAGCCTAACAGCCCAGTTCGAGATTGCGAAATCATGCCGCACACAATCCAACCAACAGAACACACGTACCAATCCGCACGCTCGCCTGGAGTCTAGCCAGCTTTGCCTGATCCATTATGAGATTTTGTTCTCGGGGACACTCGATTCTGTATGAGTTTCGCGCGTGTGGAATTATGTCGCCCGCCGACGATTTCAGTGACCGGGTCTTGTTAGCGAAAAGGCGTCTGGTTAGCTAAGCTCGGTAACGAAGTAGAGTTATTGTAGGTCGCAGCGGGGTTGGGGCTTGGAGACGATTGATCTTCGCTCACCGCGCAAGACAAAGAGGGTCGAGGTCGAGGGCACTCACAAGGAAAGGTCTTCGTAGAGGGGTGATAATGGTTCGTCTCTAGAGAGGTTGGATCGAGCAGAAGACGCAGTGGAGGGAGACGAGCAACATCTTGGGGTTCCGAATTACTTAGCTCGCCGTCGGGCCCAAGCACCAGTTTGTGTGGAGTGCAAAATGAACGGTTCGCCTGGTTCACAGTCCACGTTTCTTACGGACAGCCATGAGGGCCACGTCTACGGGTTATGTCTAACAGGACTACGATATTACAAGGCATGGGGATGCATCAGAGACATCAGGATGGTTTATTCGAGTGTTGTTGTGCGCAGTTCGTGGTGGAAGAAGATGTCGGGAGAGCTTCTGCTCGGCTAAACCCTAACAACGGGTCTGGACTTGGAATGCGGCACGCGAGAGACTATGGAATATTAAATATTAATGTAGCAATTTCTGCAGCGGTTTCTATAACTACTCTCTCTCATTATTATTGTCTGACTTTGACTCTATTTCCACACCGTGGAGGTTTCTACCGTATTATCCAAGGACAAGAAAATCAGAAACAAATGGTATATGTAGTAACTAATCCACAGGTACATACATAAATGTGATTGCATGGCTGGGTAGGGCAATGACTAACTAGTAGTATGTACATACATCCACATCTGCGATACTGCTCCCAGACTACAATACATGAGAGACCAAGGGAAAAGGCCCTCCTGTATATACATATGATGTCGAAATATCCAACGGTATATATGCAATTAATGCACTACGACTTGGACGCCTTCCCAATCGCCTCATCTGTCCACGCCCACAACCTCTTCCCCAGCTCCGCATCGGTCGCATAGCGGTTGTGTTTCTGGACGATTCCCACTGGGGTATAGTACGCACCATTGATCAACGACTCCCGCGAAACGCCCGCCGCCCACAGCTGGTTAAAGGCTCCCGTACGGACGCTGCGCATGGCGAGGCCGCTAAAGGTGGCAATGGCATAGTGCTGCACGGAATTTGAAGCCTTGGCTGTCTCGTACAAGTTGCTCGCAACGGCTCCGGGATGCACGGAGACAGATGTAATCTCGGGATATCGTCTCGCGAGCTCTGCCGCGAAGAGGATGTTAGCGGCCTTGGAGGCACCGTAACGAAGCCAAGTGTTGCTACCCAGGAGCGCAGGTGTCGAGGTCATAACATCAAACCCCGGTGCGGCCTTGTGGGCTACGGAACTCAAGGTAATTACCCTGACATCGGCTGCAGGGCCTACATCCTTTACGGTCCGTAGCAAAGTTGGCAAGAGAAGCTGGGTGAGGAGGAAATGTCCAACATGGTTCGTTCCGAATTGAATCTCAAAGCCGTCTTCCGTGGTGACAGCATCATGCGCCATTATCCCGGCGTTCAAGATGAGGAGGTCCAGGCGATGGCATTCTGCGGTGAATCTTTCCGCAGCAGCATGGATGGATTTGAATGAAGCAAGGTCCAGTGGGACGTATTTGATCTCGACAGGGCTTGACAGCTGCGCTTGGATGTCGGCGATAGCATCGCGGGCCTTGTCCTCGTTCCGCGCACCCAGGTAGATGCAAGCTGGACGATGGCGCGCTAATTGCAAGATCGTTTCCTTACCCAGACCGGCATTACCTATGCGACTGGAGGTTAGCCGCTGAATTCAAATGAAGGTTCGATCCCTGCTCGCATGTAATAGCATATTATTGAGGCACCCACCGCCGGTGACAAACACCACCTGGCCCGTAAGGTCGCGAATGTCCCTCTCCGGCACGAAGGATTCGCCAACGAAGCCAAGCGTAAGCTCACTAAGTGTAGGTCCAACGCTGCTAGCGGTCTCCAGGGGATGGCGGAAACTATCAGCGACAAATCTTCCCATCGCAGCCACATCCTGGAGAATCGGATTCGTAGTTTTCGCTTGTCGGTCTTGACCCTGCTGCGATAGTCGCGAATCGGAGACCATGCCGGCAAAGTGACTCCTTTTTGTCAAAACGAATGCAATTTTAAATACCAAAATGAATACTTAATGCGTGTACGCGCCTTTCCTGGAATATGGGTGAATGCCCGCCCGAAGAAAATAGCCAACAATGAGGCCGTACCGGTCTTCCGCGGTCTTTGGAATCGCCAGGGGCACTAGCTCATGTCGCAGGTCGGCAATCGTTTCGTTACTTGGTAAAAGCGCCGCCTGTTGATAAACTACATCACATCACTTCACCAATTGTGTTGCGCAAAGAGAGGCAGTTATTATCTTCAATGTAGTCATCTGGCCAGAGAAAGCTATATTAATCTAGATAACGAAACTAGCTGGTCGGGTGAGCAGAGACCTGCTACTAAGAGCCTAGGAGTTCTGAAATTATATATAAATAGAGTCAGTATAGCATTGACCTAAACTGATAATATCCACAAAACGCAACAATCATATAACTACAAGACAAGTAGGACAAATAAATATATAGGAATACTGTCGAATCGTAAAGAGCACGGAAGCAGAATCTGAATTGCTTGCTTGACTCTAGGTCTAGGGCGGATTTGATCCCATATTTATCTCTAGCATACAAAGAATCTAGATCCTAGTAATCTAGTAATCTAGTAGTAATCTAGTAGTAATCCAGCATAATCAGGATTCAAAGAATCTGCCACAAACGGATGATTGACAGATCACCTGGCGTTTGCTTTATACGCCGACAAATACTCAGATTTTGCATATGCGTATTGCAACAGCAGCTGCATCGCCTGACCTCTTGATAGTTAACCGCGATCCCCCTTTATACAGACGCGCGTGACTGGTATATCTTAGTTTGCCAATCACAATAATTTAAGAATACTCCTGTCTTCAGATTTCCTCAAAGACCTGCATTATATTATTCCAATCATCTTGTTAGTGATCAAGAAGATACTTATTTTCTTTTCTTTCGTCCGCAATAGCAGACCCAGTAAATTATCTTTGACTCTCAGATAGCTAGAATAGAAAATGCACCTAACTCTACAGATGCTATAATTATCTACTGGAATTATTCTACAGAAATACTCAGGAAGACGCATATGCTTGATGGTTTCCCGACCCCGTAAATTAACTCCGCCAGACACCTTTTCTGCTATATTCACTATCTTTACAGTGACATGGCATCCAAATATCACATTTTTCAATTCGTCGCCATCAATGGTACTGGAAATTAGGGCTCTCTGAACGGCACTCGTGTAATCCGGTTGCATGTGATGAAAAGAGATCACCATCCACGCAAAGCATAGAGCGCCGTGCAGGTATATACATCGATACCTACATCAAAAGGCGTCTGGTGTATAGATCAGCTAGCCGGACAATTAAGATGGAGATAAATCAACTCGAAGTTTCGGATAGGTCACTAGATTGTAATGTTGCGGCCTTATATTCACTCATACATTACTCAACGTGGTTCACCTGTCCATCTCCCCCGTGCCACTATATCTAACATTAGTTTTCGGATAGATGTGGTATATGTCGAGGAAGGCTATGTCTCATTATCTCCTGATGTTCAGGAGCCGTCCCTCCTACGCCTCTATTGGCTACCAGCAGTCATAACTAGCACAATGCTCTTCCATGCCTTATTGTTTGTCTCTTCCGCCGCTGCGAGATACTCTCCCATCGGTGGTTGAGTACAGAGGTTTTCCAGTCTTGAGACAGAACTCCAAGTCTTCTTAATACGGCACTGTGGGATCATTACCCGGATCCGAAAATGGGCGACGTCATAATTGCAGCGATCGCTTCGCTGCCTAACTTTGAGGTAGATATTGGATGTCATTTCTTCTCTTCGTATGAGGCAAGCCGCTAAAGGCTATTGTAGTGTCTACTTAGGAGATATTCCTGCCCTCGATAGCATATACAGGGGCTGCTGAGAATTCAAACTCTTTGCGGAGTTCTGGAAACGTCAGGGATGGCTGGATTGCTTTCCAATTTACCTGACTGTGAGATAACAGCGAGTGATATATGCGGTAGTGGAAGAAAGCAGAGTGATTATTTTGAAGCAGATTTCCTTGGTTCACTGTACTTTAGAACATAGTTTTGACAACCATGGATGCATTAACGTAAGGGTGGACCTCGTATCATTCTCGGAGATTCTGACTTTCACACTAAACCGGCCTGTGCAATTGCCTGAAAACTATCGACTTGCGGTTATTCATTCTATTTAAGTCTATTTTTGAAACACGGGCAGAAAAGAATACCCTAACTGATGGTACGCACTCTATGGGCATTGTGTTTTATTACTGATGAGACAGTGCCATTGTCGTCTGCGCACAACTTCGAAAGAATACCGTATATTGTCAAATGCATCATATCTGTACACAAAAGGCGAAGCCACCCGTGTGACACTGGGCAAGAAGGATATGTCTTTGTACAGCAGCAATTGATAGCCTTGGAAGAGAAATTGCAGAGAACACATCTTCCCTCGGACCGGATGCCTTTATTTCCGGGTTATGGTGCGTTATGGTGGGCGTCACATCTGCGGAAGGCCCGGGTTGAGATATGCTTAGCATGTCTTTCGAGTGTTACAATTGAGGGTAAGGGTGGCACACAGTCGGTATACTAGCTTGCAGCTATGTCTCGGTTGGCTGGGACAAGCAATCAGCGAGGAGTAAAAGGATACCAGAATTTGACTGCGTGAAATAATCCCAGCCTCAGTCCAGATATCAGTGACGATAACAAATATTTGTTGGTATACACAGGGACAGTTGTATCTGCTCTCTCCAGTAAGGGCGTAGGGACGCTGGAATATATGACGCTAAGACCAACGAGGGGGAGATGTATGTATCTCTGAGATAGCGAGGCTGGATAATCCTTTGCTAATTGGCAAGCCATATCTAGGCAACCTCTTATGAGCTCTATGAATTGAGACTTGGAAATAATACCTCGGCTCTGATACAACAAGTCCGGTGATTCCGTCGCTAGGTCTAGCAATGCTCCCGAACGTCGGCGATGACCGAACCCGGCAGTTTCGCCCGCAGGGCATGGAAAACCAGACATAAACGACACAGCGTGTGTGAAGAGGGATTATACGCCTTTAATTATCATTTCCATGTTCTGTGTATAGAGCCTTTTTTATATATAAGAAACCTGCACTCAAAGTAAGGCTTTGCGATCTTGCATCCTTTTTATACGTCTTGATCCTGAGAAATGCTGTACGGTGATGTCCTAGAAGAGATGATGTAATCCATATAATGTCCCTTCTGGACTTCTAACGAACCTTTCCCAGGTCCCATACTTGTGTTCCTGTATATGAAAGTGCTTCCATCTGTAAATAACTGATTATGAGCTCTAAATGTCAAAAGACTAGGTACTTTAAGACCCGTGTCTATATTCGATCTCGGTCAAGAAGATAGAGAAGATAGCTACCCAGTTTATCTCCTCCCTGATCTGATTTATGATGTGATTGACTATGAGCTATGTCATTAGACTTATTGCAAGACTGCAGATAGGAATAGATCCTCAGGAGTGTCTCTGTTTGTTTCTTGTGATTCCCCCATTCGACTTCTTGGCCTTTTGTCCGGGCCCACGGGTAGTTTCTCCACAGATAAAGGACGAGTTAGTAACGGTATACTCTCATGGGTGTACACTACCATCGATTCTGTAGGGTACCGCCACAGCCTTATCTGACAATGTGGAGAAGCAGAAAATAGTTCATCTTAGTTCTTCTTGAAAGCTATGGTTCGTCTCCATTCTGCAGGGTCGCGAACCACGATGATCGGCAATAGCCCCAGCACCGTCGGGACCTGCCAAGCCTTCAGTATCTATTGCAGATCATCTAAAGCAGCAATGTGGACAAGACCTTATATTGCCTTTTCGGGTCCTGCTGATAACCTTCTTGCATATGTTTGGATGACTGTGAATTGTGCCAGGCACATGTCGACCGTTTCTTCCCGGTTCCTGAACAAACTGTGGATACGCCAAGTAGCTGAACCTCCGTATACTTCTTATACATCAAGTTTTGTGTTTAGGGAATAACTAGACAGTTCTTGTCCCAAGAAAGATCTACTACGGCCTTTGAAGTCTATCTTGAGTTATGATTTGGATCTACTGGTAGAGTCCATGGAATCACGGAGTCTCCTCAGAGATTAGACGGTAGAAGAGAGATATAAAAGGCATCTCCATTCCATCATTCTCCCGATCTCTCAGACCATTCATCAGAGACCACAAGAGACTCAAGAAAGATATCTCTTTATACCATACGCCTTCACAGCATTCTTGTTTACCGAAAGAGTATCCTTCAAGATGCAGTTCCGCCTTATGCCCATTGTCTCTCTCCTCAGCGCGATCGCTGCAACCTCTGCCGCGTCGTCTGTGCAAACCAGGGATTCTTGCCCCAACCCTCTTCTCTGCTGTCCTGAACTGAAGACTCCGTTGGACCCGACGGTCGACCCGATCCTGCAGACATTGGGAGTCAATGCCACTGCTATTGTTGGCTCAATTGGGTTGGAATGTAAGTGATTGTGTACTTATTGATTATACATCTCACTATTGTGGCTATACTGACCATTTCTACTCGCAGGCAAGGTATACGATGACTCATGCTCGACTGCTCCCAAGTGCTGCACGGAAGCCTTTTTACTCGTAAGTTCTGCGGAGAAGGACGGCGAGTGGATCCGGTAACTAATGAATATGGTACTTGTTCAGGGAGGAACTGTTGCTCTTGGCTGCAGTTAAACAATGTCGACGATACTGGCAACCGACTTACAATTGAGTTTCGGAACGCGGACAGGACAGATAGTATCACTATACTTCACGTGGGAGTATCAGTGTACGGTATCCATAATTTGTATTTTCTTTGATAATTGGACATTATTTAACTAGTTATCCATTGCATGTTTAATAAGCTGTTAACACAACAAGTTACTGCTCGCCATTATGTACTCCAGGTTAATATACTTCATAATTCGTTGAGCGTATAAATAATAATGATCGGGTACTTTCTACCGCTTCACAGTGACTGGCGGACTCCTGTGAGATGCCATGCTTCGAGAGCTGCAAACGGGATGGAAGAAGACAGTCACGTAGCAGCATCGGGCCAAGTGCCAGTTGCTTGCTTGAAACTAGAGCCGGGAGGATTTGACCTCATATTATTTTCATGTGCCAGACTAAGTACAGTACAGTACAGTACAGTACAGTACAGTACAAGGAACCGTGACGCAAACGGAAGTCAACATGACAGGTGGTCTCGTGCATGTTCTTCTGCGCGTCAAACGAGACCCAAAAAGCTTGAATCCCACGCAGGAATGTTGACTATTATTATGATTGTGATTGTTAATCTGGAGCGGACCAGCCGAGGCCGAATGCGGAGGGCGGATGAATCACGAGACTCGCTCGCGGCGAGTTTTGAGGTCCGTCCTCGGAGGATTTCCGCTGCTTACGTGATGGATCAGCGGGCGGCCATTCGCTGCGGAGAAGAAATGCTCGACTTCTTGGCGTCAAAATCCCCCGTCAAAGAATCAAGGCAAATTCCAGCGAGAGATCTCAGCTCGACTGCGCCTAATCCGGTGGTCGAATCGGAATGAAAGCTAGATAATTTTAGAATTCAGATTCACGTCTATCGAGTATGCAGACCTTAAGTTTAATCTGACAGTCCGCTTCCGAACGAGGCATCTGGAATTGTATACCTAACAGATCATCTGCTGTCCTACCCCGTGTTCTCGGCGCAAGGGCCATGCGAAGGGACAGCCCTAGGGCTGTGTGAGTAATATATATTGCCACTGCGTGAGACTTGTTATCTAATCCGGTGCAACATCGCTACGACTGTGGAGTTTTTGGAAGTAGTAGGACTAACTACTAAGCGCTAAGTATGGGGTCGCCCGTCATCTTTACCAGGGTGCGCCTTGCCTAGAGGAGTAGGTTTCGGCCCTCTCGATCCCGGGGTACAACAATCTTAATCGGCCTCTGCTGCAGTGGAAATTTTCCCACCGTTCCCTCTCTTTCTCCTCCCTTCTCCTCACACGACGCCTCTCCTACTCTCCTCCGGTATGACTGCGTCCATCCACCGTTCAGTGGACTTCGAGGCGGACAAGTCAATGATGCAAAATCAAATGGAAAAGAAGGACGACCAGTCGGTCGCTCCTCCCGTATACGACCAAGAGCTGGGGGAGATCACCGGGCCGGAGAGAGACCTCGTGGAACGCGGCCACAGTAAATTCAACAGACTGGGCTGGAAGCGTCTCACTGTGGTCTTGATTGTCGAGGCTATTGCTCTGGGCAGTTTGTCAATTCCCTCGTCATTTGCGACCCTTGGCATGGTCCCAGGTGTGATCTGCTCGGTCGGTCTCGGTCTGGTCGCTATCTACACCAGTTACGTTGTCGGCCAGGTGAAGCTGAAGTTCCCTGAAGTGCATCATTACCCTGATGCCGGAAGACTGATGTTCGGTCGCATTGGCTATGAGCTGATCTATGGGATGCTCGCGTTGCAACTGGTTTTCCTCGTCGGATCGCACTGTCTTACCGGCACGATTGCTTGGATGAACATCACCAGCAGCGGTGTCTGCTCAGTTGTTTGGGGTGTCGTATCGGCCGTGATTCTGTTCCTCCTAGCCTTGCCTCCTAGTTTCGCGGAGGTGGCCATTCTGGGCTATATCGATTTTGCTTCTATTATCGTTGCCATTGGCATCACCATCATTGGCACCGGCGTTGAGAGTACCAATCAACCGGGTGGTCTCTCAGCGGTTCACTGGACTGCATTCCCAGAAGGAGATGTCTCTTTCTCCGAGGCATTCATTGCCATCTCCAACATTATCTTCGCCTACAGCTTCGCCATGTGCCAGTTTTCCTTCATGGACGAAATGCACACCCCCAAGGACTTTACCAAGTCCATTTGGGCTCTTGGAATCACAGAGATCATTATCTACACCGTGACTGGCGCCCTGGTCTATGCTTTTGTCGGCCAGGATGTCAAGAGTCCAGCACTGCTGTCAGCAGGCCATCTCCTGAGCAAAGTCGCCTTCGGTATCGCCCTTCCCGTCATTTTCATCAGTGGCTCTATCAACGGGACCGTCTTGGGTCGCCTGATCCATGGTCGCGTCTACAAGGATTCTCCCATTCAATTCATCAACACCAAGATGGGATGGATTACGTGGACCGTCCTGATTGCCATCATCACCGTTATCGCATGGGTGATTGCCGAGGTCATTCCATTTTTCTCGGATCTGCTGTCTATCTCGTCAGCACTTTTCATTTCCGGCTTCTCGTTCTACTTCCCCGCATTGATGTGGTTCATGCTCATCTGCCAGGGCAAGTGGTATTCTTCGAAGAAGAACTTGGCGCTTTCGTTCTTGAACGGTATATGTTTTATTATCGGCCTGGTTACGTTGGTAGGCGGTACTTACTCCAGCGTTGATGATATTGTAAGTTCCCTTTATTTTGTGAGCTGCCCTTCGACGACTCATTGGCTAACAACCATCTCTTGCAGATCCTAAAGTATAGAAACGGCACAGTCAGGGGCGTTTTTACCTGCGCGCAACCATCCTAAGCAGGATGTTGGTGAGTGGGGAAGGCTGCGCAGCTCGAAATTTCCTTGCATCTTATACAGGGCACTTCTACTGCGTAAGTCCCGGAAATGGTCTGCATATCAATTTACGGAGTCGGTTAAAATCACTCGAAACCTTAATGGTTTTAAGACGTCAGGGGCCTGGGGCCTGAGAACATGTACATATATATAGAAGTATGCGGTAAAGAAATAGAGAAACCATTCTATTCCAGCATTGCTCATTCCAATGACAGGAAGCGAGGTTACGGACCCTGTGGCTCCAAAAAGTCTTTCATCATCATCCGGGTCGCATCAAAACCAAAACAGTCGACATTACCCAATATGTAGTGATACATCAGCGGATATCTAGTTATTGTCACACCACCGAAGGGAATTCTCCGCTTTATGCTTTTGCGGCTATGACTGCCACGGACGTTTACCCGCCAATTGTCTGGAGTGCGAGCAGAATCCACTTTTGCCAACGTTTCATCCAATCATTCGATAACCGAAGTCCAGTACTCGAATATTGTGTGATACTTGTTTAGGACCATGGATAGAATAATGCAAATCACAAGGATAATCTTACCTATCTCGTTGCGACTGACATATCTATTTGAGGTCCCTACAGTATGATTTTTGTTAGCATTGGATCTTTTCGAGAAATGGGCTGGGCGAATTTTTCCTTGTCTAGAGGTGAAACTTTTGCTCCATCTTTTGTGATATGCTGCTAGTAGATAGTAGTTTTAGTGTAAAGCTGGAGTCGTCGTCACGCAGAGGATGATCTGAACAGGTTTTAATAAGTTTGAATATGACCTTCTCTGCATCTGCTTACTTTGACTAATTGTAAAAATACACCTAAAAGCTCGGTGGCTGGAACATCACAGTGGGTCAGCGAGCTACTTGCATCGCCGTGGCTGATACAAGAATAAGATAGTGCTCTGATAGAAAAGACAAAAGGAATCGGGTTAGGGACCTCCAATGAATCAATAACTTAGGCTAGCAGTCTTTCCCTCGACAGCAATATAGCCGTATCGCAAGTCGCGCCATCAATGAAGTCATTCATAATGACGATGTTCTTGTCCGCCTTTAATCTATCAAGTGCGTTCTGACGAATCCAAGGAAGTGTGTGCATGTCTATTGCCGCCTTGGTGGACGCAAGGCATGAGGTCGCGGCGTGTGCCGCTAGCACACTATGCACAAACACTTCCTTGATTGATTGCGACGTAGCCTGACACTGCAGGATAGTCAGATCTGTGCTCTCCTGTCCCTCAGTGGTCATCTCTTCGAAGCGCTTAAGGATCGAATCTGCATGAAGTGTCGCGTAGGCTTCAGCTGTCCAGCTGTCGTATTTTTCGGCTTCGATCACGCAAATCAGGCGTCTCCCATCATGGCGTAATATATCAATTGGCTGTCGGAAACATTCGCTATCTCCCCAGGTCAGTCGTTCGTTGCGTGCCTGTGCGCAAGCGTTGGTGAGCGCGGCTGCAATCTCGTCCTCCGTGGGCTTCTGGCACTCCTTGAGTAGGTTATCCGACCTAATATGGATGACCGCTATCTCGGTAGGGTGTTCATCTAGAAAAGTAACCAGCTGGTCAAGAAACTCGTCGAATGCCAACCCGGGTATGCACGCATGCTGAAAATAGAATTTATCTGGTAGGACCGAGAGCTTCTGGAACATCGGCAACAACTTGGCTGGACGGAATTCGAAATAACGTGCCCCTAGGGCCAGCATAATCGAAATCTCTTTCTTCTGCGTAATAGACACTCCATAGACTATGTCTGGCAATTTAGCTAGGAGAAGATGGTCTGGCAGGTGATCAAAGTGTTGTAGAGACGGTGTGATTTCGCGCAATTCGTGCACCATGTCGTGATCTAAGTGCTTGAAGATAATATCACAGGACTGCATACTATTCATGCCATTGTCATGTGGAGCTGCAAGCACAAACCGCGAGAATGGTTTCTGCGCCTCGATAGACCCTGGTGGCGCAACTGCTCCCATCCAGGCCCTGTTGGAAGCCGGACAAATGGTTACATAGCATTGGTCGCGATTGGTCAATCCGAATTCTCCATGGCCTGCACTATAAAATCCATATGTAATAATGGCATTGTTTGTTACGATAGCCTTGCAGGCGGCGGTCGCGGTCATCGTGCCTCCTTCCACTTTTCCAGTGAGACTGTTGATGTCGCAGTATGAGCTCCCGATAAGGACGGGGGCATCGGCGTCCCTGGCATGATAGAAAACCTCCCACTTGAACCGTCCCACAAAGTTTTCCAGTCCAGGAATATTGGACGATTCAACCTCGAGATTTTCTGCTGTAAAGTTATCTGCAGGTGTTCTTTGAACATGTTGTTTTGGCGCCGTGAACTCAACCACATATCCCTCGACGGATATATAGCTGTAAACCGTGATTCCTTTGCTAGGCATACCGGTTGTTTATATCCACAGTGTATTCCTGTATATACTGTAAGAAAGTTCAAAGAAAGGAATAATAGCATGCCAAGAAGGTAATATAACGTTGATGGTGTTAGCATCAAGGAGGGGGGCAAAAGGGGAACTTGTCACTCTAGTCTTGATAGAGCATGGTTTCAAACTCCATGGTCCAGGGACCAGAGGTAAACTAATCGACATTAATATCGCGCTTAATTATTATAACTACTCCGTACTCCGTATCTACTGGCTGGGGGAATGTGTGCACTGTACTATTTCATTAACGGTCTAAGGCGCCGCGTGGCCGGGGACAAGCGTGACGATCTATGCTCGAATCGGCTAAGCGGCTTAAGCACTGTCATGTTCAAATTCTTATACCAGCATGTACCTTATCTCAGCAAGCTCAGACCCTCTAGCAAGGTGCCCCCCCTGCGGGTGGGCTTTTCGCTGCAATGGCCTGTATAATAGGGATGGCATTTGAATTTCAAAGTTTCAGAAATTTCATAAAATTTGGGGGTCCGAATTTCACGAGATAAAATATCTGAAATTTTGAAATATACTAATAAATTAGTATGGTAATCCCGACCCACCCGATATTTTTACCCCCTAATTAATAAGCAGTAAAAAATTAAAATAATCTAAATTAGAAGCTATTTAACTCCAAATAATATTGTATTTTATAGCTAGCGAAGGTATTAAATCTCCTAGATCCTAGTACTAACTATTTAGCTATAAATAATTTTATAGCTGATAGGGGTTCTTTAGCGGCTTTGCCTAAGAATTCCTATATAAGATAGGCCTTCTCTATTTCTTTATCTTTTAAATCTAATAGTTCGGCTTTAATATCCCTTTTATTAAGGCATTCTGCGCCTCTATTTATCTCCTATAATACACGCGAGTTTATATAGATATAGATAAGCTTATCTATATGCTTAGGTTTAAGCCTATTATAGATCTTTATATACTGAAGGTTTATAGTTAAAAAGGAATATTTAGAGGTAATAGAATTAGTAATAGTTTTAAGCAGTTATATAGCGAAGTTTATAAGATTTAGTATTACCCTAATCTAATAAAATATATAGGTTAGTAGGTTATAAAAGCAGTAGGATAAAGGCTATATTATTATTCTCTAAAAGGCTTTTATATTAGATTACTGCTAGCAGATTACTCTATTATAAAAAGCTTTAGTTTACCCCTTAAAGCAATAAAAATTAAGCACTGTTTATTTGCCGGTATACTGCTAGATTACTTAATAAATAGCCTTATTTTATTCTTTATAGCTCTTATAATAAGTCTTAGGGTATAGGTAATAAGCAGCCTAGTAAAGCCCTATAAGCTAATTATTTAAATAGGCGCTCTATTTAATATTTAAGTAGAAAGCAATTTTATTAGTAAAGGATTTTAAAGGTTTTATTATAGTGGGGAGGATTAGTATAAAGAATGTAATTAGTTAAGAGGTTATATGCTTTTATTTAAAGTCTTTAAAAAGTCTATAAATAAAGCAGAAGAAAGGAGATAATATCTTTTAGTTATTTAGAATAAAATAATTAGCTTTTTCTTTTTATTATTGTTCAATATTAGTTTAGTATTAGATTATTATTAGTTTACTATATTAGTCTATAATTAAAGCTTTTCTTTTAGCTTTACTCTAAGCTCCAAAGCTAAATATCTTTCTTTTTTTTCTTAATACTTACTTGCTTAAAGACTTTATATTAAGTCTTAATATATTTTTCTATAATAAAATAGAGCTAAATATAGGGAGATATTAAAATATTAAGTAGAAATAAAGGAGAAAAGAGAATTAAAAGCTAAGGTTAAGGCTAAAGTTAAAAAAAAGAGTAAAAAGTAGTAAAAAGATAAATAAAATAGCTGAAGAAGATTACTATTATAAATAAAAAAAAATAAATATATCTTTTAGATTAGTAAAGATAGTAAATATAATATAAGGTAAAAATATATATTAATAATAAGAGAAAGGAAGGACTGCTAAATATAAGGAAGAGCTTAATAAATATAAAAGAGAAGCAGAAATTTAAAAAGAATAAAAAATTATTAAGTAAGAACTATTTATTAAAAAATAAAAGAATTTTTTACTATTATCTTTATTACTATTCTTTTAAAAAAATATAGAGAAAAGTATTAATCTTTTTAGCGCTAATTAAAATAGAAAGATTCCTAGTTTTTTAATATTACTAAGTCTAAAGATATAAATAGCTTAGGTATTTAAAAATATAAGACTATTAATAATATAGCTAATCTAGGTTATATTAGCTCTGCAGATACTAATATCTAGAAATTTTAGGGTATTATATTTTAAAGGAGATAATATTATTTATTATTTAAGGCTTTTTAAGAGGCTATATAAGGCGAATTAATTCTTAAAAAAAAAAAAAACTAAATAGTTTATAGACTATTATAGCCTATTGGTATTATTATAAATAAATACTTAATCTAAATATAAAAAAAAGAACTATTTAAAACTGGCAGAAGCAATTAAATAAGAGTATATTTATTATAATAAGCACTAAAGGAAATATAATATTTAATAGCTAGAAAAGTTTAAAAATATAAAATATAATAGCTCTGAGGATTTAAGGAAGTATAATTAAGAATATTAAGCTATATTAGAAGTGCTGGTAATTTTAGATAAATTAAGCTAATACTTATAAAAAGTTTAATATCTTTAAAGACTTTTAGAGGAGCTTAAGTAATAAATAGTTTAAGAGTTAAATATAGACTATTATACTCTGTCTATTATTAAATATATTAATTTTTATAAGGAAGTAGTAGATAAAATAAGAATAATTAAAACCCTTTACTATCTTAACAGTAATAAACTAGAGAAAGATTAAAATATAGCGGCTTTAATAAAGGAGAAAATAATTAAAAAAGATAAAATATAATTTTTTATTAAACTTAATAAAACTTATTTAAATAAGAATAAGAATAGGACTAAATAATAAAATACTAAAATAAAGTTAATAAAATAGTTATAGATTAATTAGTTAATAAAAGAGTTTAAGAAGTTAAAACTATATAGTATATAGTATATAGGGAGGCCTAATAATAATATACCTAATATTAGCTTAAATATATAAGTTAAGGCACTTTTAAGATTTAACCCAATTAGAAGATCTAGAATACCTCTAAATTTATATAACTTCTGCTAGGCTCCTGATTATATTTAATCTTATTATTTAGATTTAAAAAGCCTCTTAAATTAAAAGCTTATCTATTAGGGAGAAGATTATAAACTTTATTTTAAGCTAAAAAGATAGAATAGAGAAGTTATTTATTTTATATAAGGGAATATATTATAAAAGGAGATTATTAAATAAAGACTAAAGGAAGAATAAAAGAATATTAGCTTAATTAAATATAATATTTAGTTAATTATGCTGGGATAGCCTAGGGATAATTTAAGCTCTAAAGAAGAAGCTGGGGATATTATAAAAAATTATTACTCTATTAATATAATAGGATTAAATAAGCCCTAAGGAGTAAAAAAAAGGTAAAATAAGATTAAATAATTATATAAAAAAAAGCTATAGAAAGTAATTAAATAAAAATAGAGATTTCTTTTAATTAAGATAAACTAATTTAATAATTATTAGCCTTTAAGTATAATTAAGAAAATA